CTTTTGAAATCTATTTTAGCATGATTTTTAATACCCCCTCTTCCTTTACCCATTTGCAGCTTTTGATCTCACTTTGAGTTTGAACCACATCAAATTTCACCAGTTCCTTTTTTTTTTTTTTTATACTTGTGACAGATTGTGATAATGTGATCTGCAAGTTTACCTTTATATTAATTGATATCTATAGCAGATACAGGTCAAAATATAAAATCTGAGCTTTTGTAATTTCCTCTTAACAAAAGGATAAAAGTTTAAAGCAAGTAACACTTTATCGTATACCATTTTCATTAGTGTTGAGTAGATATCTTCTAATTAAGCCTTGTGATCAAATGAAATTATAGTCATTAAAAATATAGTCCTATAGTTATTTGTATTTTAGTAAGTTTATTTTAAAAATGTGTCAGTCCATTAAAAATTGTTGAGATTACGAATATATGTATGAAAACGTATCTTTTTCAGTGGACAACCCTGGCTCATAGTAAAAAGTGATGATAGAACGTGCTTAGCCTAGCTGATAAAAGTTAATTTTATTTATTGGCTTAATATTTGTTTCAGGCTATGCGTGTAGTTAGTGATCGCCAGAACAAGGAGGCAAAGGCTAAACATGAAAAAGAGAAAGAGTTATCCAAAGTAAAGATAAACAAAGATGACGTGGACTACATTGTAAGTTTGAAAAATGAAATGCTCCTAATTAGACCAAATACATAATAATTTAACATTCTAATTCCATAGTTTTTTTTGCTCCAGTGAGCCAATTTAATAACTTTATTTTTTTTTAAATTTATGCTGGGCAAATGGCAGTCTAAATCTAATGGTCCTATATAAAGACAAATTCAGATCAAATTTTGTTAAAATTGTTAATCTTACTTGTGTAAATAATGTTTTATACAAAAAAATTTATCATATAGTCATTTAGATTTAGAGTACAGTAATTTACCAACATATATTTATGCATAAAAACAGGTGCAAGAAATGGAGATTTCAAGAACAAGAGCAGAACATGTTTTGCGAGAGTACAAAGGAAATGTAGTAGAAGCTTTGGTTTTTTTAACCAATTAATCTAAGAAATCAAATTTGTCATTGCTCTTTTTTAAAGATTGAAATTTATGTAAATAAATATATTAATTTTTACACTATCTTATGGTTGGTGTTTTTTTATAGCACTTTTGCAGATGAATTATGTTTCTGCAAGGTGTCACTGTGTATTAAATTAATAATTAATGACAATTTTAAGCACATTTGTATAGCTCTGTACATTAAAGAATTGAAAGTAAACTATTACATTTTGGTATTTTAAAACAGTGGTCCCCAAACTTTTTATCGCCGCGGACCAGTCAACGTTTGCTAATTTTACCGCAGCCCGCTGGGGGATATTGTTTATATTTTGGATTGTTTTGATTTATAATTTGGTTCCAGCTGTGACTGCCCTCTTTGCCCCATGCTCATGGCTCTGCCTGAGGGCAACATGGCACCCAGAGCAACGCATAATATGGGGACCACTGGGCTGGCCAAATTGTTGGCTGTATAAACCTGTGATTCATTTTTTTTAAAAATTATCCTGTGATGTCACAAATACCCAAAAAAACTGATGTCTTTGTTTTTTTTATAGGGATGGGGGCTAATAAAAGCTCCTTGACCGTACATGTTTTATCATCCAGAAAATCTGGTAAGCTTATAAAATGGAAATAATTTAATGTTTCTTGGGTGGCCCGGTACCATTTGATCCAAGGACCGGTACCGGCCCGGTGTTTGGGGGGGCCACTGTTTTAAAACAACGAATGATTTTACAACTTCAAATTTAAAATAACAAATTTGAACTCAGGATAAGTTCTTACATTTAACTAATTTTTAACCTTAATTCAACACATTTTATAAGGGTTTAACATAAAAGATGTGTGTACGGTAATGGGATATAGTTATCAGGAGAGTGGAAAAAAACAGTCTTATAATGTGTGTCAGTGTTAAAAAAATTAGTAGTTTAGTAATTGCATGCTTTAAATAGGACAATGCACAATAGATCAAATACTTGTTAGATATTGATGTTTATTATTTATTTTTGGAACACTTCCCTTTCCATTACTATTGTCACAGACAGTTTTTGACAAATGGGCATTCCCCATTTTTAGGCCAGGCCATTTTGATAATTTGCATGGTGACATTATAGACATTCATATAAAGGGGTCAACCATATTTTAATTAATACATCTGGGGAAAACAAATTACATTCATTCCAACCCACCAACATATACGGATCAACTTCTCACAGACTAAACAATACACATTTTTCTAGGCTATTTCCAATACTGCCCAGAAATGAAATAATTATTTGTTATGAATTTTTTTCTTCATTTAAGAAATCGATGAGTTAAAATTCTATGACTCATAATAATTTTTTAATTAAGTACCTGCAACTTTTTTTATATATGGATGGCCCCTAACTACATAAATACAGATCTACATTAATCTCCATCTATTTTTTTTTTCCCATTAACAAAACTGGGTGTTTATTGTATGAGCACTTTCAAAAAGAAAAAAGCAGATAAACTATCTCCAGATTCACATTATTGGACTCATTTTCATAAATTATTAATTTGAAGTGGTGCTGGAAATGATGTTTATTTAATCCTAAATTAAAACTGAGTTTCGAATCTTAAGTAATTCTGCAGTATTAGCCTTAACTTTGTTTAACGTGCATATTAATAATGCAATTATTTTTTAAAAACATATTTTAAACTATTTTCAATTAAAGTAATTAAAGCCTCCATTTACTCACATACATACTAACATATCATACTAACATAAAAACACCAGCTAATGGCAAAAAGGCTGAAGCTGGCTGACAACTTCAGGATCAACCTGGCTCATAAAATGATCAAATGCTTCCTTTCCAATCGTTTGCTGGCACAAATTGAGCTGGGAGATAAGGTATGTTTTGAGGCACACTGTGTGAACTGGATCTTGTCTGGCAAGCTGGAAAATGAAATGAAAGACATATAAAATAAATATCCGGTATATATTATTCTTTAAACTTCCCAATTTAAAAGTTTTTTTTATTTCTTCACTTTGAAAAACAACGCCAATAACTTATAATTCTAAATACCGGTACTGAAAAACTGACATGTACTTATAAACATAAAAAAAGAGGCTATATGATAATTAGTAAAAGTAATGATTACCAAATGTTTCCTTTTGTCATGCTGGGTGTCTTGATCATCATCTACATGAGCACTACCATGGTCTATCACAAGACTACTAAAAAAAATATTTTTTATAACTTTTAAACTGTTATCTTCACTTCAAATTAAAGCAAAAAGAACAACTTCAATGGCAAATGTTCCATTTTTACATTAAACTAATTTAATGTTTTGTAAAGTAATAACAGAAAATGTAATTTAGACAAATCTTGATATCAATTTATTAGTTTAGCCTAGGGCATTAACAGTACCAAATTAATAACATTTAAAAAAGGTTAAAAATTAAAAACAAACTGCCCTCAGTAAAGAAAAAAAGGAAGTAACACATCGATAATAATGAACAAATGTCAAAATCAATCATCTTTTTAAAAAAAAAAAAATGCTTAAAAAGAGTACTGGGTACCAGTACTTACTCTGTATAAGTTCCCTCATCATCAATCCGACAAATGTCATGGAGAACTTCAACAAGGTTGTTAATAATGACTCCAAAACGATCTGTGACAATGCTAAATTATTTTTAGAAAATATATTTCTTTTTAATCACCAATATTAGTAATTATATTCAATTACCAGTTATGAACACTTAGCAATAAAAAATTCTATACCCGGTAGCGAATGTAATTGTAGACATGTTGCAAGCACTCTTAGTTTATCATCTTGCATCTTAAGGAGAAATATATAAAAATTCATGTTTACCCTTAAAAAAAAAAAAAAAAAATTGAAATGGATAATTTGCTCTTTCAATTTCTTTAATTTAATTATTAATATTTTTTAAAAATATAAAAATTAATGTTTACCCCTAAAAAAAAAAAAAAAAAAATTGAAATGGATAATTTGCTCTTTCAATTTCTTTACTTTAATTAGTAATATTTTTTAAAAATGTCAATAAGTGTTTTGCAAAAACATTGATTTAAACTACTAGTGAGTAGCATTTTCCACGGCGTGTACAACAAAAAATGTATTATGGAAATATTTTACTATGGATATGGCTAAAAATGAACATTTTGATAACTGGATTAAAACTATAAAAGTGGACTGCCAAAAATTGAAAAGTGTAGAAAAATGAAGCCTATTTACCAGATATTTATTAAGCCAGTTAAATTTTAGGTCATTGTAATTTATACTTTATACCCATTACGCCAGTATGCCAAAATATTGAAGAATTTTATTTAATCTGAAAATGTACCTGTTAGTATATTAAGACTTAAAAAGTAAATCTTATGTTATAATATATTTTTCTTAATATTTTACACTATATATATTATTATATATATGGCATACTTCCATCTTTGCAAGACGCTAGAGTAGCTAAGGATACTTCATTTAATGGTTTACGAGGCAGATCCAAGACAATCAGAGACTGGAACAATCTTTCAAAAGGAACGGTTGAGGCAACAACACTAGACACATTCGTGTCTATTGCCTCAAGCCTTCAAATCCCTAGTGCATGATTTCCTCATCAACACCAGTAACAGAAACATTGCAAATCCCATCTACATGCATAGGAGCCAAAATGATCAATACATTGATCGTGGGCCCTTAAGATATAGAAGAAGAAGATTCTGGAATGGCAGTCTCAGCTACATCTCTTGCAGGAGAACCTTGACTTCTGGTTAAAATATGGCCTTCCTTAATGCTCTTTTGATTGCAAAGGCTTGTTTCGCTCATCTTCTGCCTTTTTGACTCATTCAAACACTGCTTTTGCCAGCTGGATCAGTTCTCAGTGATGATCTCCCGTAATTTTATTTCTATGTTGGCTTCCCTCATGATTTTGCAAACGTCCTTAAGATGAAGCTGTGGCCGTCCAATAAGTCTTGCCCCTTCTGCCAATTCCATACAGCAGATCCTTTGGAAAACAGCCTTCCTCCTTAAATGGCCTAACCATATATAACTTATATACCTCGGTATATATATATATATATATAAATAGGTTAGGTAAATATATATATTGAATCAAGTTTTATCTTTCATAAAATTACCTGTAGTTTTGTGGCAACATTGATGCCAAAGCAAGTGCTGAGAGTTTTCTTCTCTCTGGTTGGGTTATTATGTCAAAACGATCAGTCCACTGGTCAAGAAGTGCCCCAAACACAGCATAAGTCTAAATTAAATGTGTTGTAAAAATATAGCTTGTATAAATTATTTTTTTGTTTGCAAAATAAGTTTTGTTAATTTAACTCGAGATACCAGTACTGCAGCCTGGTATTTAAATTTAATAAACTGAGAATCATCCAAAATGTTTTTAATTTTCTTTTTTAACTTTTTTTAAGTTTAAAAAAATTGTTGATCACATTGTTAGTTTTCCTCCCTTTTATTATAATTATTTCTAATGGATAATTATGTTTTAAAATAAATTTTTGATAAAGAAAAAAGTACAGGTATCGATTATCGGTTTTTAACTACACTTTTGAAGAAATAATTTGAATACCGTATATTTATATTGACAACCTAAGGCCAACATACTGAAAATCAATAAGGTGTTTTACATGGTGTAAGGTGTGTTACATGGTGTAAGCACAAACATACAAGCAAATTAAGTCAATACTTAACATCTCACATCATTCCCAACTTCTACAGCCAAATGTTGAATGACAGACAACATAAATGGCTGGTTCTGAAGGAGGATCCTGGCAAACAGGCTTAGGTGCATGGCCATCACAACAGTATTTTCCTGAAATGAAAAACATCACTCACACTCTGCAATGACTAATTTTTATTATACCTGGTATGCATTTATTATTACTGTACTTGATCAAAAGTCAAAGCTATGAAAATTATATCAATTTTTAAATTTAAAGGAATTTTAAGTCATTAAGTGTAAGACAAGTTGAAGAAAAAAAGTGAGATTTTTTAGTTATATACAGATTTTTAATGCATAAAATATAAGAAAAGAAAAGCAGTACCCACCTCTCCATTTAAAATTGACCTAATTATCCCAGGAAGCATAGCTTGGAAAACAGATGGCCCTTCAATTGGAAATGCCTTGAGAATAAGTTCAACTAACTGGAAAGATAATGTGGTGGTAAAAATGTTTAAGTACCCTGTCCAGTAAGTAAAATTTGATTAAAGTTTAAAAAAAAAATAAGAAACCGATAACTGTAAACCCGATTTCAAATTAACATCCTAAGTATTACCCTTAAGATGAGCACCATTCCTTCAGTGCGAATATCTGTCATTAGACTCAAAAGAGAAGTTGCTAGGACCTCAGAGTATGCCTGAATGATACAAAAGAAAAATCATCATTCACGTTTTTTAATTTTTTAATTTTAAAACTAAATTGAATTCAAAGATCTTTTTCAAACTACAAAACTCACAAATTAACTTTAAACATACCTGCATAAAATCTCTAGAACCCAGTAGAACATAACACTGAATGATTTTAAGACAAGTTCTCAAATTTTCTGTACCTAAATCTGAAAATAATATGGGTAGCTGATAACATTAATCTTATGATAACAAATTTTAATAACAATCTTATGATAAAAAATAATCTTATGATTACAAAAACAATCTTACAAAAGCAAATAACATTCTAACATTGTAAGAACCATTTTAATTGAACAGTTTCTGTGTAAACAATTATCCAAAATAAGTTATGATCATTTTAAATAAAAAACCATACCAAAGTTGTTTTTTTAAAATAATGGATTTGGGTGAAGGTACCGGTAGGTTTACAAAAAATAAACAATGTTTAATGGGATAAGAATGAATTTTGTAACATTTGCTTATCTCAAGTGGAATATAAATTAAAATATTTTTTATGTTTCTATAAAATAAAAGCAATACTAGTGATAGTAACTTGAATTTTGTTATGCTCTTATCTTATGTACCAGGGTATTTAAAAAAACAAAACAAAAAAAACATGCATTATTTTTAATATCACTATTGTTCCTTGCATGGACCATGAGTTTTCTGGAAAATTCCTTGTTTAGCTAGCAAAAGGTAGAAATGTTTCTCTTCCTAAAATCTTTTTATTTTTCCATAGAGAAGTTTAAAAAGGTTTAAAAAAAGGGGACATGCATGAGTGGTGGTTTTTAAAGTAAAACTAAAAACTATTATCCTGTTTGTATTACCTAATAATGCTGGCATGTTATCAAACAGTTTGAGCAACTCTGGAGACATTGCTGGAGCATTGATGAGTGTGACATACCAGAGCTCTAAGCCATCTTCCAACAAGTAAACATGTGGCTCTTGACTAGTATCTGTGCTTATGGCAATGGCTGGTAAGATAAACTGCCAAAGCTGTGTAGATTCAGATCCATATCCCTATTATTGACCGAAGTGACAAAGAAAGGGATAAAATTAATAAAAAAAATATTTTTTCTTCTAAATTTTATTACCCATACTTTTTGAAGGCAAACATAATTATCTTACCTGAACCAAGTGTATAAGACAAGTAAGAATGGAACACCGTAACATGTTGTGTTCTTCAGATTCTTTCCAAAGTAAGGGAAGATACTGAACAAGGGAAGCAATGTATGGCCTTATCTTGGAACCCACTCTTTCGATGACAAAGGACAATACATGAAGCACGTGCATCTGTTAAGCCATTTGAAAAAAGGAAACAAATCACAGTGCTGCTATTTATTTAAGGATCAGTAGATTAATAAACTCCTTGGGCGTGAATTTATGGTTGTAGAGGGATTGAATAGTTATACCGTAATAAGAAAGTACCAGTATTAAGTATTTTGACGTCTTTGGATCAGATGTGGTCCAGTGATGTAAAAGAATATTAACATGCAAAGGGATAAAAATGTATCTTACATAATGTTCACAAAATTCTTAACTGTACGGCATTTTATAGTTTAGTTATTTGAAATAAAAAATTTAATTGATTATTTATATGTACATGTAATGATTTGGGTTTTTATTTCCAAATAAAAATAAAAAAAAATAAAAAAGTGAAATTTTAAATACATCACACTTTGATAAGTAAGTACCTTTGTATCACATTCTCGTACTTCCTTGAGTAGTTGGAATAAGAGTGAAAAAAGAGATTCTATGTACTGAAAAATAAAATGTAAATGCGAATCAGTGATTGAAAAAATTGTAAAAAATCAAATACCTACAGAATGTTGAATTTATAATCTGGATAAAAAAAAAATAAGGGTTATTTCTCTCTCTCACCATTTAGTATGGAGGCATGATAAACTGGCCCAATTTGATTCCTTATTTCATAATTTTAAAAATCAAACTCAACAATTATTTTTACCGGTAATAGTTGCTCTGTGCTGAATTCAAAATCATCAACAGGTAATGCAGGTTAAGGAATATGTTTTTTAGGTATCAGAACTAAATGAATGAAATAATATTTATTATATTATTATTATTGTTAAAAGCAGCTTTTTTTTGACAAGATATTGTCAGATTAAATTTTTTTAAAGGTAGAGCAAGCATTAAAAAAAAAGGATATCAGTCTTAAGTGTCTGGGCAGCTTCTAGTCGAACAGCCAGATCCTCTTGTGTATCTAGCAATTCCAACACAGCTGCATAAAGTGCAGGTCGCAGGCTGACTGACATCTTCACTCCAACCCATTGGCCCATCAGCCACACAACACGTTTGCGTATCACACGGTAGCTGTCACCAAGAAGAATAAAATGCTGTTAATAATATTGTTTATAAAATGTTATTAAATGTTATTTGCAACCAGAAACCATTATTGGTTGATTACATTCTGATTATTATTATTATTCATTGAAATAAATTTATCTTATTAAAAAAAAAAAAACATTGTTCTTTTATTTGTTTCTCATTTTGTATGGTTACTGTCTGTTAAGTTGCATGAGGATAAAAATACTGTCTGAGGTTTAAACACTTTTTCTGTTTTATTGCAATTAAAAGAAAAATTAACCCATTGATTTCATAATTGCAAATATACCAGTGCATACCAAGGGATTCAACTTGGAGAGAAGGTTGACAAAATCAGACATTTTTGTGTTTTGGATGACAAACACCCCACCCCCAATATGTTAATTTTCTTAAACATGATTAGTTAACTAAAGATGTCTAATTAGATATAACTTTAGGCATGCATCTTAAAATTAATATAATAAAATAATTAATGAAAATAAAGTGACTTGAACTACCTTTTATGCTTAACTTGCAGCTCTTGTAATAGATGTGTTGTAAACCAGGAATCAAAGTCTATTTCATCAAACAGATCAAATGATGCTAATCCAACCGCATTATAGGCTGTGAACAAAATTTACAAACTGAATTTTACAACTTGGGCTGTCTGGATGGCCACTTGAAATGCTATGATGGGCCACATACAGCCAATGTGTGCTATATTTGACAACCTTGGTTTAAAAATTAAACCCAAGCTACTCAGACAGTCATTTAAAATATAAAATGAGTTAATCTGTCAAAATTTATTTTAACTGAGCAAAATTTCAGTAGCCTGTACCCCTATCACATTATTTCTTAAAATTTTGTTGATTTTCACTCAAATTTTGTCTCAAAACCTCTATCTAACTTGTCTCAAAACCTCTATCTAACTTGTCTCATCAACAGAATTCCTCAGATATCTTGACAGTCCTAACATGATTTCTGCCCAGTAAAAATTCCATACATTCATCCCAGCAGAGATAAGAATATGAATCAAAGGCCTTCTGGACAAAAAAACAGCAGGCATCTGAACTTCATAAAGGGTTGAGGGGACATATTTACAACCTGAACTCGTTCCCTCCCCCTTTCCCACCCTGGTAGACAGCAATGCTATAAAAGGAATTTAGAAATGGTCATTGCTATAGATTTGGGCTTATCATTTCTTCAGATTTCTTTAAAGTTAACCAGCCACAGTAGGGGAGAAACCAGAAAAGATGCAAAATATTAAAATGCAGACTAAATGCACAACTACAAAGTACCTCTGCATACTTGATTTCAAACCATTTGGGCATGTAAAAAAAAAAGTTGAGATTTTTCAATTTTTAACCATGGCAAGTTGAAGATATATATTATAAATTTATTCAGCAGTTACATTATTCATTTAAGATTTAAAACCTATAAAAATATTTTCTTTAACTAGCATGTTTGATTGTAAAATCAAATCCAAAGGTTCCTTTTTTTAGTTTATGCTAATTTTAATTTCTGTATTTTGTAAAATTGTGCTTCAGCTCACTTTTGGATTAATAAACGTTTGCTTCCAATCAAAGGTTCAACAACCCCCCCCCCACCCCCCCCCCCCCTTAAAAATATTTTCTTTAACTAGCATGTTTGATTGTAAAATCAAATTCAAAGGTTCCTTTTTTTAGTTTATTCTAATTTTAATTTCTGTATTTTGTAAAATTGTGCTTCAGCTCACTTTTGGATTAATAAACGTTTGCTTCCAATCAAAGGTTCAACAACCCCCCCCCCACCCCCACCCCCCACTAATTTTTTTTCTAAATCAATGTATTACTGACTTTTTGTATAAGCAATTTGAAATTTCTAACTAATTAATTAAAAATATATAGGTCTCAAATATCTACTTTAGACTGCATTCCAATGTGGTACCGGTGCTAGTCTAAAAGTTTAAGGTGCCATAACTCTCTTAAAATGTAAGGTACAAAATAAATTTAAACATTTTGATCTGGTTAAACCAAGCCCTACTCAGTGGATTAGTTTAACGTCATTTACACTCTTTTAGAATACTTAATTCAACAAAATAAAATAATAATAATGAAAAATGTGACAACGAACACCGTGGGTGGGACTGAAAGTCACATGCTGGAGACCTTCTAGAAACAGCTATATATCAAAACTAGTAACCCATAGATTGTTTCAACTCATACCATATTAACCTTAAATGAAGTAACTATCAGTCAGTAAAATTTAACTTCGTTTAAATCAAAACTCATTTAATGGCTGGTAAAAATGTGACAGCCCACCCTGCTCTCCCCTATTCATGTTTAGTTTCAAGAAGGATCTAACATATTTATCTGAACAGTAACCAATAAGTATTTTTTTCATAAGCCACCTCAGATCCTATAACAGCATTTTTAATAATATTTTAGTAAGGTAATTTAACATAACTACTAGGTTTACCTGCATCTTTCCTGAGGAGAGCAGCTAGATTATCTGAGTCACATGGTCCTTGCACAGCCTGTACCATCTCTAGCAGGATGGGGCTCAATGAAAGACGGAATGCTTTAAAAATGGTAAGAAATAAGGTTTCTGTACAAGGCTGTGGAGTGGATAAAATGTAATGAAATTATTTATTTATTGAAAAAGAAAATCATGTTAAATACCTTATAATAGCTGAAAATGAAGGATTGCACATGGAAAACAAATTATTGCTAAATGAATAACATCGTGATAAATTTACACAGTTCAAAATAACAGAAGAGCATATCAATTTATAATAGTAAATAACAGCAAATTATTATTTTTGCCTAACATTTCAGTTTAATCAGACCCATAAAAACTTGTCATGCTGTTTATTGAAAAGGATATTATTTATACAAATGATTTGACTGATGAATAAGCCAGCAAGCAGTTTTTTTAGTAAAATTCTTGTAGTTCCTAAAAATACTTGACATACTTCTACCAGAAATTTGAAAAAAATCCTTACATACTTATATTTGAAACTAAAGAAAGAATCCTGTAAAAAAAAAAAACACACTTCAATTACAGTAAAACCTCTAATTGAAAGGAAATTGGTTTGGAAGTATTTTGCAAGACAAGCAAAATTTTTATAAAATACATTTTGACTTGATATGCTAGCGATGGTTGGCCAAATGAGCAATTGAGTCAATGTGCAATCTTTTACCACGCTCTGTCACACTCAATGAGGCACTTGCTTTTTCAACATCCGGGGAAAGTGTATAATGTTTAATACAGTTTACTGCAGCTTTGTGACCATGTGTGTTTTGTCCAAGTGTAGTGACTGTTCTTTAGTAACTGCACAGCAATAATGGCCCCAGTAATGTAAAAGGTTGAAAATGAAGGCAAAAGCAAGTGTCATTATTACATTTCTTGTTTAAGTCATATGAAAATAAAACAGATTCCCATGAGCCAAGAGATAGCTGTGATTGTGCTAGTGACAGTCGACCTACATAATTACCCTACTCCTACAATGAAAGTCATCCTACATAATTACCCTACTCCTACAATGAAAGTCGTCCTACTTAATGACCCTACTCCTACAATGAAAGTCGTCCTACATAATTACCCTACTCCTACAATGAAAGTCATCCTACATAATTATCCTACTCCATCAATGAAAGTTTTCCTACATATTACCCTACTCCATCAATGAAAGTCATCCTACATAATTACCCTACTCCTACAATGAAAGTAGTCCTACATAATTACCCTATTCTTCTACTTTCTCTCATCTCCCTCACACCAGTAATGATTAAATTAAATAAATAAAGTTGACTACTTTATATTAAATTTAAATAACCTATTTGCGAGCGAAACGGACTCACTTTCCCCCACGCTCTCAAAATACGATTAAAATATGCTGCGTGTCTCATGTGCCTTAAAATATGTATAAAAAGATGGTGCTTCTTACATGCTGCTGTGTCATATAATTTGGCAAATACAGTAATAAAAATGTATTTTCTAAGATTTTATATGCATATAGATATACTTGGGTAAAAAAAAAAATCATCTGAGTTTCCCAATTTCTTATGGAGATATATGAGTGCTTTCAATTACAAACAAATTTCCAAAATATTTTATGCTCGTTATCGGAGGTTCTACAGTACTTTATTTCACAGACATAACTTTTTCTTCAACATAAAACAATTGTAAATTGGGAGTTATTTTATTTAGTGTCATTCCAATATGGAATGGTCTTTTCTTGCCCAGGAAAATATGTAAGAGAAAGAGTTATGAAAGAAATATTAATTGCATGCAGATTTTGTTGAAAAGGTCAGTCTGGTGTGTGTCTTTTAGATCTATGATTTTCATTAAAAATTGATTCATTACATCTTTTCTATATTTTGCTGATACACAAAGTAATAGAATATCAATTTGAACTAAATGAAATAAAAATAATATTAAAAGAAACAACTACAATTTTGTTTCAAACAAAAGTTAGTGAAATAAAAACCTTTAATAAATAATGATAACGTGGTCCAAAACTCACAGCTGCAGGGTTCTTCCACATGAAAATAAATTAAATTGCAAGTTGGTAACTAGTCATTTCCGTAAGCGGCAATGAAGAAAACAGTTTTATTTTGTTTGTTAGAAATTTAAGCTTGCAAATAAACTTCTCATTTCCAGCCATTTTTTAGTTTCAATATGATCTAGATAAATCCTGTTAACCATCAGAACAACTGGTAAGCCAAAACCAGAGCAAAACTACAACAGTTCTTAGAAAGCCATTACAAAGCTGCTTAATCATATCCCCCCCCCCCCCTAAAATGTCAAATATTTATTTGAACATGTTATATAAAAATAATGTTGCCATAACATAATTATTATCATTCAAATAAATATTTGTACATCTTTCAGGTAAATACTGATTGAAAAAATACTTTTTCTATTAAAATAATATATGTAGACATACTTAATTTTCAAACGTTAAGTCTGTGAGACAGTTTATACACTTTTATGCAATGGCCATTTGAACAATATTCTTATTCTTCTGAAACCTCTATTGTATAAGAAATTGTTGACTTACTCTTAAAGAGTACTTGTATGAATCCCCACCTTCCTCTTGACCTGTAAATTAAACAGGATAAATAACAATTTAGATACTTTAAAATTTATTTATTTATATAATACAGAAATTCTGTTTCAAATTTGTAATAAATAATAAAGTTTGCCTACTCACAGAATTGTTCAGGATCTGCATCCCATGTTGTAAGGTCATCAGTTGTTAAAAGAAAGTAATCAGAAACAAGCCGCCGACATATTTCAGATAAAGTGTCAAATGTGAAAAACTCTGTGATAATCTTATTAGCCTCTAATGTCACTGGGCAGGTATCATCTGAAACAAAAGGTTTACATTTGAGTAGACATTTAGACTAATAAAATTTGTTTTACATGAATGAAAAAAAATTCCTTAAAATATTTTAAACACGTACTAATTCCTTAAAAAATTTGATTCCCCTTAAGCCATTTCCTTTCTTTAAAACCATTTATTTTCATGTAATCTTTGCCACATTTCTGACAACTTAAGGAAGTTTAAATACTGCTTTTACGAAATTAATCTACCAATAACTTTCTGCGGAAATGACTGAAAGCAAGTTCTAGTCAAAGAAGAGTATACCATGAGCATATTAGATTTTAAACAGTTTTCAATGAATTATCTTTTTTTTTAATTTTTTTTTTTTTTAATAACTTTCACCAAAATTTACAGAGTATAGGATATGGAGTGAAATTGGTGGCAATCCTTTGTTATGTTTTGGTGTGTTGAATGTCCCATTAGAGCCTGGTGGAATGTTTGTTGTCAAGCAACTTGTGTCCTGATTTTGTCTTTGTTGTTGTGGGAAAGTGTGTAATTTGTTGAAAAGGCATTAGAGCAGAAAAAGTCATCATTAGTTGGATCATTAAGTAGAGCTGAATCAGTTTTTTTAGTAGGATTATTAGTTTGAGTAGAATCCTTGGTAGTGAGCCACACTAGTTATTTTTAATAAGAAATATATAGCACTACGGTTATTTTTAATAAGTAATAAATGACCATCTAAGATTAACGAACAGTCTTCACAGAAGTTTGTGTTGTCTTAAATTCTTTTAAAAAACATTTGAATGTCTTGTGGAAGATCGAACATATTCATTGCTTAGAGCTTTATCATTTACCATCATTATTTTTCCTTGGCTTGTATGCATCACTGAACAGAATCTGCTTCATTAAATTAAAACAATTCACTGTGAACCTCTCAAACAGAAGACCTATGAATTTTAAGTAGGAAATAAGTCATGTTAAACAACAATTTTTAATAAAAATTTTTTATAGGACAGCAAGTGAAGAACTCATCATTTTTCTAATACTTCTATTACACAAATTTTAACTGTTTTCCTGAACAATAAATATTTGATTTATAAAAGAACATTGAAGAAATTTTAACTAACAGAACACACTTCTGGCCCTCACTATTTTAAGATGTAGAGTCTGAGGACCCAAATCTCTTGATTTTCAAATAATTTTTTAAAAATATATATATACTGATGCATTTTGATCATAAGTAAAGAAAAAGAATAGACAACTATCATATTTTGTATAATATAATTATACTTATAACAAACCTTTAGCTGTAAAGTTGTATTGTACCACAAATGTGAGTGTTGTTTTTATAAAGTGTACATAGGATGTTGGGTGCATCTCTAGCAAGTCCAGCAGCTGGGAACAAACACATATTATTTATAAATGATTTGTCATGGCATTAAATGTTTCTAAAAATCGTATTACATTAAATGATCTTCATAAGTTGTGACAAAATATTACCCCTTTACTATTGAGCTAACTTTTCATGAGGTATATATCCCTTTTTTCTACTTAATTAATTAAATATAATAGATAAAGAAAGTGCAGAATATTGTATTTGGAACTTACTTACCACTTTGGTTATTAATGAAATTAAGTGCTCACATTTTTCAAGCATAGCATGATGACCCCAAAGACTTCTTCCTGCATTAAATGAGAATTCAGACATGTTCAATATTACCATTTAAAAAAGAAAACTCCCAAACTTTATTTTTCATTTCACTTTAAAAAAATAAAATGGATGAAATTGATTATATTTACTTTCTTCAAAGTCCAAAACAAGACACATAAAAGTTTATGTTAATCATTAATCAGTTGCTAGTGTTAGTTACTGCGCAATGTTAACATTGTCTGCCTCTCAAACAAGAGGCAGTTGGTTCAAATACATTTGGGGTTGTCCCCAGCTGTAATTATTTAGCCAGATGGAATGGATTTAAGTAAAAACCCTGAGAAAAATCTAAATACAGATGTCAGAGAGTAATTTGTAAGCAAATAAAAATCTGCCATCCAGATTAAATAGCTATGATCTTACCAAGTAAGCTAAAGCTGCCAGAATAAATCAGAAACATCAACAAATATAGTTTAAAAATGAGTTGTTGCTTTTCTTAATGACTAGTTTTCCAAAATGTTTACATAAATTAAACTTAGCTCCCTTTAAAATTAAAAAATTGTAAATCAAAACTATATTTGAAATTATACATTTTTAATTAAAGAAATCCACTATCCAGAATGCATAACTTACTACAATCTAAAAGTGCATCTAACTGAGGGAAGAGATTGGCGATGAAGTTCATTGCATCTTCACTTTTGTGTACTTCCTTAAAGCCATAGCACACCTGCTTCCTCAGAACTGTTTATAAAATAAAAATGTTTTTCATACAATAATGAATAAAAAGTATTATTACATTATGCTCACATCTTACCTCAGAATCTACAGATATGATCACAAATATAGTCAATTGAGGATATAAATTTTATAAAAGGCATTTATAGATTTCCTCTGATTCTACTCTATTCAAAACTATCTAGCTTTGTAAGTACACCTGCATTAATGGCATCAAATTAGCACATTAAAAGTAGGCACAAATACACTTTTGAGAGTTTACATTTATTCCTTCTCATTATTAGAAATGATTTTACTGTTTAGTCAGGTTATTAAAGAATTTAAACTCTATAAAGAATTTATGCTCTGAATATTAATCTTTATAACGATCTTATGATACTCTTACTTTTTAAGATAAGACGACAGCGGTCAATTACTGGTGTCATAGATTCATCATGTTGAGCGGCTACCTGGAAAAACCTGCCCAGCTGAGTGTTCCACAGTAACACCATGTAAGCAAATACATCTTGAGTAAGCTGAGGCAATGACATAAAATGTGAATATCTTTTCAAAAGGAAAACATAGATATTTTATGCAATAATGGCTCTTCAAATCTTTTGACTATCCATGAAATATATGGTTTGAATCATTGTTATTTTTCATTTGATTGGGATCATTGTTAACCAAAGCTAGCGATAACAAAAAAAAGCGAAGATCATTGAGAGGCTAATGGATTTCCAAGATAAAAAAAAAATCATTAACTAACACGCTTAGTGAAAATTCTCGCTGAAGAAAAGTTGATATCAGAGTCTAATAGAAGGCTGCAATGAATAAAATTTAGGAAAAAGAAAATACCTCCTCAAACAACTTTTTATCTGGAGCTAATCTTTTGGATGCCAGAGTCTTAGTAACATGATGTAGCACTAAAAGTGCCCTCTCTTGAACAAGCTGTTCTTCACAACGTACAGCATTATGCAAAGTTGGAAGAAGTGCATCCCAGTTCCTTGGACAATCAAGACGTGCAATTTTGGCAGTAAGAACAGCAATCTGTGTAGCAATCTGGAAAAAGAAGTTTAAAATTTGTACAGCCCCTTAATGTTGTATACATTATGTTAAAATCTTAGCCACAATGATCAGTTAATAAATGAAACTATATTTTACTTGTCAGACTTAAACTTTATAAAAATGCATTTGCTTTATATGTCGATCTTACCTGTGGTACTGGCTCTGTGAAGTCAGAAACAAGCCTTTTCTTGATAGCCTCTTTCTCTTCCTCAGATATTGCACTGAAAAACAGTATCTTACTATTATAAAACTATTTCACAATAATCAATACTGATAACATTACTGTTTGATATTTACAATCACAAACCACAAAATAATGTTTACAACAGAATCCTGTCAACTCAAACATCAGGTAAAATCATTGTAAAATGGTAGTAACTTCATTACCAGTTGTAGCTTGTAGGGAATTTTGAAAATAAGGACTGTGCTCTTGCTTATATGTTGATTTTGTATATTTTAAGAAGAAATTCATAACAATTATTAAAAGGGGTATCTTCAACTTGGAGAAATCTATCACTACTTTTAAATTTTTGGGTTGTGCACACTTTAACATTAATACCCACTTGGGTGCTGATTTTCTCCAGTATCTGTCAATGCCATTTTTGCAATAAAGGGCAGCTAGCCATCTAACATTGGCATCAATCACATGATTGCAAAAGATGTCCTGTGAATAATTTTGAAATAAGACCTTAAAAAGAGGCATAACAATTTTTATAATAAGATACAGAGTTGAGTGGAATAACTTTTTATTTTACTCTCCTTGTCTTTTAATGAAACACCCAACCCTTTTAAACAAATAAAACAAAAAGGATTCAATAGTTTTAGTTTGGCATATTTACGTAGCTGTGTCAATACAGGATCTTACTGTCAAAATAGAATAAAATCCTGGCTCTGTCTCCCATTGTTGCAATTTATGTTCCGCCGGCTTTAAAACAGCTGCATTCTGGCTGCATGCATTGGCTAAAGTTTCCAAGACAATCGGTTTAGCTGATTCTAAGCTACTTTCCATCTTGTGATGCATCTAGTAATATGTCAACAAATTTACAATTGTGTAGACATCTGAAGGGGGGTGCAAGGTGATGATGTTTGTACAAGGTACAGATTAGTAGAAGAAATGAAGTTAAAAAGCACCATCAGAGTCATTTTAACAATTAAAACTATTTAGAAGTCAGTGTGCTCTGCTCATCTGTCCCCTTAGTAATTGTGTGAAACTTCATTTGTTTTGTAGCAAATTCTGTCCTGGGGAAAAAAAAAACATTATTAACAATAGACTTGAATTTTTCATGGGATATTATTTTTATTGCTAAAAACAGAGATTACTTCTAAAATAAAGTAAGTTTGTAATTAAATAATAGCCATCTTTTTTTAAAATAATGCAGAAAATTAAAATTTCCTGTCATTTTAAGTGACTCAAAATAAACTCATAATCATGTTTCCTTTCTTACTAATGTTTACTGCAATTAGCTGTTTCCCAAAATATGAGTCTGAGTAACAAACATCATGATAACTGATATAAAGATATTTGAGTTTCTACTACACTTGATAAACGATTCTTTAAATAATTCGACTACTAATCTTTAGCACATAATTTCTAAACAAGTGGTTTTTAATAAGTGGTAAGGAAATATCTATATGAGACTGCAGGAGTTTGGCATACTCAACAAACTGTAAAGACTGATTACATATAACATTAAACAAATCAAGGCAAAATCAAGGATGAGGGTGAATATTCAAGGGAATTTCTGATTAAATAAGACCTAAGACAAGGAGGGAATCCCTGTTTTGTATGCTATTTAACCTAAAATAAGAGAGAGTTATAAGAAGCATACACATTAACACTTGAGGAACAATCTCAGTACACTTTCTGAAACAAAGACCCAAAACCAATAGACACTCAATAACCAACCCCTCCAGTATCTTGCATATGCTATTGACATAGCACTGTCAGGGAAAATTAGTTAAGACTTATCTAAACCTTTTATTGAATAATAAGACGCATCACTACAAGCAAGGCTGGAAGTTAGCAACCAAAAAAAAAAGTACATAACTATGTTAAGAGAAAAACAGACATTTGAAACAAATTAAAAACCAAACTTTTGAAAAATTAAATCAATTCAAATACCTAGGGTCCCTAATAAATGAAAGGAATGAATCACTAACAGAAAAAAAAAAAAAAGAAAAAAAAAAAAAAAAAAAAAACAAAAAAAAGGAAAAAAAAAAAAAAAAAAAAAAAAAAAAAAAAAATAAAAAAAAAACAAATTAAGAGAAAAACAGACATTTGAAAAAAATTAAAAACCAAAATTTTGAAAAATTAAATCAATTCAAATACCTAGGGTCCCTAATAAATGAAAGGAATGAATCACTAACAGAAAAAAAAAAAAAAGGATAAAAAAAAAAGAATATCATCCAGAAATTGGGCATACTTCAGTATTCACAAAAGAAAAAAAACATTTTTAAAAAAGCAAAGAAAACTATATACAAAACTGTAATCAGGCCAGTAGTAAAGTGAAACTTGGACCCTAGCAAAAAGTGCAGTACACCTATTAAACACATGAGAGAGAAAAGTTCTCCAGAAAATATGGATTAATTTAGTACGAATTATATCAGGATCCCACGCTATAAGCAGAAATAAAAAGGTCACGGCACTAGGCAGGACACTTAGAAAGAATGCCAAATGACAGATGAGTGAAGAGGGTGCACCATCAAAACATCACAGGAAAACGGCTCAAAGGCAGACCTAGGCTTAGATGGATAAATGATGCAGAAAAAGATCTACAGCAGCTGGGAATCTATGCATGGAAAAGAAAAGCATCAGTTAGGTATGTGTGAAAGGAAGTGGTAAGGCAGGCCAAAGCCCTACATGGGCTTTAGTGCCACGGGGATTGATGGATGTTTGTTGTTGACTTGGTAGTCTGAGGATGGATGCTGGGTGGCTGAGCTGCCTAAACTGAGTCAATTCCAAGCTAGTATTATAGCTCGTGACATGAACAACAGAATTGGGTCACAGAATGTGGAGATGCTGTCCAGGTTAAAAAAGGACAAACAAAGTCGTGCTTTGAAAATTGACAGCAGAAACTACTAAAGAAAGAAAGTTGATTTTGGTTTCATTTTTTTAAATTGAAAGTTTGCTCAATTATACTTTACTATACTTATATACTGCTTTGATAAATTTTTTATACCAAAGTACCTACAGTAGTAATAATAGTAGTTTCATAGTCATAGTAGTAGTTAGCCTAAATCACCCTAAGTTAGCCTAAAACTAACTTAAAATAGTTAAAGTTAAATTAAATAGATATAAAATTCACAATAATAAATAATTAATTAGAAATAGGATTAGCTTAGACTTATTAGAGCTAGTCTATTTCAGAATTATTTTATAAGCCTACTTAACTACAAGTAATGTCCCAAGTAGGTTACGACTATGAGATTCAGTATTATTTTTTATGCGTATGAATATAAAGTTGAAAATATCCAAATAGTAAAAATAGTGTCTAAGTCTAAGTGAGTGATAATACTAAGAAGTGTCAATTGACAATAGACCACTATTGTTCATGAATATCTCCCCATCCATACAACAACAGTTATGTCGGGTTGAATATCTCTCGCAACTTTTTATCATGCCTCATTAAACACTTTAAAGTGAAATAATGAAAAAGAAAAGACACACACTTTGTTAAATTATTCTTTCTTCTTTCTAAAGTACTGTAAGTCCCTTCTATCTGGGCGCGGCCATCTTATTTCAAGGTTCAGGATTCTCGATTCAACGAAACAAAACAATATTAAACATGAAGAATGTAAACATCTTGCTTTGTTTTTTTTAAATATTTATGTATCATTTTTTTTTTGAGACATGAAAAAATATACAAATAATTGCACTAATTCACAAACTGTGCTTTGACCTTTCCTTTTTTGTTTTTGTAAATCATTTTTAGGAAATTTAATTGTTTAAATAATCAAGTTAAATAACTGTCAGTCACCCCCATTCTTCACTATGACACTGCTTCAAATTAAATTTAATAATTATATAAGTAAGAAGTACGCGTAGCCTATTAATAATAAAAGTTTATGTTCTAATTTATACATTTTTATATTATTTACAACTTTTTAGGCCGGTAGGTATAATCCCCAAATTGTGCGCAGCAGAGCTTTTTTGGTGAGTCGCAGCTTCATCACAAGGGCGCTACGAAATATAATGTCATTATATACATTGGCGATTCATTGTGATAGGCGCATCGTAATAGAGCTGGTGAAAACCAGGAACCACTTGCGTAAGAATGGAGTGGAGAGGTAGTAATTGTTCTACATAGGCCTATTTATGAGCAACTGAAGATTTTTTCGTGGAGATGGGGCGGCAAAAATCTTGGCCCGCCACGGGGTGTCCCTAACACTAGCTATGCCATTGCTAGTTATTCGATAATAATTGTTTGCAGAAGCCTTTACACATGGTTACTAGATACTGCCATGTGATCTTAAATACAAAGAGCCGTCGCGGATGCCCTGCATCACCTGCTCAAAGTGGCAGGGGAAGAAATACGAAACATGAGGCGTCCAAAAGTCACGCAACGGCATAATTAAATAATATATTGACTGTCGACTTTTTAGACATTTAAATAACTCAATTTAGATAATTGACTAAGATTTAGATATACGAAAACGCTGACTTTTTTAATCTAAAGAATGATTACTGGATCGTAATAAAATATAATTAAGCTATATTATAATTATTATTATTGGTAAACGTGTTTTTTAAACGATTTATTTGTCGGCAATTCTTTTAGGACTAATGACAATATCAAGTCACTATGGCACTTTCCTCATTTATTTTAGTATTATTATGTTTCAAAGAAAGAAAAAAAAAAAATTAATTAAAATAATTTAAAAAAAAATATTTTTTTTGAACACTTTCCCATAAATTCAAAAGTTTCATAGGAAACATCTATAAATAGACGATATCACATGATCTTGCGAAAACTTTGATGGCATCGGATTTGGCGTTATTAGCAACTATTCGTATATCAAAATATGGGGATATTTTCATTAACATTGTTAATTGTTGTATTTAGAAACACAAATGTGGCTTTATCAGCCGATTCTATTGTTTTCGACAATTCGCAGGGCTTAGGGCGGTTATTTGATGGCATTGGAGGACTCAGCGGAGGAGGAGTGAGTTCAAAAATAGTTCAATTTTCAATAAAATCATTTTGACTTCTTAACTTGACTATACTTTGACATCTCACAACTGAGTTAATATTTTAAGCTTGAACTTGAGTCTAATTACTAATTTAATTTATTTTAAAATCCTTTGCATTTATCTTCGCTTTTGTTCATGGCTGGCTGGCAAAATCTTTGGACGGCTAACTGACCCACTTCTTGTCAACCTCGTCAGTAGTAATACTAATACAGCTGAAACTTGGCACTTGACTTAGACAGAGACTCGTTGCTGATGACAACACATTCTATACAATTTCCGGCCCCACCCGACAACTCCAAAAAGTAATTTTTTTTCACTGGGAAGATGAAGGAAATTTGGTGACGTTGATTTCATAAATTAAAATTCCAGATAACTGCACTAAAGGAGATTCTTTTTTAAAATAAACATCGCAACTGCTTTTGATGCGTAGTATTTTCTTTTGATTTTCTGAAATAGTTGGTGAAATAAAAATGAGTTTAAAAAAAAAAAGGGGGGGGGGGTTCATTATAATATTAATAAGCCTATAGTTAAGGGGCATGAAAAAATTGTGCTGTTGCGAGTCGGGGGGGGGGGGTTGATACTAATTGGGATTCTTATAAAGTGAATTACTTGTATAATTATGCATGTTTTGTCAGATTTTCAGCCCCCCACCCCATTGCACAATATTACATTTTATAATAAAGGGTTTATTCAAAAAACATTTTTTTAAAGTGATGTTTAAAATACCTGAAACAAAACAAAAAATTTTGAGGTTGGTTATCTAATTATCATTTTCATGTCAATGATAATTGTCAGTCATGACATGAGACATGAGTCACACAAATGTTAACTTATGTCTCCAGTAAATCAACTTCTTTGGGTCTGATGTAGCTAGTTCAAATAATTTAAAAAATGTATTTATAAATATAATGGGGAATTTCATCAACAATTTTTGTGTGGTTCCCCTCATCTTTTTTTCCCCAGGCAAACACACAAACCTTTTTCTCTCATATAGTTTTACACCATAATTTATTCTAGCAACTCATTTTGACTTCATCTTCATCAAAACAATAAGAAAAACATGTTTACTTACTTAACTACACTAACTAACAAGTCTAAACACCATGATTATGATGATTATAAATATAACAGTTATTATCATTTCAATTATCTAGTGTGATTAGTAATAAAAAGTTACAACACACTCTTAATTTTCCCCTACTGTTCAAATTGTATTTCTTCTTATCATCATGGCATAAACACAGTGCATTATGATTACACATTTTATTAAACAATTGGCTTACAATTGGCTTAAAAAATAAATTTTTTGCAAATTTGAAAGGCTACATCAAAACTTTTGGTCAACTACCCATTACAGCAACGAAATGAAATACTGGATTACTTGTTTAAGGTGAGAAAAATAAAATAAGAGATGTTCTGGATGCTTTTTATTTGCTAAATTAATATCTGTAAAACTTATTTTGATCTGGAAAAATTAAATTTTGACGTTTTTTTAGTCTATTCATTAAAAATATTACTTTAAATTGTGATTGGGTACAGTTAATTTATGTGTTGCTCAATATCACAACCTGCATAATAAATAAAACATTACTCAAGTTGATTCCTAAATTAGCATATGGCTTATACAGATATTGTAACTGTTAAAGCAATGATTTACATTGGTATCTTTGTAAATATCTTTTATTAATGTAACACTATTTTTCTGTCACTAATTTCCCAGCCAAAATTTGGAGCTTCTCTTCAGATTTTGAAAGTAGAAATAGGAGGGGATGTTGAAAGTACAGGTAAGTTACTTATAAATGGATATTATATCTTTCACAAGCATTACTTACTTAACACTGTGCTGTGCTCCAGCTTGTATTATTTATAATTTGAAACATTATTGATACATGATGACTTTACTTTTAATTCTGTAAATTATTTTGGCTGATAGCTCCCTATCTTTATTTATATTTTTTTGTACCGCAGACAATTTTTATTTTCACAGCAAGTACCTGCTATCTTCCAACTTCATGCTTGAGTTTTTTAACTTAGGTTTTATCTCATCAGCTATAATAGTTAGCTTATTTAAGTAGAATATTAGCATTGTAAAAGGGCAAATCAAATTATAAGAAATATTTTCTAAATAATTATAATTTAAAAAATGCTACATTTAGTACAAAACGTTTTATTTTATTTTAGATGGCACAGAAGCATCACACATGCATAATAGTTGGGATGAAAACTATGAGAGGGGCTATGAGTGGTGGCTGATGATGGAAGCCAAAAAGGTCTGACCAAATAATAGTTGTTTAAGTCCATTCATGAGAATTTTGGTACGTCAAATTTCACGCAGAATATAACACATGGTTTTAAAACATATCCACTTTTTCTAGGTTTAAGGGTTATTATATTCAGAATCTATTTTCATTATTGGATGAATACTGGATAATAATTATAAATAGTAGCAAACATTTCATTGCATCATTTTAAAACATTTTGTATATTTTAAAATCATTTTAACTTAATTCTAAATCTTACTTGAATTTTTAAAACAAAATCTATTCATAATTTTTAAATTGGAACACATACTTTTTTTGGATAGCGTTTATGTTAGAAAACAATTTTGGTTGTAATCTACTTTAGTTGTTTCTTTGTTCAGAGAAATCCAGGTATCAAGCTATATGGTTTGCCATGGGGGTTTCCAGGCTGGTTAGGACAAGGAACTCAGTCACCATATGCAAATGTCAGTGTCACAGCAGACTACATTGTTCGATGGATTAATGGTGCCAAGATGTGGTACAACTTAACCATTGATTACATAGGAGTATGTTTTCATTTTTGTTTCTCTTTTAGATTTAATATTGAATCTTAAAATAATAAAATAAACCATTAATATTTAGGCCTACTCATTTTGTAAATAAAACTTGGTCACAAATAAAAAATAACAAGATACCAACATTGGCTGTCTAAGTTGTGGCATTACTATGATTACATCCTTGAAATATTTTTTTCTTCCCTTCGTAATTGTATATACTAAAAAAAAAAACTGAATAGGGAAGCACTACCCCTTGTACCAGATTCATCAATACGGCACAAGTGCGTATATTACACTAGTAAAATAAAATAATTTTTATTTGACTTTGTATTTTCAAATTAAATCAAAGAAGTATTTAATTTTTGAAAATTTCTGTTCAGTGTCATAATAAAACTTAACATATATTTAACTTGTTAAAATTGGCAGATTTTGCAATGTTAAATAACACCTTTGCGGTCTGTTTTGACAAAGTCATGACCGTAGCTAACTTTTAGAACACCCAATTTTATTTTGTTTCAATGGCTAACTTTTAAACTGATGTATTTTCAATTAGTCAAATTGAATGACCTTTCAGTGAGAATTGTTTTAACAAATTTTCGAAGGGGTTAAATACTTTTTCACACTGTAATAGAGTGTCTTGTTTTTTATTTAACTTAAATTTACTTTATTTAATACTATTTCAGATCTGGAATGAAAAAAGATATGAAATATCTTACATCAAAGTGAGTTAATTAATACTATTCAGTATGACTGCTTTATTAAGTATCCACATCAATTTATTTATTACTCACACACAAATATGTATTTATTTCATTGATTGTTAAAATGTTAAATCTTTTTAGAAACTTACATTATAATCCATTTGGTATTCTTATCTTGTGCTGTTTATACATTGTCTTTGCTAATATGTGCAGACATTGTTTTCTGACAAAATTTAGGCCCTTAGAGCTTTATTGGATCAACGAGGCTTTCAAAATACCCTTATCATAGCAGCAGATGAAAAATGGGAAATTGCTAAAGACATAGAAAAAGATGCAGCTCTGGCTAGTGCCGTGCATGCAATAGGGTAAATTATTCTTTAACTAAATATAAAGCATTAAATGTTTTACAATAAATGTATGAGAAAAAAATTCATTATATATTAATTGAAACTTTGGATCTGAAACCTCATTATGTATAATTATGATTTATAAATCCTTCTGAACCTGCTTGCAAGTATAAATAACCAAAAATAATTTTGCACATTAAAAGTTAGTTAATGTTCAAAATCCACTAAGCCACCCTACAAAATGTGCAACTAAATTCTCCTAGGAATAAAAAAAATATTTGAAGCATAAGGGTATGTCATTTGTAGACCAGTCATTCAAAGTCACTGAGCCAAAATACATCTACCTTATGTGTAGTTTTATGTTAACTGCAAAAAGTGCCAATTTAATTTCAACACAGCTGTCACTATCCTGGTACATACTCAAATCAAGATGCTGTAAAGACTGGAAAACAATTGTGGGCATCAGAAGATTACAGCACATTTAATGATGAAATTGGTGGAGGATGTTGGGCCAGGGTAATAGTCTCCACATTTAAAAATTCATTATTTTAACATGGCTAAGTTTAGAAATCACTTTTATAAAAAAGAAAATAAATTTTATAAAAACATTTTGATTTAAAACTGTTGCTTGAAACTGTTAAGTGGTAATAGTTGTATCTGTTAAGACTGATATTCTATTTACATATTAATTATTCAAAACAACTGTTCAGCTCAATATTTAACCATCTAATTTTTTTTAATTGATTCAGTATTTATGAATAAATTAATTCACAGATCTTGAACCAAAACTATGTTAATGGACTAATGACATCGTAAGTGAATGATAATTTTATGTCTTGTAAATTAAATATTTTATTACAAAATTTTTGATCATTTTTATAGAAAGGCTTTTAAATAAAAAGACCACACATATTTCTAAGAGAACTGAAACACTGTTTGTATATATATATGTATATATATTTAATATTTTTGGTCATAGTAAATTACAACTGCTGTCGTTAAAGCAGCTAAAAATTATTTTGTTTTTTTAGTTTATATTTTTATTGAATTCTTCATTAAATAGCCTTGAAAGTTATCAACTTAAGATATTTTGTTCAAACTTTCTTTTCCATCATCAATTTTCCCTTTTACGCTAGGACATTTTCATGGAATCTCATAGCAAGTTATTATGAAGGACTTCCTTACTTTAGAGATGGTCTTATGACTGCAGTACAGCCATGGTCTGGTAATTATATTGTGGAGACTCCAATTTGGCTTACAGGTACATTCTATAATCAAATTAAAGTTAACTTTTGGTTTCCAAAATTATTTGTAAAAATGTTGATCTAAATGATGAATGAGTACTTTGTTAGTAATATCAAAGCATATCAAAAACTAATCTATATTACAGTGTTTTTAATACTGTGTGTCACAACTCATTAGTGTGTTGCCTTCAGGGTGAAGGTGTGTTGCATGAAAATAAGCCATGCAAACTTTTATTCATTTTTTTAAGACTTAAAAAAAAACCCACATAAAATGAATTAGTATAAGTCACGGACATAGTGGTGCAAATGATAAATTATGAAAAGCAGAACTCAATCAAGATTATTTTGCTAATATTTCTTAAAAAATGGGGTCATGCTACAAAACTTTAAGAATTGTTTCAAAATAAAACAGTAAATGTGAAGATTAACCCAGTAGTATAATGTTTTGGGCAACAAAATCTCATTTTGCCAGATTTTTTTTCCACATATCCTTTTTGTTTTTGCCCAGCTCACACAACACAGTTTACTGATATTGGGTGGAACTACCTGAAACATGGCAGTGGAGTTGGGAAGTTACCAAAGGGTGGATCTTATGTAGGTCTGGTTAGTCCAGATGGTGGTCAGATGACTATTGTTATTGAAACAATGGTAGGTTGCAGTAATAAAGCTAATTGTTATTATTTAATCTTGCCTGTTTGTTTACTGTAACAAGATTGTAATTTTTTTGTTTTCAACACTCTTTAATTTTTAGTGACAGGAACCTTGCCATTTATGCATGTGTGAAAAACAATTTTTTTATCACTACAAAAGAAATAGGTTAAAAAATTGAACTAGTTGAACATTAATATGTGTTTTAAATTTATTTTAACTATATGTATACTCTGAGCTTATATGATCACAGATGTGTTTGAAAATGTATAGCATTGTTTTAAAATCCACCAGACTCACAATCATTCACTTTGTATTAGACCTCCCCTGCCAAAATATGATGTCCAGCCACAGAATGTCATCATTACAATTAAAGGATCTTTTGTGAGTGGTCTTTATTTTAAAAATTGTTAATCTGTAACTTATTCATCTTAATCAAATTTATACATAGAATTTTATTTTATTTGCAATATTTACATTTGTTTTTTAATTTTATTGTGCAACAAATTTTATTTAATTTTCAATGTTCACATATATTTGTGTATTTTATTGTGTATATTTTGGTTCTTTCTTTATTCAAAATTTTGTCCTGATATAATTATTAAAAATATTTTTAATTGCTATTTATAAATTTCTTATTAATTTATTTACTTCGTTTCTTATAAAATTATTCAAAGAAATTGTAGGGTTATTTTTTTAAAAACTTTCACATTAACAATTTAATTTTTTTTTAAAAATGATAGATCTAACCCTTTTATTATTTTCACCTATTATAAAAAAAAATTCACTTCCTTATAACAGATTTTAAAAATCATTAATATTGAAAAAAAAAAAAATCTCAATCACCAGGCCCAAATTGCAGAGATGAATGTCTGGTATAGTAAGCTGGGATTTAATGGAGCTCCTAATATAATGTTTCAGAAGCAAAGCTCACTCAAGGTATGTTAAAATTGTAATTATCTTTGAATTTATCTTACTATTTATTTTTATATGTTTTATTAAAACTGTGTTTGATCATATAATTACAGTGAAATGAATAAGATACATATATCTATTTTACCATCTTTTCCAAAATTATCTGATCATCATCTGTCATCAAAGAATAGTATTTTTGCTTTAAAATTCTACATTTGTCTAATCTCACCTTCATTGGGTGTGTGATGAAAAAGAAAGGAAAGTGACCATTAGTGTGATTATAAATTTCATACTTAATGATTAGCTAGATAGTTAAAGTCATAAGGTCGCCTGAGATAATAAAATTAAATATTAGTTGCAAAAGTTGATCATTCACCATAGATGTTTGGCAAGTCTGATAATAGTCAATATGTTGCCTCTCAACAGTTTAAAAATGGTCAAGCTGAACTACAGCTAGGACTCGATGAAGTGTTAACACTGACAACTGTAGCACTTGGTCAAAAGGGAGCCTATCCAGATCCTCCTGCACCAAAACCATTTCCACTCCCTTACAAAGATGATTTTGAAGGTATACAAAAAATTATCTAATTTTACATTACAATGGCATCAAAGATACTTGATTATTTTTTTTACTCTACCGCTATTATAGATACCTTACAATAGTTCAATTATAACTTATCTATAACTGCATGAGGCAAACTGATTTTAAAATATGTACACGATTTTTATTAATGCATCACTTTTATATTAGATTTAAACATTTTAGTACATTTGAATGAATATTTTAATTAACTTGTTTGCAGAATTGTAATAGAGAATGCATTTTTCATGATTAATATTGGTTTAAAAAAAAACTAAAAACATTTTGAGAAGTAGTTTGCTTTTATCCATAATGGTTTCTTTAAAAACCTTTGAAATTCGATTATTACAAATTTTCAGTGTTGGGCACTTATATATTCTTTATTTCTTTATTCAAATTATTTCACAAGAATAGCCAAGAAGTTATACCAAAATGAAATATTTGTGGTAATTTTTGTCCACTTTGCTTCTGCTTTAGGTAATTCCTTGTATCAGGAGCCCTTTAACTTAGCCCAGCAAACTGGGTCTTATGAGGTTCTGAGTGATGGTCAGAACAAATTTATTAGGCAGATGGTTTTGAACACGCCAGTTGCTTGGTGTGGTGCTGACAGATGGAATAAATCTATTAATGTGATTGGTGAAATTAATTGGTAAGAGGGCCACCTCTTGTAAAGCTGTAAACATTAATTAAACAACCCCTAAAAGCAGAGAAGCACATGAAAAGAAGAGAAGTTAATATAAAGGATTTAAAAAGATGGCAGACTATAACTAAATATGCTTACAAGCTCTTTCCAGGAATTAAAATTATCTGGTTCACATTTGACTAACACTCGCTTTTTCCTAACTGGAAACGGGCAGTCTTGTTCATATCTAAGCAACCTTCATTTTTTTAGGATCCTGGCGACCTACTCTGCTAAAACCTTGCATATAGCATTTTATTTACAAGTGATTCTTTGATAACTCATTCATGATTTTTTTTAGACCACCTTTTACCGTGGAGTAAAGAATTTAGAGTAAACAAAAGATGAATTAGTAAATCCATAAATGTCAGTATCTGATAGATTTTTTTTCAAGGTTTTGTGCAAAAGTTTTAACTCTGCAGGCCATTAAAATTTAAAATATTATTTTTACCTACAATTGTTGATATATTTTTCTCCATATCTGACTTCATGCATTTTAATTTTCCAATTCTCATTGGTTCTTGATTGGAAGATTCCAGCAGAAAAATAATTTATGGGCTAAATTCAAATAACAATTGTTAATAGTATTCATTTGAATGACATGTCTTCTCATTACACTTTTGAACACAGTCAACTTTTTAATTAAAATAAGTCAACGCATTCATCTAAAAATGGGCTTGCCATTAACAGGGGATACCAAAAAAAAAAATTTTTTTAAAATTAAACTTATTTTTATACACCAAGCTATATTCAAAATGCAAAATTTTTATAACTTAAAGCTTCAGTGGTGTTGTCTTTGATACAAGAGTTTCAAATAAGTAACATCTGAACAATTTTGGTAATGGGTTTGATTCTCTTCCACTTTTTAGTATCTTAAATATTACTAGATAGCTATGTATCCTCAAGGATGTACCTTGTGCTGGTACACTTAAGGCTCTCAGAACTCAAAAAAAATAATATCCAAGCGTACTGCACGCCACTGTGCCAGCACTTACTGGTTGGACCTTTGCCACTGTTTACAATTGGCTTCTGATAATGGGTATGCAAGGGGCATGTACAAGGGCATCAAGAGGGCACGAGGTCCACTTATTTAAAAAATAGCACCCTCAAGTCAAGTTATCATGAACCCAGGTTATCAACTGCAGTGTAGGGTTGAGCATTGTCTTGAATTATACACAACAATGAATGTAGTCACTGAGACCGGACTGGAAAATATCCACGTCTTGTCAGTATTGGAAGAACTAAATGAAGAGCCAACTTTGCTCGAAATAGTAATTGATTACCTTGATGGAGGCTCCAAGGATTGACGACATTCCTCTAGAATTCATCAAAAATGGAAAACTATACTACTTCAGCCCTTACACCAGCTCCTCTGTGTTGAAAAGCAGGTCACATTGTCCAGGACATGAGAGGCACCAACATTGTAACATTGTCCAGGACATGAGAGGCACCAACATTGTAACATTGTCCAGGACATGAGAGGCACCAACATTGTAACATTGTCCAGGACATGAGAGGCACCAACATTGTAACATTGTCCAGGACATGAGAGGCACCAACATTGTAACATTGTCCAGGACATGAGAGGCACCAACATTGTAACATTGTCCAGGACTTGAGAGGCACCAACATTGTAACATTGTCCAGGACATGAGAGGCACCAACATTGTAACATTGTCCAGGACATGAGAGGCACCAACATTGTAACATTGTCCAGGACTTGAGAGGCACCAACATTGTAACATTGTCCAGGACATGAGAGGCACCAACATTGTAACATTGTCCAGGACATCAGAGGCACCAACATTGTAACATTGTCCAGAAATGAAGGTGACTGTAGCAATTGTAATAAATAACAAGGAATTTCTCTCCTTGGCTTAGTTGGACAAACGTTTGCCCATGTTGCCCTTAAACGATTGCAGAGTCTGGCTAACCGCATCTACACAGAGGCCCAGTGTGGCTTCCCAAGTGATCATTCAACTATAGAATTGATATTCTCGTTTCGCAGATTGCAGGAGAGTGTCATGAACAGTATTCCTTTCATAGATCTGATCAAGGTATTCGACTTAGTAAGCCAGAGTAGCATGTTCAGTATATTGTATAAACTAGGTTGTCCTCCATGATTGCTCACAATCATACAGTCATTTCACGAAAACAAGCAAAGCACAGTAACCTTCAATGGTGTGGTCTCTGAGGCATTCCCAGCCAGCAGCGGAGCAAAACAAGGCTGCGTACTTGCACCAACTCTTTTCTCCATTTTCTTCTCAATGCTTCTTCAGTTAGCCTTCAGGGACCGTGAAGACGGAGTGTCCATCCACGCCAGATCTGATGGCAGGCTGTTCAATATCGCCCACCTTCATGAAAAAGTCCAATTTAAAAAAGGTGATAATTTGTGAACTGCTGTTAGCTGATGATGGTGCCGTGACATCTCACACAGAAAAAGGTCTTCAATGGTTAGATAATTGCCTCTCTCACACATGTAAAGGGTTTGGACTGACCCTTAGTCTACAGTAAACATTTCATGATACAAGATCACAGCCCCCTCTAAACATAACGATTGAGGGCCATAATAGTTGAGAGTTTCACATAACTTGAATCCTATATCTCTAGTTCACTCTCCGTTGATGAAGAGGTGAACATTAGGATCGCAAAAGCAGCAGCAGCTATGGCTAATTGAATAAGCTGGTGTGGAATAAATTTAAACTAACTGAAAGTACAAAACTAAGCGTCCATCAGGCATGTGTGCTTAGTACGCTCCCATATGGCAGTGAAGTGGACCACATATTCCAGTCATGAGTGGAAACTAAACAGCTTCCACCAAAGATGTCTGCATTGCATTTTGCTCATTCGATGGCAGGACAAGGTGCCTAACACAAAGGTTATGGATCATACCATAATGTGCAGCATGCTCTCAGCAAGGGGCACATTTGCTGGTTAGGCCGTTGAAGGAAAATGGAGGAAGGCCATATTCAAAAATTGTAAGCTAAACTTCTCAAAATATAGATGTCAGTCCTATGATAACAATGTTAACATGTCTGGGCATTACAAGGGCATTCAGCAAAGAAAACAACAGCAATTAAAACCAACCAATTTGCTATATATGTACCCCATACATCCCAATCACTAAAGCCAACTGGCTGGAATGCTTGTGAATGCTCCATTCCAGCTGGCTGGAGCACTTGTGACTGCTCCATTCACTAAATCCTACTGGCTGTAGTGCTTGTGACTGCTCCATTCACTAAATCCAACTGGCTGGAGTGCTTGTGACTGCTCCATTCACTAAATCCAGCTGGCTGGAGCGCTTGTGACTGCTCCATTCACTTAATCCAATTGGCTGGAGTGCTTGTGTGGCTGGAGTGCTTGTGACTGCTCCATTCACCAAAGCCAACTGGCTGGAGTGCTTATGACTGCTCCATTCACTATAGCCAAGTGGCTGGAGTGCTTGTGACTGCTGCCAAGAGGCAGTTAATTTATTCTGGATGGTGCAGTTGCTGCATAACTTTTCTTTTTTAAGCATCAACCAGTCGTTGGCAAACCATTAAAAGTTGGAAACAAAAGTGTTTTAAAATCCCCCTGTTCTATAAGTTCTGTTCTATCTTAAGTGTCAGGTCTGTTCTATCTTAGGTGTCAGGTCTGTTCTATCTTAGGTGTCAGTTCTGTTTTATCATAAGTGTCAGTTCTGTTCTATCTTAAGTGTCAGGTCTGTTCTATCTTAGGTGTCAGTTCCTTTCTATCTTAAGTGTCAGTTCTGTTCTATCTTAAGTGTCAGTTCTGTTCTATCTTAAGTGACAGTTCTGTTCTATCTTAAGTGTCAGGTCTGTTCTATCTTAATTGTCAGTTCTGTTCTATCTTAGGTGTCAGTTCTGTCCAATCTCAAGTGTCAGGTCTGTTCTATCTTAGGTGTCAGTTCTGTTCTATCTTAAGTGTCAGTTCTGTTCTATTTTAGGTGTCAGATCTGTTCTGTCTTAAGTTTCAGTTCTGTTCTATCTTAAGTGTCAGTTCTGTTCTATCTTAAGTGTCAGTTCTGTTCTATCTTAAGTGTCAGTTCTGTTCTATCTTATGTGTCATGTCTATTCTATCTTAGGTGTCAGATCTATTCTATCTTAGGTGTCAGGTCTATTCTATCTTAGGTACAATTTTAATGCTACGGTTCATATTTCTTGTTTTTTTGAGTTGGATATATTTAAGGGGCACCAAAATGTTAACCTGCTTGAGGCACCTAAGGGTGTCACCCTGGCCCCTGCCTTCAATTTTAAGAGCTCCTCTGTTAAAAATATTTTAATTTTCAAATGGGTGAGTCTTATCATTAGCGTGCACAACAAGAAAGGTCATTTGTCAAGTGAGTCTTGTTCTTTTGTAATCACCTTATACAGATTTGTTTCATTTAAATGTATCATTGGAGATTTCCTAATTTCATAGTGTCATATCATACAGGACTTTCTGAAATTAAAAAAAGACATTTTTTTCTCTCTTTCACATTCCCAGCCTACTCATTGTCTCAAGAGCCTAATCTCCTCGCCCCTCAGATTGGCTCTTTAGAAGTTGTCAAATCCCAGAATGCATCTCACAGTAAGGTGTCTAGGCAAACAGTTCAGGATCCTCCAATCAAATGGTGCCCTATTACTTTGAGCTTTCCTATAGCAGTTATTGGTGATTATAACTGGTAAGACAGGCCACACATGGTGATTTGGTTGCTTTACATAGTCTTGGTCTTCTTGAATACTTGGTTTAATCATGTTTGCTAGTGACTTAAAAATAGTAAAACTTGGTCTGAAAAGTTTTAACAATCCTTCGTGCATGTGAATGACTTGACCAAACTGAACTGTTTTCCAGACTGCCTTGCCTTTTTTTTTTTTTTACATTTAGATATAAAAAAATGAAAAGAAGATGCAGGCTATTAAAAAAATAGCTGAAACTACAATTTTAGGCTAATTTTAAGTTTTGAAATGTCTGCTTAATTGAAATTGAAATCTTTTTTTTTTCTTTTTGGGTATAAATGGAAATCTTATGCCTGCTCTTGTTTTTCACAGATTGCAGAAAAATTAATCTGTAATATAGGGCTAAATGTATGTCTGTATTTTATATCAAATAAACATATCTTTCTAAAAGTTGTGAGCTATCACTATATTTAATTTTTTGTTTTTTTGTTTTTTGCATTAGGTTGATTACTTTATTAAACTAACTTTAAAATAATTTTAAGATGAAAAATGCTTATTTATTCATTGTTCTTGTTTCTTATTATTCGTCTTTATCATTGGAAATTGAATACAAATAAATACATATATTCTTTATATAATATCTACTAATGTTTATATTTCATTTGATTCAATGTCTGAGCATTGCTTGGTGTCCTAATCAATTGATTAAATGTATGAACATAGCTTGGCATCCTAATCAATTGATTAAATGTATGAACATAGCTTGGTGTCCTAATTGTTTGATTAAATGTATGAACATAGCTTGGTGTCCTAATTGTTTGATTAAATGTATTAACATTGCTTGGTGTCCTAATCATTTCATTAGATTTAAGACACGGACAAACTATCTTTTTAAAATATTCATTCCTTTCCATGCACTTTGTTTTTGATTATAGTAAATTTATTACATAAGCTTAAGAAAACAATTATGTATATTAAATATTTATGGATGGAAACATAATTTTCTGATTAGGATGATCTTAGTGGTCTGAATGAAATAATTTATTTTATTTACAGGATGGATATTTTTATTGAGGTGGAATATGAGATCCCAGCAATTAATGCCACTAGTGGGGTATTTGTAGCAGGAAGGGTGTCTGAAGGAGGATGTGATGTTTTTCTGGCTCATGGAGCTTTTTTCTTTGTTTTGAATGACGGCACCTACATACTTGCTAATGATTTAGGTAATAATTTATATTTCATTTATTCATGTATATTTTAAGATGGCTCTTATCGATTATTACATTATATGATATGGATAACACAGCTTCACAAAAAAAATCAGATAACATTACATTTTTTTGCCATCTATAACTTCATATGCATCATAATCCTTCAATACAATGTTATAGCTCCTAGTGACTACATTTTAAAAAAATCTTTTTTAAGAGTTATTTTAAAGAATACAAAAGATTTTGGAACAAAAGCAAAAATGTTTTAAAGCAAACATCTAGTTAATATAAATTTCATGTCAGATAATGCCTACAATGAAATTTATGGTTGACAAAAGCATGGGTGTCCTCATAATAATTTGGAAATGGGAGGTGGGGTCTCGCTCTGTCAGTCATGGACGGGAGACTTAGCTGGATAATAAATAATGTCATTCAAAATTATAAATTTAATTGTTTATATAAAGTCAGAGAGTTAATAATCAATTAGGAATAAGAGAGTTCACTTTTATTGTTGCACAGATTTTTTCTCCATTACGATTTAGTTATTAAAAATTTTTTCTCAATATCAGTTAGTAATACAGTATGTTTAGGGGGTCACCGGACGAAATTATTTTATTGGAGAAGATATGATAAATTGTACTCATTAAATTTAGCGTCTTTCGAAAATTTTGTCTCTATTCCTTTTGTATTAATCTCTAAATCATAAATTTTAACCCCTTTTAAAACATCAGATTTAATTTTCTTTTATTTCATCAAGCCATTTTTTAAAAAGAGCAATTTATTTGTAAAAAAACATTAAAAAGTTGTTTTGTGTGTGATTACTTATTGATTTAATCATTATCTTGTTGACAGCAAGAACAAAAGTTCTGAAAGAAGGACCCCTTCCATACCAGTCTGGGTTTCACAAATTGTCTCTTCTTATTCAGGTATTTCAACATTAGGTTATTCACACTGATAAATTCTTGGAAATACTTGAATTTAAGTAATGTGGTTTAGATACTGATAATAACCAATAGAATGAAAAGAAACTAAGCTCTGTAAAATGTACCAAGTGACTTGCTAAATTTCTTTTTTTCATTAATACAGGGCACAACTGCCATTGGAGCTTTTGATGAGAAGGTGTTATTCAACGTGACCCTCCCTAGCAAGCCAGCCAATGGTTTTGCTGCAATAGGAACAGACAGTTTTGGGCTAGCAGACTTTGATAATCTTTATCTGGCATCAAAAGCAGATGGTCTGGCTATCGTGCAGAAGTATCTAAAACATTCTCATGCAGATCCTCTCATCTTTCTTCCTGAAGCTCACTAAATGTTTTTGTGGCAATAATTTCTGTTTTATTCTTTAGCGTGCTGACTTAACACATTCCGCCCTTTTAAAGCCAAACAGATAATCATGTTGCATTGGACATGCCTGTCATAAAATTTGTTAGTATTTATAGATTTTCAAGGGGTTTAGGTCATGGGAATAATAATTTAGGATATTTAATTTGCTTGTGTTCATTAATAGTTTAATTAAAAGTTGTATGTTTTACAAATCATTGAATTCCGTAATGTTTCTACAATGTTATTTTGCTATTAAACTTGCTTCACTTGCAGGGAAAGATAAATTTGATTCTTTAAAGAGCAAACAATCTTATAAAATTAAAAAAAGTGTTTCCAAAACTGTTCTGTATTCTGCAACCTCTATAAATTGTTTGACGAAGTCTCACAACCCCTACAAAAGTTACTATGTATGTTAGAATTTATAAAAAAAGATAATATGTGGACTTCAATTTTTTGTTTATAATTAGAAAGGGAAGTGTATTTTCTAGAAAATACACTTGAATGGTTCAAGGAAAATCCAGTGATGTCAGTTTTTTTCCCCTAAAAATTTTAATGTTATCTCCCCTGTGGCTACATGCCATTCAATAGAATAAGATGGGACATAGGCCCAATTCAAAAAGCGGCGTTGTCAGTAAATAAATATTTAGACATCTTGACATTTTTTACTGGCATGAGCAATGTTCAAACTTTATTATCAATTTTTCTCAAAACTTGACATCACTGGTTTTTCCCTTGAACCCTTCACTTTAATCTTAAATTACATAAAGTAATAAGGTATTGAAAAAATTAATAAAACACGTAATTTAAAAGTCAAGGCCAAGGGCTCCTCTGTTCTTGCATAATTTATTTTGTAATTGGGTGAAAAGAGTTGATTAGGATCTCTTTGGTTACTGTGTTGTTTTTTTTATGCTGTTAAAAACTGATAGTTATTTCAATTTACTGTACTTAAATTTCAGCAAATGGGTATTTAGATCATTAATTCACCTCTATATAAAATAAGACATCACTAAAACAAATTTAACGTTTCCTAACCAAAAAAAGTTATGTGGGACAAAAACCAGTATTATTTATTAAGCAGAGCGAAGTTAGCAGTACAGTTGTAAAGTAATTTGTGTTTCCTTTTTTAACTTGTCAAATTCACAGTTTGTTATACTAAAAAATATGTTAAAAAATTGAAAATTATTTTTTTATGTGATAAATGTTTTGTAAATAATACCCTCATCTAACCTCTCACCTAAATTTATAACTTAGTCCACACAGAAATATCTCCTTGAAGAATTTTGTTTAATTTAGCTCTGTAGGTTTCTATGTGTTTCTTGAACATTGTTTGGCACACATATTTAACCTCCACCATTCACAGAGGTGGGGTTGGTTTTGTGGGACAAATGAGGTGCATTGACTTCTATTTTACGCATCTTAGTAAGAAATAATCAGCTTTCCTTTAATTTCCATTTTTTTTTAGTTTTGTATTCTGAAGTTAAATTGCTCAATCCATTTGCAAAAAATAAAAAAGCTTATGTCAAATATTTTACCCTTAACTAATTAAACAATTTCAATTGAATAAAGTTTGTACACATTTTTATCTTGGTCTTGTTTTCTTTGTGTAAGTCTCTCCTATTTTCTACAAGAGGCTTAAGCTGATAAGCTCAAATTGGCAAGACTTATGTACCCCTTTGTATTTTAATTATAGCAAGCCTTGACCTTGATTTAAGGTGGTTTTGTCTCAAATTTTGGTGCTTACATCTCTGCAGTTAAGATCCCATCTGCAAATTTTACTTTTGTCATTCTGCTTGTAATATTTTTCATTGTTGCATTTTCGTTACCTTTGTGACCTTGCTGATGTTTAAAAAAACTATGTTACTTTGCTATAAGCAATAATTCGGGTCAATAAAATCAGATTCCATTAATATTGGGGATCTTTCAATATTTTTTGTAAACAATATTCTATGCTAATAGCTTTGGTATTATTAAAAAGTAGAAAAAGTGGTAATTTTTAAAAATAAAACAACAAATTTGTATTTAGGGTGCTACGTGATGTTGAAGTTGGACTTATTTTAGTAGACTTCTGATTGTGTTGTACAAGGAAAAATATTTAATAGTGAATGTATTTGAAATTTTGCGAGCCATGCCACCGCTGCTTTATTTGGGAATTTGCGTAAAAGCGTGGTTCCACTACTTAAAAATTCAATTAAAACAATTGTTACAGAACGCATGAAAATAGTTGTCATGATAATTTTATTGAGCATTAATACAACTGAGAAATAAAAATCTAAAATGTCAACATATTCAAATTAGTTTTAATTTGTAGAGGATGACCCCTCCCCCCCAAAAAGGGTGGGGGGGGGGATAGAAGTAGTACAACATTTTATGCTTTTATCTTTGGCAAAAGATAAAATGGCTTATTTAAATATATTTCATCAGATTTTCCTATTCAGCATTGAAAAGCAATAATTATTATTTTTTGTTGCTGAAGATTTTCCATCAAGCAGCCAACTCTTAAGCTGGAATAGCCAAGTACAGATTATCAAAATCTGCTAAACCATAACTGTCAGTTCCTATGCCAGCAAAGCCATTGGTGGGTAGGTTGGGAATGGTTGAGTTAAACACAATATTCCTATCAAACACTCCAATAGCTCTGTTTCCCTGTTGTAAGAGAAAAGTATTGAGATCATAAATGATAACTTCATAAGCATATGCATAACCAATTTTACCCGAATGATACATGTGAATTATGAATAGTTGAAATTTAAAGTTCAAATCTATGTCACAATGTAGTTGAATGCAAGAATGCAAATTATACTATGCATCTTTGAGGTTTTTCATTTTTGAAAACTATGTAAGATAGTTACCTGAACAAGAAGAGAAAATGTGTGCCATCCAGACTGTTGTGCTAATGTTCCTTCCTTTATTACCTTTGTTCTAGCTGTTGAGCAGACGTAACACTTTATAAAAAAAATATGCTCAGTAGGACTACATACACTGATAGCATAAATATTTAATTTACAAATTTAAAAAAGAATAAAAATGATTTCTTACATGTGTTGCTTTGCATTTCTCATTCCCATTGCTTATAAAGTAAGGTGATAAATGACCTTTTACATTTAATATTATGCGAAAATGATGTGAAATTTGCAAAAGATCCAATATCATCAGGAACCAAAATTACTTTAAGTAATTTTGATACAGAGATATCTGTGATAATTTTTATAAAACAAAACCATTAATTCCATTTATCAGCTCTAATTTATTCCCATTATAATACCAACTATGCACAACACATGACATAATTATTGAGCTTGCAAGCAATAAATTAATGGAATGGCAAAAAGAAAAATAAATATACAAAAACCAATTTTTTAAAGTCGCAGCTTTCTGTATTAATTCAGGTGAAAATGGAGGAATTGTTTTCAACTTAAGTCTGCACGTTTGTTAAACAGATTTTGTTCAAACAAATGTTATCTTTTACACCGGCATCTTTTTCACTGCTGATTTGAAATTTCACTTAACTTTTTACAATTGGTAAGGCCAGAATCCAACAAATTTATCACATTAAAATTTAAGGCCCTATTTAGATTCAGCCTTTTCACCAAATAAAGTAAACATCATCAATATGACATTAACAGACGGTTGGTAAAAAGAAATAACTTATCAGCTGGAGCATTGTGTTATAGACTCTGCTTTGCTGTAACATTGACAATATGTCTTATGGTTGTGTTAATGTTGCAGACAATATTTAAATTGCTTTAACTGTTTGTATCAAGTTCACAAAACTGAGCCAACCAGTGACCTACCAAAGTCATTAGTTAACTGGTACGTGCCATCAAAGAGCACAAAGAAAAATATTCCTTGAATGATATGTGTTTCACATCCCCCTCGATCCAACCTAGCACCTACACACACTCCACTAGTACCATTTACTGCAGGGATGTTGAAGTCAATTTCTACAAACACATTAGTCCTGTTTCAGATGTAATACATAAAATATACTGACATGTATATGAGACAGTTTATTAAGGTATTTTGTAAATATATTTTTTCATTGTCAATCATTTCACAGCAAACAAAACTGTCCTTGAAGCATTTTTCATACAAAAAATTATTGTTCAAATTATTTTCCACCCTTATTAAGCTAGCTATATAAATAATACATTCTTTCCCAACAGTTTCCAGCTCCACATTAGTATATGCATTAATGAGTTTACAAAAAATAAAAATCTAGATTCATATTTTGTGTGACAAGTAAACTGGAAGAGCCCTTTTGAGACATTGAATCTCTAAATAAATTCATTTCTAAATAATTGAGTGTTGTAATTTTCTAAGACAGAGCAATCTCACCATTGATCATAGTCCCCGATAACACTGAGAGATTTATTAACAAAGTCAGAAACACACCAGGCCACAGGGGTTTCCAATACCATTTGCCTGATAAACTTGTTCCGACCATCACTCAGAACCTCATAAGCTCCAGTTTGCTGGGCAAGATTATTTGGCTCTTGATGCAATTTATAAGCTAAAGAAAAATAAATTTCAGTGCTACAGATTTTAATGAATCTCTCTATAAAGATAGATTATAAAATTTTAATTACTCAAAGAAACCATGACATAAATGATATTTTTAAAGATAATTAACTTAACTTTGGCTTAAACTTATGCGTATCTAAAATATGTTAATGCTAACATATGATATAAATGACTTTTAATTTTTTAAAGATTTCCACATTATACAATATTTCTATCAAATTAAATGATCCGTCTTACTTTCAAAGTCATCTGTGTAAGGAAGTGGGAATGGTTTGGGGGAAGGTGGGTCTGGATAGGATCCTTTAGATCCCCCAGCCATTGTTGTTAATGTAAAAACTTCATCTAGTCCTAAATTTAGAGTTGCATGGCCATTGTTAAACTGGGAAAGAAAAATTTTGAAAAGAATTGTAAAAGCAATAGCTTGTTAACTAAAAATCATTTTCTGTTGAAACTGTTAACAATTGAATCCAACTATCATTTTCAAAACTCTCTCTTTCATTTAATATAATGTACTGTTTCAAAGGAAAAACCAACCAACCTTGATAGAATTTAGTTTTTGAAATGTAATGTCTGGGGATCCATCATAATGCAGCTTGGTGTACCAAACATTCAGCTCTGATATTGATAACTTGAAAATTAAAATATTAAAACATTAAACAATATCAAAACAACAGATGAGGATGTAAATCAACGTAGAAATACTTTATTACAGAAAGTTTGTTTCAGAATTTAAAAAAAAATCTATATTGATGTTGAGTAGGTAATTAAAATTAGTCTATTAGAAGCTGCAGCATGCACATGATTTAAGGTGACACATAATTAAAAAAATGTTTTACTGATATTTTGACTAAGATTACCATTTTTATTTATATAATACAACCAATTTCATTTTAATTACTTTACATAATCTTCAGCAGCATGATTAATTTTTGTATAAGTATATTTTTACATTAGCTTAACAAGGTGGGTCAATTTTCAAATTTTAAATTAGTGGTTGTTCTGCTTTAGAAACATCTCCAGACTCTGTAGGACCACATAAAGAATCTTTGTGGGTTTTTTTAATTTAAAAATCCATGAGATGCTCAAGTATTTCTATTTTACTCACAAAACTGCCTTTGAGAGAAATGGTGACATTCTGCGGATACACTTCATAGCTGGGCAAATCTGGTCGTATGCAGACTGAGTGATTATGTGACTATCACCGTAAAAACATGAAATATTTTGAACAATTTAAATATATGTGAATGTGTTTGTAATTTAGATTAATGACAAAAAAGATATTTGCTATTAGTTTCAAAATTACAAAAGAACACACAATAGCAAAGTGAAAGCTTATTCATACAAAGCAAAGCAAGATTATTGATAGAAAGAATATTTGCTTTTGTAGATTGGGTTCTTTAAACATTTAATAAAGCTAATATTATTGATAAATAGTATAATTTTTTTTCTACCATTTATAAAAAAATAATATGATATATAATTATTGAAACTTTTCTTGATTTACCATGGTTTCAATAACAATTGTCAACTGCTGACCATCTGGACTAATCAGCCCCACATAAGAACCACCTTTTGGAAGTTTTCCAACTCCTTTGCCATGTTTCAAGTAGTTCCACCCAATAGAGGTAAACTGTGTTGTATGAGCTAAAAAAAAATAGACTTGACTAAACAGAATTTTAAATGCATACATTAATTTCAAGCATCCATGGGAGGAGTCTGTGGAGGAAGCATCAAAGTAGCTTTTTTAAAGAACAAATTGAAAGGTGGAAGAGATTTATTCTTTTTTAGTGTATCTGCAATACATAACAATATATCCTACTGCTATCTTATGTTACTTTCCAGCTCCAATTTTTCTGAGTAACTAGTCTATAGTGTGGTTGTTGGGACCTAAATAATGACATTCAGAAATAAGTAATTGTAAAAATTATTTTACAGTTAGATGCAACATTTTATTTATGGAACAGACTTTCAAATATAAAACAAGTGGTTTTAATGAACCAATAATTATTTAATTTTCTTTAGTTTTAATAAATCAATATTTTATTCCCCATTCTTTATAAAGCACTTGTCAACTTCAAAATAACTTACCAGATATCCAAATGGGAGTCTGTACAAGGTAGTTGCCTGACCAAGGCTGAAGAGCTGTCATCAGACCTGTTTTATAATAAGCCAGACCTCTATAATAACTGGCAATCAGATTCCAAGCTATTGTTCTTTAAAAAAAAAAAAGAATCAAAATGAATATTATTTTGCCTGCTGCCTGAGCAAAGTTGACTTAAGATTTTTTTTTCAACAAATCTACCCACTATACTAACTGTTATTTTAGTAACTGCTGCAAAATTTTCTTAATTACAAGTAATTTTATTTGTTATGCATAAGAAGGCCTACATTTAAAAATAATGGTTTACATTTTTAAAAAAAAATTTTAAATTACAAAGAAAGTGTTAGTTACCATCACAAATAATAATTCTTGAGGTATGTGGCTTGGCTGTTATGCTGTGTTCTTTAGGCGCTCAAAATAAAATTCCCAGAAATTATCAATAATTGGTATTCTTATAATGCATGTTTTGTCAAGAAATTTTAGTAGATGGAAAGTTCATGCAATGCTGCAGCCATTGTTTGGCAGGTTATTTCTATCCACCCAACACTGTGGTGTTACAACCCATGTAGGGCTTTGACCTGCTTCACCACGTCTTTACACTCAGACCAGGGTTATTTCTAGTATATAATATTAAGTTTGATACTAAGCCTATCCTTTAAAATTGCAAAGAATGCTATTGGGGAGAGAGATAATTATCAGCTACCTATCTAGCTCTAATTAAAGTCAATTTCATTAGAACAAATTATTGGATCTTAACAGTCTATTCCAAAGTAGGCGTACTTACGAAGTCATTAAGCCATTTACATAGTTTTGGTTTAAAATCTGTCAATAGTAATAGAAAATTTAATTAACAGATTTACATATTTTTGATTTTTATAAACCATTTGGATTATAATAAATTAAAATATAAGTTCCGGGTATCCTTCATATGCATGCAAATTAAAGAGAATTTATAAATGTAAGTTAAAAAGTCATAGCAAATTAAATTTGCTATTATTTAAAACTTTCTTTTCTTTTGGAAAGCAGTGCTCTTTATATCTTTAATACACATTTTTCATGATATCCTTATTTTTATTTCAGGATTGCCAAACTTATTTTCAAGATTTTAATTTAAAATCAACATAGCTGTTTAGCTTTTATGATAAAAAAATCAAAAATATTTTACTAATAACTTACTTTGAAGTTTTTATAAAATTATTGTAAAAGCTTACCCTGGCCCAACATCCACCCCCAATTTCATCATTGAAAGTGTTAAAATCTTCTGAAGACCACAGCTGTTTGCCAGTGCTAACTGCATCTTGAGTTGAGTTTGTTCCAGGGTAGTGAGTACTAGATGAGAATGAATATAATATTGTTTGAAACTTTTAAACTTAAAAAAAAACTTCATGAACAATGGTATTCAGCTTAAATTTTATAATTAATGTGATGAAAAAAGAGAAAACAACACTATTAATTTTGTTCTAAAGCTGTCAATAAGCTATGCTTAATTTAACTGCTAAGGAAAGTAGGCCTACTAAAGACCTATATTACTTTTAATGTATCTTTAATAATAAATTATTTTTAAAGCTCTTAGCTCATTGTTTTTAATGAGAAAAATAAATGCTGCTTATAAATGATAAACTCAAAGCAATGTAACCGGAGACTTGAAATTTGCTCAACTCTGTAAATTTGCTTTAATTTACCCTATTATATCAACCACACTAGCAAATTCTGCATCCCTTTTAAGATCATTCACAATCTCCCAGTGGTTGTCTGAAGCTACAATGAGCACATCTAAGAGTCCTCTTTCATCCAATGTCTTTCTCAAGGTCTGTTGAATTGAAGAAATAATACTTATCTCAAAATTTTTAAAAATTCCAAACCTTTTCTAAAAAGTTTTTATTTTATATTATTCTGACCACTAAAAACACTTTGCTTTCTTAAAATTTAAATATCATAATCTCATTCACTTCAAAAATTTGCAATTTTCTTATGATTAATAAATGGTAATAGGGTTAGAAGACTCACACAACATATACTTTTTTAGGCTAGACAAAATATAGGCATAAGATATAAGTTATAACCAACTTTCATAAACCATACCTTAACGTAATCGATGTTGTAATTTCGTTCATTCCAGATCTGGGACATTAAAATATCAAAAGAATTACAAACCCGACATATTCATCTGATTAACTATAATTTTATAATTTAATAGGCCATTGCCAGTTTGCTTGTCATGAGATAAAAGGTGTCCATTCAGGACACAAAATTTATTTATTAGCTTTATTTATACATTGAGATCCCTATAATGATAATCAATTGGAAAATTTTTTAAAGTTTGGGGGAGTGGGTTGGGGGAAGTGCGACAATACATTATTATGAATTGAACAGTAATGAAATTTTTGCCTGTAAATTATCATTGAGTGGCTAAATTAAACATAATAATGAAAATAGCTCTCATGTATTGCATTGCTAATATTAATAAATACTGCTTACCCCAATGTAATCAATAGTTAAGTTGTAAAACGTTTTGGCTGCACTAATCCATCTGACTATATAGTCAGCTGTCAGTTTGGCGTCAATATATGGATTTTGTGTTCCTTGCCCAACCCAGCCAGGGAATCCCCATGGCAACCCATACAGCTTAATGTCTGGGTTTCTCTGAAATTATTAATTTTTCTTTTAAGGCTTTAATAGAGAAGAAACATAATTTTATTATTATATATATAAAATATAAATATGTACTAAATTTTTAAATATTGTTGAAGGAGGAAAAGCTAAGATAACGGAGTGCAATTTATCACGTCCTAGAACAGTGTGGACAAATGTATTCTTTTCTGTGACAATATTAATCTAATTATCAGAGTTAACTGGCCAGTCCTGGAGTTTTGAGAATTTAAATTATTAAAGATTTTCACTCCCCCTCAGTCTTACACCTTGATGATTGATAAATCTTAATACCCTCTATTAAATATCGTGTAACAAATTAGAATGAACATACCTTTTTAGCTTCTAACATCAACCACCACTCGTAACCCCTTTCATAGTTTTCATCCCAGCTGTAATGCATGTGTGAAGCCTCTGTGCCATCTGTTTCAAAGCAATTGTTGGGGTAAAAAAAAAGAAATGTGCAAAACAAATATGTTACTTGCAGGGTATTTTGTAATATGTTTAGTTCAATTCTAATTTTTGATTCTATTGTTTAAAAAAAAATAATTAAACCTAAACTGTCTATAACATACTATATCATTCTTCTTCTTCTTCTTCTATATCTTAAGGGCCCACGATCAATTTATTGATCATTTTGGCTCCTATGCATGTAGATGGGATTTGCAATGTTTCTGTTCCTGGTGTTGATGAGGAAATTTCACAGATTTCCAGTGCCACATTTCATTTATTAAGTATGTAAGATAAAAATAAAAACTAATCAATATATATTTTTTTAGTTAAGAAGAGATGAAAAAGACACACAAAAAATTACCTGTGCTTTGGATATCTCCACCAATTTCAACTTTGAGAATTTGAAGAGAGGCCCCAAAGTTTGGCTAAAGGATTATATACTTAAATTAATAAATGCATTGGTCTATTTACACTAACGCTCAAGAATAGTATAACAAAAAGATGAGAACTCTCTAATATACAATTTCCATTTATACCACCACAAAGTTTTTGTATTTTTTTAAGGTTTTAAGTTTCGCTTTCAGGAAACATGATTCCTTCAAAAATAAGAAGCAATTACTGTTACAAATATACTTTCTTGGGCTGCATCTGAAATTGTAGCCTACCTAAAATAATAAACTAGACATACCTTGAATAAATAATCCAATATCTCATCAAGTTGTTTCACAGGATAATTTACAAGGAGTTTTGATGTAGCCTTGTGCACAGAAAAAAAAATTAATTGGACCTTCATTTAAATTTTTTTTTCACGTTCCAGATCAATTCTGGCTGCTGTAAATTAATTATAGAAAAACTATTTTTTTTGTATAGACAGTTAACTTTTAAGTTTTCTGCTGTCTTATGAGTGAGTTAGTTGAGGTATTTTACTTAGGGTTAATGTCCGCCCCAACATTAGGTGCCTCAATGAGCTCATCCACCCAGCTATTTATAGGTGAAGTTGACCCCTTGATGAATCTGCTACCTCTCAATAATATTGTGCCAAAAGGCTGGCTTGAGACTTAAATTTTGTGTCAGGTGTAGGATTTTTAACATTTTACCACTTTTGTATTTTGTACTGTATACATTCACATAAAAAGCTCCATTTTCTTAATCATTGGTATTTATATGCATTTATTTGATTAAAAAAAACAGGATTAAAAATCTGTAAAAATATCAAAGTTTTTAACATAACAAATTTCTCCAAACATGAAAGTATACATCGTTTCATGATGTATTGAAATCACATTTTTTAAAGTTCTTTTTTGTAAATAAATAGTTAGATCATTGTTGTTTTATTGTTTAAATTAACATTATCTTATTTCATAAGAAGTATTTACACAACAAGAATATGTCCCAGGGACCATGGCATCCTAGGTGACATGAGTATTGTTTGATTAAATTTATTTTTTTCAATCATTATCAAGATTATGTTGGTGCATTACACTATATACCACATGAGAGGTATGTGAAACCAATCAATGCATTTTCAGTGCTTTTCAATAATAATCACTTCTTAAATAATATGTGCCCCTTCTGTACAAGCTGAGAAGGATAGATGGATCCTGATTAATACTTCAAAAAGCAAAAAAAAAAAAAAAAAAGCAATGTTCACCAATCATTAATTGTGTTTTAAATTCTATTCCAAAATCGGTCTATGACTTTTAGACTTTGTATAGATGGATCCTGATTAAAACTTCAAAAAGCAAAAAAAAAAAAAAAAAAAGCAATGTTCACCAATCATTAATTGTGTTTTAAATTCTATTCCAAAATCGGTCTATGACTTTTAGACTTTGTCAGAGATATGGTTAAAAAAAAGCATTAGCTATTAAATTTACACACAATTTACTAGATAAAAAAACTATTTTCATCTTTTGTTTTTCTTTTTAAAATCAAATATTTTTTAAAATCTCTAAATTAAAATTATTAAAACTTAACCTTTATAGCCTGATTTTAAGATAAAAAGAAAATACAAGACATCATGTTTTAAGTTAACCATCTCAAAGTAAATCTCAAAAAATTTAATGAGTAAGGATTCTTACACCTCCACCACTTAATCCACCAATGCCATCAAACTGCCGCCCTAATCCTTGCGTATTGTCAAACAAAATAACGCTATCGTCATTTGATGAGACCACATCAACAGCTGACACTGGTACATGGCAGAGACTAGCAATATGAAATAGAACAAAACTAAGTAACATTTCTGTAGGTCAGCAAATCCAATATATCAGCAAATAGAGTAAACCAAAAGCTGAGCTTCAGGCACATGAATGCAACTAAAATGCAACTGAACAATTGTATAATTAGTATACAACAGGCATGTGATATCTGAACATAAAAATTACAGATTTCCTGTGATAACTCAGTAATAAAAAATAAACTGATAAATAATTGCCATCATAGATTAGGCCTGAGATATCACAGCTTATTGCCACTCTGAAATCAATATTTTCAATTTTTCTGGGCCATAGAACAATGATTTTGTAAAATTTTTGTTTAAGAGGCCCATGAGAGACAGCTTCTTTAGCCAGCTGGAACAGATTAGCATACTCATAAAAGGAAAAAAAAAAAGTACAAAAGTGTGGAATAAAAGTTGTGTTCCCACAACACGTGGAATGAGATTTTTGAAAAAAGCAGAGTCCTCTTTGGCCCTCTAACAAAAGTTTTATTAATTTGTTCTCCAGAATTACTTTAACCCCTTAAAAAAATCACATTTAAAAAAACTCACTCACTAAGAAATCTTTTGAACAACAGCATAATTATGAAAGAGTTACCTGTAAAAGGGGTTTTGTAAATTATCTGTCAACATATGACTGGATTAATAATTTTTATATTATCCCATTTTTTTCTTGACCTCTTTGATATTTGACATTTATTTTGAAAATAACATTTGATTTTCTCCAAATACGGAGTTTTTTAATTCAAATCATCAACTTGTCAGTACTGTATTCAATGTTATGGGCTATTCATAAAATCCTTGAATAATATTGCTGACTTTTGGATTGCTTTGCTCATAATACTTAGCCATCACAATAAAACCACATATATTTGTTCAGATTAAAACTATATCATAAAATCTCAGTTCAAATTCAAGCATTCCCTGCAACATTGCTTGAAATATTCACTTCATTAGGTCCCGACTGGTACTAAATAAACCAAACTTACAGCAAGCTTAAAGATATATTTTTACTCTATTATTTGTTTATATATAAATCCTGTTTGTTATTTTTTTTTCCTTTCAGTCTTGAATATCAAATCAATACCGATAGCAGAAACATGTTATTTGTATGACGGTGAAAAGGAACAAGAGATTGGTGTAGACTCTGATTATTTAGAGTCATTTATTGTTTAATGTAATCCTTAAAATAAAAGCTCTGCCAGCTGTGTTATCCTATCTCAGTGTAATTAAAGTGTTCAATTAATTCAATAGAAGAAAGTATACATGTTTCATTTTTGTTTATTTATATACCATATCCTAGTAGGTGCACTACATAATTTAATAAGTACAGCAAGACACACAACAATTTCAATGTTCATTCAATTAAAAAAATTTTTTGTTAGTTATACTAAATACAAACTTTCAAAATAACATTTAGAAAATGTTTCAGGTTATTTCATGTCAATACATACAAATTTTGATCTAAGATTTAAACAAATGTACAATGAAATAGATTTTCCTCATATTTGTGAATTTTTACACAGAACATCATAAATGGAGAGTTTTTTCAACATTTAGCCAGAAGATAGGATATAATGTTAGACTTTTTATTATACAATTTTCGGAAACCTGTAGCATTCTGGGTACCAGGCATGTCAATATTGAATACTTATAAGTAAAATCCATTTTATGAGATTTTGTTTTTATTAGATATTAGAATATCAAGCAATTTTTTCTCTATATTTTGACTTGACCTGAAATTACACATATGAAATCAAAAGATTGCATAAATAGACAGTGTGACTCAATTGGAGTAGAAATTTGCAAGCCCAATTGCGGCTTAAAAAAATTCAATCTCTTGCGTTCCATAAAAAAAATTATTCCTTTCCCTGTTTGGCCCTATGATTAATAAAAAAAAACTAAGAGCACATAATTAAAAGTTTTTTGTTGAATTGTGTTAAACGTTTAGTGCTATGTTTTTATACAAATGAGATGTAACAGTGTGTTCAAATGTTGAGCATTGTGTTGCTATAGGCCTACAAATGAGACGTTACAGTGTGGAAAATCTTTCTGAAACAAATCTAATGGTTTTAGATCATTAGCTATAAAGTGTACAAATTATTATATGCATACACATTAAACAATTTAATTCAATTCAGAGTCAAGTATATTCATATCTATAGTAGAAAAATCCAGTATTAGAATTTAATATGCGCAATAACAGAAAGAAAAGAAACAGGTATCACCACCAAATGACAGATTTTTAATGCAAAGTATAAGATAAGGGTTAACAAATGTTCCAATAGGCCATCATAAATATAGCTATTATCATAAAAAAAACTGTACATCTTTAATTATTGCTCAGTATTTATTCAATTTATGTACTGTATTTAATTTTTTTAAAATTTTAGTAGTAAATAGCTTGAATATCCTTAGTGGCAGTTAATTCTTAATTTTTATGAATATATGTCAGATTAATGTTTTGGTTATGTCAGGCCAATGTCAGGCACATATCAGGCTAATGTTTTAAAATTTTATGATAGGTTGAAAAAACAAAAACTGAACTTTGGTTTGTGATTATAATAAAATAATAATAATTACCCAAATATATTAATATATAATTTCAGGAAAAAATTATTAATAAGGTTAAATATCAATAAAAAAATTAAAACTAAATGAAAAGATAAAATTTTCTTGCATAAATATTTGCTATTTAATTTTTGAACTAAAGTGAACTATGAAAATGAAACACTGTAGTTACAGGATACATTCAAATCAGATATCAGAAACCTGATAATAATGTGTCTCTTTAATTTACTTCAAAGACTAATGGACATAATTTAGGTTGTCAGATGGATTCAATGTGCTATGCTAGATGCACAGGATTACCACCCTCATTAAGCATTACACTGGACAGGACACAATAATATCCAGAATCTTTAATTTTAGTTAATTTTCAAAATGACAATTAAAATGTAAATGCCCAGGTTAATTAATTTTTCTAACACTCAACTAATGTTATGTGATTGAGATATTTTGAAAACTTTTTTTGATGGAAACATGAGGGTATGATGCACGCCAAGAACAAACGTCAGATGGTGAGATGCCCAGGCAAAAAGACACATCCAGAAATATCAAATTCTTGCAAGTTTCAAGAACACTGTTGATAATTAAAAAATTATGAAAAGAAAGGAAATTGTTGATGAATTTTAGAAATATATTAAAGACTTAAGATCAAATTTTAATATTTGAATATTTATCTATTTATCATATCCCTAGCATGAAATTATCTTTGAAACAAGTTAAATTTTTTAAAAAGAATTTCTCAAAGATGTTTTTTCTTCAAGTTTGCAGTGTTTAAGTATATAATAAATGAAAATTAATCAAAGTCATGAAAATTACAATTAGCTACTTACTGCACAATAGCATCTTTGGTTACCTCCCTGGTACCAAGAATGTCAAGCTGCTCCATAAAAGGACAATTTAATGCAATTGCCCTGAGGTCAACATCACGAACAGTCCTGAATAATTTTTTAAAGCAGTGTATTTGAGAACTATATGTGAAAGTAAACGACAAATTTAAGTGAAAGACTAGATAAGTTAACAAAAATAATAAATGGGGGAACAAATAGGCAACATTATAATTTTTTAAAAACAACTTGTCACTTGTGGCAGTTGTGGAGATTTACACATAAACAGAAGACGATTAAAGTCTAGGGGCTAAAACAAAATTTATAGTAGGCCCTACCTGTTCGCAGTAAGAAAAAGCTTTCTCAAGTTTTTACAGTTTTTTGCAAGGTTCAAATAGCAATCCTTATCCGATTTCAGCTCAACACTGGAATAATAGAAATAATTAATTTATCTGAGGCAAATTCATTCCATTTTGACAAATGTAAAGCGCTTAGAGCTGTAAGGTAAGCGCTATAAAAAAATGCCTAAATAAATAAATAAATAAAATGTAAAAGAGAGTAAAGACGAGCAGTACAGATAAATTAGGAAGTATTTTGTAAATTATCCATGCACATGTCTAGAATGAAGATGATATATAGCAATAGTTAATAAAATATATCAAGAGAAGCAGGTGAAGAAAATTATATACTCGTTAGATTCTATTACAAGTTATAAAATTGCTGGTTACTTCAGAAAAAAAAGGATCTAATCTAATCTACTCACCACCATCCAACATCCAACTCTTGCAGCTCATGACAGTTGTTATAGAGGTAATCAAGCCCTTCATCACTTAAAGCTTTCATACGCCACAAGTCTAAGCTCTTAAGTTTCCTGTAAAAAATAAGAGAAATGTTGGAACTCACCAGTAGCTGATTGGTAGTAAACAAATAGATATTAAGGTTTTTCAGATATTTTAATTGATCAACTTTTTATATCTCTCACTTTATTTCTGTCAGCAAAATTAATTAAAAGGCAAAGTCATAATCTAACCATACAATTATAGTGTTGGCAGTGGGAAATAATTCTGAATTTCGTAGTGGTTTATTTTTTCACCCAATCATACATGGTGGTACATACTTTTAAAAAAAAACTCATATGATTAAGATTTTATTTTTGGTACATCCTTCTTAAAAGTTAGATCTATATATAAAACATACGCAACTCCATGAAATAAATTGTAGAAATTAATATATTACAAAAAGTGTCAAATGCTGGATGAAGAATATTCTATTCCCTATCATTTAGAAGGGCCCCATCAAGTCTTCATAAAGATGTATTTAATGTTTGAATTTCCATTTTTAAAAATCTGATCTCCTTTGTTTATAGAACAATAACTACATTTTAAATATAGAAAATAGATTGCAAAAAACAGTTTTGCTACTTTCTCAGTTTTCAATAATATACTTCAGTAATGAATTGTAAAGGCCATAATGAATCTATAATAATGTTTCTAGTAGCTTAACTTCTTTTCTGAGTTAATAAGGTAAATGAGTTAAATATTTTTGAATAAAAAAATTGTGTACTTGCAAAAACTTCCAAGCTCCATTAAAATGGCATTGATGTAAGAATTCAAGAGCTGACAAGATCCAATATTTAAGTGTTCCAAATCAGGGCTACTCCTGTTGATAAAAAAAAAAATCTTAATTATGTCAAAACGCAATGTCTAAACCTAGAAAAACAATTTCTGGGAGACAGCAGCTGGATATTTATCAGTATACTAACTATGTGACCAAGAAGCCACCTTTCATGTTTGTAAGATAAAGAATACTTTATGGAGTTAATATTTTAATATTCCACCACAAGTCTTGGATATCATTATTGGCTCAATTCTTTTGTGCATATCATGTTGGTATAATGCCATCTGATAATATTCTTTGTTAAGACTGATCTTAATTGATCATGGCAATTCTAAGGCACAAAAGGAAAAGGTAACGATGCTTTTACTCACCGTATCACAGCCATAAGAGATGAGTAATCTATCTTCGTCCTATAAAGGTTTAATTTTCTGAGCTTTGGTAGTGATAAAATTCTCAAACAAGAGAAATCATCAATGTTAGTACAGCCAAGCAAATTTAAATCTGAAGTAAAAAAAAAAATGAAACTAAACATCTGCATTATACTATATGTGTATAGAACATAAAATGAAATTTAAAAAAAATCATAATTAATATACTAATTTATTTTATACCTTCCCATTTTCAATGTATTTTATATTGAATTAGGCCTTTTAATACAAGTCTGTATTAATACAACAAATATTTTTTTATTTTCATCCATTTTAGAAGGAAAAAATCTTTTTCTTTGTTTTTTCTTTTGCTAAATGTTTCTGTGGGTTGCAGCTATATTTCAATAAACTAAATTAACCCTCGAACTTTGGCATGCATCATTCTGTAGTGTGAAGCTTTTCAGAACTTTCTGAGTGCCTTTTGAAATTGCATTAAATGATATAGAAATATTGATGCAAGACCCCAATAATTATATATTTTTAGAAAGGTAAATGGATGGGGCTAAGGTGGCCATATTGCTCACCCCGTAAAATTTTTTTTGCTCAGTGTCCTTGACCTTGGCGTTCTCAAGAAAATAAAATCTTCAAAATGTCTTGCTTTCAAGTACTCATAACACCATTATTTTTTATAGATACATTTAAAACACAAATCTTAATGTTGTAGCCAATTCATTTATCTATCAGACAATGTATAGTTTGCTAAGGTTTTGATTGTAATTAAACCTCTGAAAGCAATTTTAGTAATTTTAGGTCATTTATATAAGAAACTGGGACCACTGCCAAAACCAAGTACAAAATACAAAATCTCAGGCAAAATAGTTAGTATTGACTAGTAAACATTTTAAAAGGTACTGTGGAACTGATTTGGGTTGTTAAACTCTAAAATTTATTATTTCTGATCTATAATCTGTAGCTCCTGTGACTAAAATTCAGTCAGCCCTTGCCCAACCTACGGTCCTGGCTGGAAGTCAAACAGATGCCTCAGTAGGCCTATTTCACTATAACTAAGACTAGTATCAGATTCACGAAAAGAAGAATCTGAAGTGAGATGTCATGGGGAATGTTAAAATCATCATCAGTATCACTTAAATCCTCTCCTAAAAATCTTTCAAAAATATTTATATTAGTTCTCGCACTGAAGCCCCGGCCAGAGCTTCCGCCATTTTTGCTTTTAAAAAAACAGCGATATAAAATTCCGATTAAAAAGTACTTATTGTTAAGTTATCAAGAAACAGCTTGACCCCGAAGTTGATTTAATTATTAATAAAAAGAAAATGCTATGATTTCAGTTAAATATTGGATTGGAAGTTGCTATTGGACCGTGTTTTTTATCAGCCGCCACAGCACAGAACGAGAATGTCGTCATATTTCGTCAGCCAACCACAGTTTAAGGGTTAAACCAGAACCAAGTAGTCAAAAGACCATGAAATTTAATATTCATAATAAAGTGCACAAAATAATGTAAGTTAGAAAGAATACAATTTTCAGTTTATTAAAATACTTCCATGGCCCTGTAGAATACAGTTTGGTGCCCAGATTAAGATTTTATTTCATACTTAGATTGCAACTGCACTGAGGACTATACATATAAAAAAAGATGTATAACATGATCAAGAGGTTTCTCTAATTGTTCTTAACTCAAGTCGTGACAACCACAGATCATATGCATTGAACTAACTAAGAGTGTAAAGGATTCATTATGAAAATCTGGTCTCAGGGCAGCTTTGAAGAATTTAAATGAGAATGGTTGACCTACCTAACAAGTTGCAACAAATGCTAGCTACACTTTTTAGCACAGAACTATCAACAAAATTGCAACAGCAGAGCTCCAGAGTACCCAGCTCTTGACAACAGTTTTCAAAGAATCTGAGGAAATATAAAAATTATATTAGGTACAATCCTGAATGGTGAGATCAAAACACTTATAAGACATCTAATAATATGAAACTGATATCATAGAATAAATTAAAATAAGAGATCAACACGTAAAGCAATAGGAAATTAAATAATTTATTAAAATCACCTCTACCATTCTCCTCGCCAACTCTGACACCCACACAATTTTCTCAGCCCCACCTCTCATTGTTTTCAGAAGAGGAGATATGAATCGGCGGGATCTCCTGGTGCGTAGTTGCATCCGATCTGCCCCCTCCCACTTTCGGACTGATCCATGTGGACGCAGCTATTGCAAAACTTGCCCTTTTGTCACCCAGATTCAACAGATTCCCTTCCCTAAGGGTAGTTTTCAGATTAGGGACTGTTTCCTTTGTACTAAGCTATTGTGTAATGATGTTTCTAGGTGAGACTGCACGGCGCCTCTTGGACTGATGTACTGAATCCTTTTGAATTGTTGCTAAAGAAAAGCAATGTCCGCTCTCAAAACAACCACAAGGGCTCAAGGGATTTTGCTATCACCGCCATTGTGTCTTGTACCAACATGTCAAAAAGGGGTAAACTTGGAGAACAAACTGTTTCACGAATCTCAGGTTCTCCTTCATTTGTTAATCATTTTCTTTTCCCCCTCCTAGCTATGACAAATCACAGTGCACTTACTTTTCCTCTTTTCCTTTCCCTTTTGCCTATTTTAACTCTCTTACCTCCTTATGTCCTATCACATTCCTCTTGCCATCATCTCAGATACTGCATTGCAGCTATGTATTTATTTTTAATTTTATATTGTTTTTACTGTTGTTTGTTCACTGACGAAGGTTTCTTGCCCAACAATTTTATTTTGTTGCATCATTTTTTCAGGTTTTCCCATTCTTTGTTTTGCTTATTTCAACAATTTTTAACCTCATTTTAGTCTCATCATTTTCTACCTTTTTCATATTTGTCAACTGTGGTGCTCACACTCACATTGGTGTAGGACTTACAAAATGCCCTTCTTCTTTTTTATCCTAAGATTAATTAAGGCCCTTCTTTTTTATCCTAAGATTAATTAAGGCCCTTCTTTTTTATCCTAAGATTAAATTAAGGCCCTTCTTTTTTATCCTAAGATTAATTAAGGCCCTTCTTTTTTATCCTAAGATTAATTAAGTGCCCCAAGTATCTCACAGCTTCTTACAAAATCTCTAGAGACATTGTCTTCTCACTTGAGTATCTCAAGGTTATTTTTGTTAATGAGGCGTGCAAGCCTAAAAATTATTTACAACCTTTTGTTTCAGATAAATTGCGCTTCTAATAATCCGTATAAAAATAAATCCGAAGTGTCCAAAATTTTAAACTAGATACGTTTTTTTTTTAGTGCCCATGAATGTTAGACCATAACATTTTTATTTTAAAAAAACAACTGCGATGATAGTAGTGAAAACAGACAACGCATTACATTATAATCACTGTGTGTTGAATGTGGTGCTAGTGTTGCCAAAATAAATTTTGAGCTGGTTGTCGGGTGTCTCAATGCAGGTTGGATGAAAGGTTGAGCAATCAATAAAAAGAAATGGTTAAGTGAGAGCAAGAGTGAATAGCAGAGAGAGAGAGAGAGAGAGAGAGAGCGAGAGGTCAAATATAGTGGGTGGCTCTTTCAGTCCAGTGTGATTCCTTGTATTTGTTAGTCTCCTCCAGCTCATGTTGTTCAGCAGAACTCAGTGTCATGCCAGTTGATTTCAGTTACAGTGCATATTTTGTATCTATAAGAATTAGTCTTGTGTGGTGTAACAAAAAGTTGCCAGCGTAATATAACTGACTTATAATTGACTTTATAGACCTGAAAAGAACTTTGTGCATGTTGTGTTGTAATGCAGTGATAAAATCATCAAGTCCCTAGTCAAAAATAGATCTGAACACAAACATCAACACTGAGGTCCAAAAACATTTTTAAAAAAACAACTTTACTGCTTTATCTGCTCTGATAATTGGAATCTCTAATTATTTTAAAAAAATTGTAGTAAATTAAATTTAAAAATGATAAATAAAGCACAATAATTAGTAAATAGCTTTGACAATGAACATTTAACTGCAAGGAATGACAGCCTGGAGACTATAAATGTGAGAGATGATGATTTGGCAACTCACGTAATCAAATGAGCAAGGAACATATGGCCACCTTTTCCTAACCATGACAAATTAAGACGTTGAATACGCAGACATTTTGGTATCATCAATAACATACTTGAACTTGATACCTGTAAAAATATAAAATTAAGTAATTGAATATGCAGACATTTTGGTATCATTAATAACATACTTGAACTAGATAATATTAAATTATAAAATATCAAATTATGTAAATGCGATTCAGTATCTCTTTTTGTTGGTTAATTGTGGTAGACTTAATTAAGTTCTCAAATTAACATTTAAGTTAATGTGTTGCACCTTGTAAATGGAAAAGCCAAATAATTCATAAAATCTCTGCTGATATTCTTGTTAAAATAAATGATAACTCAAGCACATCCTTGTGTCCAGAAGGGAAAATAAATGGTAATTCAAGCACATACTTGTGTCCAGAAGGGAAAATAAATAATTCAAGCCCATACTTGTGTCCAGAAGGGAAAATAAATGAAAATTCAAGCACATACTTGGGTCCAGAAGGGAAAATAAATGGTAATTCAAGCACATACTTGTGTCCAGAAGGGCTGAAGATTCAAATCTGTGTATAAATAGGGGTCATAACAGTGTGCCTTCATATGGCTGAAATACATAAAAATGTCATTGAAATATTATTCTCGAGTAAATTTTTTTATAATTGGGAATAGCTTATCTGGAATGAATGCTGAGAAGTGAATTAAAATTTCAAATTAATTTTCTCTTTGATTCTATGTAAATGTTTCCATGAAATGAAATTAACAACAGAGAATAAAATGAGTAAAACAGAGTAGGGTTAACCTGAAAAAATAAACGCAACAAAACAGCGAACGTGTCGGCAGAAACCCTTCGTCAGTGAATAAAACAACAGAAAAAACGGTATACAAATAAAAATAAGAAATAGCACTTAGCTGGTAAGTAATATCTGTGGGCAGCAATAGAAGTGTAATTTTTCACACTTTTACCTGTATGTTGATAACTATGACACTTCTATTGCTGCCCACAGATACTACTTACCAGCTAAGTGCTATTTCTTATTTTTATTTGTATCCCTTTTTTTCTGTTGTTTTGTACGTTGACGAAGGCTTTCTGCCGACATGTTCGCTGTTTTGTTGCGTTTATTTTTTCAGGTTTAACCCTACTTTGTTTTACTCATTTTATTTTATAAAACCTGATTGCAGTCTCTCCCCTTATTACCCCTAAACAACATAGAACAGTGCAAAAAATCAAACATTTGGCATTCAAAAAAAAATTCTGATAACTTGTCTAAACATTATAAAAACTACAACAGACATATTGAAAATAAAACCTGCAAGTTTGAGCAAGCCGACATAGGTCTTGAAGATCCAAGTATGACAGAATAAGGTGAACAATTTCTTTCTGAAAACAAACATGGTAGGCAATTTTGAGAATTTTGTATCAGATATAATTTTTTTTAAAAATGTAACTTAGAACAGTGATTATCTACCTTAATAACAATAAACCATTAATCAATTACATTTTCCATACATTTGAAAAAAAAAAAACAGAGGTAATTTTTAATTTAAAACATTCTAAAATATTTCCACATTTTTAACTTATTCCAAGTGTCAAAAAAGGCTAAAATTTTTGGCACTATTCACCATCATTAGTGAAATTAAAGATTTATAAAGATATTTCAGTTATCAACATACAGGTAAAAGTGTGAAAAAAGAACTCTCTTCTGCATCTATGAAGACATAAGCCATGCTATTACTAAGCTGCACTTCAGAACTTAGATTTTCTTGATTGTTTGTGATAATACTTTGATTATCTTGACTCGTTTCTTGTTGATGGTCCCCTGGTTGAGTTAATTATACTCGTTAATTAAAAAATTAGCATTAAACTTAGTGGATCCTAGGATTCTAAAAATTATTACAGCAATAAATTTGTAACAAATCAATTTCTTTTCAGCACCAATGATATCAAAATAAAATTTTGTGGAAGAATCAACTGAGGATTTGGGAAGACCTTACATAAACCATTGTTAATTAATAATAAACAATTTAATTTTAAACACATTTAAATTCAACTTAAAAATATATTTGGAGAAAAAAAAGCATTTTTTAAACAGATTTATTTTAAATTGCACAAGTGTAGATCATTTGAACAAATTTTATCTAGCAATAGTTAATACCTTAACATTCTTTTATAATTCATTTCAAAATGCCTAAAAAATTGAAATTTAAATGCTGAAAACATATATGCTATGACAAACATCTCTAAAATGTACGCACCTTTTCTAAACCCTTCATCCCTTTCACAGAATTCAAAAGTTATATCTGGATCTGCATCATCTACAGACAGCACCGGCTGGTGAATGTAGAAATCACTGCAAGGTGGTGTCTTGGTTCCAATCAATTTTATGCCATCTAACTCTGTGTAGTAATCTAAATGATGGTGGTTCAGTTCTAACCTTATCAAACTGAGAAATGTTAAATATTGCCAAATAATGAAAAAGTGATCATTATGGGGTTAGATAAAACAAAGGGGTATTTACTGTTATAGTATAGTCTAAAAGATTAAGTCAATTGTAAAAATATCATAATATAAGTATATCGAAGAAAAGAATGTTGTTTTAAAGAAAACTGATCCAAACTGGTAAAAAAGGTTGGAGCCATAAATATTAAATTTTATGTTTTATAACAGAAAGTAGTGGTGCAGTGTGGGGGGACACAACGATTTCCAAGGTCTTAAATTTCAAAAGAAAAAAATTTCTAATAATAATAGCTTCTCCTCACACAGAATATCTCCAAATATTTGAATGCTAGTTTTTTATTTTTTAACATGAGAGATTTCAATACATAGTTTAAAAATGTGCACAAATCTTGGTAATGGACTCGAGGAAAAGAATCAAGAAGAGCTTGCTATATGCAATGACAACCCACACTATGCCATTGTTGTACAACCTTACTTTGTGGCAAAATTGATCTTTTTCAAGTGAGGTGCAAAAATCCTTGGCCGTTGTTTGCAAGGCTTAGGCTGACCTCTCCACAAGGTCACCCACCTAAAATATAATATTGATAAATAAATAAATGAATAAAGTGCAAGTAAAAGCCACAGTCACTTAAAGTTTAAAGGGTGGGTTGCAAAGTCACAATACATTTCTGTACATAAATGTAGAGACAAAAAAAGGGATTATCATTTAGGTCACAAATAAAGCTTATAGAAGTCATAGAAGCAACAAAAAAAAAATCGTATCTAACTTTTATCTTGATGATAAATATTGAAATTTAAGAGAGCTTTTAATATTACTTTTCAGAAGATAAGTTTTAATGAAAGTCTTCATTACTTTCCTCATACCACTGTTAAAAATTAAGAAGTATTGTCTGCTTCTTTCCAACTCTCAATCCTGTTTGAGATTTTTCCATTGTTAAAAATAACCTTTTCCCCAGCTATCATGGTAGGCTTATTTAAGTGAATAGTTTTTAAAAATAAAACACTATTTGAGTGCTCAACATCTTTCAACTAATTGCCCCCCCCCCCCTTTCCTGTTTGTGTGTGTGTTTTCCTCTTGTAAACAGTGGTGTAGCTTTTTCCATTTTTAAAAATAACCTTTTCCCCAGCTATCATGGTAGGCTTATTTAAGTGAATAGTTTTTAAAAATAAAACCCTATTTGAGTGCCCAACATCTTTCAACTAATTGCCCCCCCCCCCCTTTCCTGTTTGTGTGTGTGTTTTCCTCTTGTAAACAGTGGTGTAGCTAGGGTTGGTGTCACTCAGTGCGGTAAACTCATGGTGTCACACACACCCCTCCCATGACTTTCACGATAGATTTATTCTTGTTAAAATAAATCCAGAGTATAACAATGACAAGAACAAAAACAAATCAATTAAAGGTAAATGTATTTAAGAACTGTAAAAACATTAAGTTATAGTTATTTTTACATAAATGTACTTGAAAATGTTCCTTTCCTGGACTTCAATGCTGCAACCTGTCAATCACTTGATTAAAATTAATATCCTTCCTCTTGTCAATTTCTATTGATAGTAGTAGTAGAGCCAGATCAGAAAGCCTTGAGTGTCCCATGTTGTATCGTTAAATAGTTCTTGATAATCCTTAGTTTTGAAAAGCTCCACTCACGTGAAGCAAGAGACAAACAGATCATAAGAAAAAGTTGAGGCTTAGCTTAGCAACAGTTTTGGAAGAGATTCTAAGAAGTCCCATTCAGCTATGAATTTCAAAACATCAAATACTGACCAGCCCATAACTTTGTGAAATTCATTATCAGCTGCAATTAGGTGTCTTCTAAGCCTTGGTATTTCTTTTAAAAGTTAATCAGAGAAAGAGGTTAATTTTGGAACAGACATCAATAACTCTTCTTCACTTGCTGATACTAGACTCTTGGGTTGAACAACCACAAACATATCTACAACTTCCTTGATCACTGATGATCTGATCTGAGATTCAGAATGAAAGTGATCAATACACTCCAGCATCTCTCTACTGTTTTCTTCTCGCAGAGAGAGTCCAGCATCTATTAATTGTTCTCCTGCCATTCTCTTCTTAAAACTTAATCTTCTCTCTACCGAAACCCCAAACTTGTCTGAATTTTAAAGTGCTTTTCCAATAACATGTCCTATAAATTGACAGCACTTTTTGTGCAGAAACAATTTTAAGACCTCTTGGTTGGTCACCACTTTGTAGAGAGTAAAGTAAACCCTTTAGTCTTTAGATACTGCAGTGTAAGATAAACTTCCTTAAGTAAATCAGCCCAAAGGTAAAGGTAGCAGATGAACGTGTAATCACAGACAGCATGAAAAAAAAAACCTTGTGCTGTACCTCTTGTTTCCAAATTTTCAAGAGGATCACATGGAGCTTCAATCGCCTCCACACATTCATCAAACTCATCTTTCACTGTCTCAACAGCAGCGTGATGAGCATTCCCATGTTTTGTTGACAGTCTTTTCACCGACATTCCAGTATGTTCAATTAGAAAATTCCATCGATGAGTGGAGGCAGCAAAGATAGACAAATATTCTTTCAAGAGTAACAAAAAATGTAATATATGAAGCATTTTCGGCAAACAAGTGTTGACCACGCAAGTTTAGTGAATGGTCAACACATCCATTAAAATCGCTTTCTTCTTATTTTTTTTTTCAGAATGGCCTGAACATCTCCATGGATTCCAGACATTTTGCCAGCATTATCGTAAACTTGAGCTCTGTACATCATTATGTCTAATACATCACGTTTTAGTTTTGTAAGAATGTCAGAACTTAGGTAATCAGATTTTTTTACCTCTTAACGGGAAAAATACAAGAAACACTTCTCTCAGTTCAATATTCCTATTGTGAATTTTCACATATCAGATCACTTCAGACATCTGGTCAATGTGTGATACATCTGATGTACTCTCGAACATAATTCCAAAATACCTCACATTCTTTATATCCATGATAAGAATCTCCTTCACATGATTTGCAAGGACATTTATAAATTCATTTTGGGTTTCTGATGAAAGGTGAGATGTGGATGCTTTTTCTGTAGATGTACTCCTTGAGATGCTCTTTTAGCAATGGGTCATACTCAACCACTTCAAGAAAGTTTTCCTTTATTCAGTGAATATTCATCTTTGTTGTGGTTACGAAATGCCAGATTTTGCTTTGCAAGAAACCATGTTGTATCTAGCAACCTGTGCAGAATATCCCTCCACTTTTTCTTCTCCCTGTCCATCACATCAATAATTTCGGCATCGATTGTCTTGTGTATCCTAAGTCCTGCTGCCAAGGCAACATAGCTGATCTTCCGATGCTTCATGTTTTTGTAATTTTGGGATCAGTTTCCACCACTTATCAAAACCAGTAAAAATTTTGGATGTTGTTTCTGTAACATTAACAGAAAACAATCTGCAGCAAAAACAATACAATGTCTGACTGACGAGTGAATAAACCATCCACGACCGCACTATTTTGCATCATCCCGTAGATCCATTGTTTTATTAGTTGACGCACACCTCCTTTTTATTTCAAATCTTGCCTAGGCACTACGCTGAATGGTCCATCCTTTTTCTGAGACGAGGTACTCCATAAATGATCTGGAACTGGTACATTCCAGAGGGAAGCATCTGATAAAATGTGCATGTTTTTGTCATTAACCATTACATAAACAGTAGGCCTATCTTGGTTGGAATCAATATTATCAGCAGACATTTCCAAACCATCCATGTCTTTTACTTGAATGTCCATATCAATCTTTTTAATTTTCTCCAATATTTGCTGTATGGAATGCATGCTACTGATATAGAGGGAATCAGTATCAATGGTAGGCAGAGGAAAGTCTTTTGATGAACCCTGAGCCTGGTCATCATTTGGTTTCTTGACATTACGAAGCATGCATCCTGGTAGTAACTTAAGTGTGTCACTAATTTTATTTTTTGCTTTTCACTCCTGGCAGCCAGTTGGGTGTTTAGAGTTGTACAGGCCGTGTGGCATGATATAATAATCTTTAACAATAAAAATACTTTAATTTTGTCGTTTTCAAGACAACAAACAAAATAATTACTTACTACACTATGCAAAATAGAACACAGAAAGGTGGCAGGTAAAACCCACCAGTCAAAATATGACAATGGTACTCAAAAGTTAAGGGGTGGTACTAGTGACGAATCGGGGAAAATATTAAATTTGTTTGTATTTCTGGGTTTCGATGTATAATATATATGTCTTCAAAAAACTTTTAAAAAAACTTTAAATAAACAAGATTAAAATTGTGTAAAATGATATCTTTTTTTAACCCTATAAATGGGTAAAAATTATGCTTTAAATTTTTACCAATTCGATTCTTGTACTTTGAATTGCCCAACCACATCGTATTTGGTATCAATGGAAAGTCTTATTTCTCAGAATTTAAATAAATATAGCTTTCTGTCACTTGCGGAAGTTACCGAACACTTCAATCGGCCTTGAATAATGAATGTGTTTTTCTGACCTAGTCATAGGGTCAACTCATTTCTGACGCATCAACCGTGAACTTTTAATAAAGCATGCGTTTGGATTGGTTACATTTGTGATCAGTTATCCTTTCATGAATCTCGCTTAGACCAAGCAGTGTGTGCTCTGTAAATATGCAATTTTTCAATTGGGTGTCACCCTTAAAATGGTGTCATCCTGTGCGGTCCCCACCCCCTAGCTACGCCACTGCTTGTAAATATAATGCTGCGGAAATTTAGATATCTCTTGTAATAGCTCATGGCTATTTGTAGAGGAATAAAAAAATCTGACCTTGAGAGTTTTGGTACTCTTGATATTTATGATATGTCTATTAATTTTTTTTTTAAAGTTCACTCAATGTCATATTATTTAGAATATATTAGTTTAAACTATATGATGATTTTAATGAGCTTACGTTATTTGTCCCTTGTCAGCATCAGTGCCTCCTGCTCTATCACATGCAAGGATTCGAACTATTGCCCCTGGGTTGTATGTCTCATAAACTTCAATTCTCACTGGGTAGAGATATTCTGCAAAAGATATCTCTGGGGTGGGGGAGACGGAATTATTTGCAACAAAAATATTAATAAAAACATGTATTTTTGTTTTGTAATATATAATACTTTTAAACTTATTAAGACTGTCCTTGTATTGATCTCTATTGATTTATGAATAATGAATATGTACAAAATTAAATTTCTTACTTTCCCCTATTTTTTATGTGAGCATCACACAAAAAATAATTCTATATAAATAAATTTACTTTTTCTATACATGATAATAAACAAAAACTATTGCCGAATGTTATACTTCGTCTTTTTCTCATTTTAATCAGTTCAGTAAGAAAATAAAAAACTAAAATAAAAAGTGCCAAAACTTACCAATAAAATCTTCACTTGCAAATTCAGAGGGCGTACCACGATACTTAATCCTACCAGAAGGGGCAATGTTCCACCATGGCCCATAGGTTCTCTGAAATTTAATACCTCATTTCTTTTATTTCCCACAATCATATTCTCAGCAAATAATTTAATTAAGGGTCCATTCATATATTATTTATGCAAAAAAGGTTAATTTGGTAGACCCCCTAGCCCATGTTGCTAACATAATTTTTGGGCACCTCCTATGAAATGAGCTCTCACCCCCCCTCCCCCAAATCATTTTATTTATAAACGATTATGACATGCAATACAATTAAATCAATTAAAGTAACTGTGAACCAGTGTTTCCTAACTTGTGGCAAATGCCTTACAGGGAGACAATTTGAAGATTTCAAGAAGACATATAGTCACTGGGTCATTTGGTGGCATTTTCCATGAAACAGGTGAATGTTTCATGTTCAATGTGCCAATTAGGACAGCTGCAACACTGATGTCTATAATCAGGGCACACATATTTCCCCAGTACAACCATCATTTCAGATCAATGGCATGCGTAAACAGCCATTGGGACACTTCCTGGCCTTAATAATCCAACAGTTAATAACTCTTTCAACTTTGTCAATCTCATCACTATTGCGAACACACAAAAGATAGAGAGTACCTTGAAAGCAGTTAAATAGCACAACAAGCAGTAGCCACAGACACATGTTAAGATCCTTATAATGATTATAATGTGTGAATATATATGGAGGAACAGGGTTAAAGTATGTCAAGAGAACACATTTGATATAAATTTGAAAGATATAGTGGTCTATTGGTCCCCAATTCAGGATATAATTACTTTTTTTGGATGACAAAATTTAAACATATTTATACTATATTGCAATACAAATATATTTTACTTATTGTTAAGTTTTATCCTACATATATCCTCTTTCATTTTGAAAATAGTTGGAGATATTAATTTTAGAGACAGGTTTGGTAAATTTGGAGAGATGGCACCGTGGCCGCCATCTTGGTTGCAGTGACCGCGAACTTATGTCTTAAATGTATCCCTAAACCTAACCTGAACCCTAAACTTATGGATTATCTCTAACCTGGGTTTTGACCCTTTCACTTTTGGAACCAGGATTTTGACCCTTTAACTTTAGCCTGGAACCAGGGTTTTGACCCTATCGGAACCAAGAGCAAAACAAGCAAATGACGTGGGTGTGCTATCTCTCAAAATTAGCCACAGATTTGTACGTGACAGTTGGCTGGCTTTAATAGCGATAGTAATTTTAGAGTTAGAGACAGTCTCAGAGTCTCAGTCAACAACCTCCACTTCCTCACTAATCCACTCATGAGTGAATGGTAATTTATTACATATGATATATGGATGGCTCCTTATCATTGATTTGATTTTAGTATAGTAGATAGTAATGAAAAATCTGCATAGTTCATAACATTCTTATAAATAAAATGCACTTTCACTTACAAAAACGCAAGCTTGGGTGTAGTCCCCATATGATGGAAACACGCAGGCTTTTCCAGCCAGATTGTAGGCGACGTAAGAAATACTCGATTCGCTACCATATTGAGAGCTAAAGTCTATTACTTCATGACCTTCTAATCTTATAAGACATTCAGCAATAGGAGAAACGTCTCCTTCTTTCTTTTGAATATCTCGGTAGTGTTTAACGGAATTAAGAATATGAGCTTGAAAGTCAGCATATTCCTCGGGACTTGTAGCCATGTTAAATGTTATTTGTTATGATCCTAAGAGGTCAAAGTTGAACATACGGTTTTTTGCGTTTTATTGTGGCCTGTGGTCTAAATATAAAATAACTAGCTGAATGCCCGTGCTTCGCTACGATGTTAGAGGGATCACAAATATATTAAGATGTAGTTTTCTTGGTATTGTATTTCCATGATCGGTAAGAGTAGAAGTTTGAATCAGAACTTTTCTTAATAGTGGCTTTGGAATACGCAAGTAAAACATGGACTCTTAACGGCAGAAAACATATTAAACATATGGGAGAGAAAAACTATCCGGAAAATATATGGACCAACAAATGATAAATATGGATGGAGAATAAGAACCAATCAGGAAGTGCATAGACTATATCAGGATCCCACGCTAGTACTAGTAGCAGGTCACTTAGAAAGAGTGCCAAATTACATAGGAATGAAGAGGGTACATCACCAAACCCCAGATGAAAAGGGGTCAAAGACCTACTAGGCTTAGATGGATGGATGATGTGGACGTGGAGAAAGATCTGCAGCAGCTGGGAATCCAAGCATGTAAAAGGAAAGCATTAGTTAGGTCTGAGTGGATTTGAGTGGAAGGAAGTAGTGAGGTAGGCCAAACTCGTGCATGGGCTGTAGCGCCTCAGGGATGGATGGATTACTTTGGAATTTGGATCACGCTCGGGGATGCTGATGCAGTAACCATCTTCTCCGCGACATAACATAATACTAGGGTGCTGGAGAACGTCGTAAGCACGATGAGCTTCGCTGATCCGCTGTGAAGAATCGTGTCTCGCTTTTCAAACTTCTGTGACATAATTACCAAAGCCATCTCGCTTTTTTTTTAATTTTTATTTATTTATTTTTTGTTTTTGTTTTTTGTGGGGGGCGTTACATCAAGCAGTCACACGTTTCTATCTGCACGAAACACAAGCTTTCCTTCCGGAGCGTTTTCCATTGCTGTTTTTAAATCTTTTTATGCATAGATTGTGATCAAGTGGCTTTTTTTTTCTTCTAAACCTGACCCTAAAAAAATTATGCTGTGTCTCAGTTATTAGTTAGATCCACTCCAGACACTTTAAAACACTACCATTGTGCTCTGTTTATTACAGAGGCGTAGCTAAGGGGGGCAGAGGGAGACAGATGTCCCCGGGCGCCAGTCTAGTTAGGGTGCTTTGATATTATTTTATTGATGACAATAATGGGTTTGAGAGTTGAAAAAAAGAAAGGGAGACTCTTTAAAATATATTTTGTCCACGGACGCCAAACACTCTAGCTACGCCTCTGCTTTATTATCATTGTGAAGCAGACTTTAACATAAAGCTTTAGTCATTTAAAATGAAAGTGGTAGTCGGGGGTGAATCTAGGAATTAGGGGTATTAAAACTGCCCGCACCCCCCCCCCCCACTAAAAAAATTAAAAATTAAAATTAAAAAAATAAAATAAAAAATTAAAAAAAAAATCAATAAGGAAAAAAATTATTTATTAAAAAAAAAAAAAAAAAAATTATTTCAAATTTTGTAGAAATGAGGGAGGCAGAACTTCCCACAGTCATACTCATTTCAAGCTGCCTATTCCAATAAAGGAAACATCAACCTGCAGTGTTCGGACATGGGACTTAAGCGGCAAATGAACTGAAAAAGGTCAAAGTGATAATCTGGGATGAAGCTTCTATGACCCCAGCACATGGAGTAAATCCAGTTGAGACTTTGTATAAGTAATTCTTAAGGTGGTCCATGGGTCAAAATTTTTTTTTCTATGTTTCTTAATTTAAAAAAAAAATAGTACAAACAAACCATACACAAACAGAAAGCCAAAAAAACACAAAATTTTATTTAAAAAAAAAATTTTGTGACTTTTATTGCAAAAAATTGAAAATTTTATACCAATTTTGACTTTCACGCAAAATGAATAAAACAATTTGTTTATTGCAATATCATAATGAAACTTTGCATACACATTAAGAATAACATTGACAAAAAGTTTAAAGAAGCTTATTACACTGCAGTTATTGGAAGTGTTACAAATGGCATGTATTTGGGGTGACATAAATCTTCGAGAAATTTTTAGGGGTAGCATATGTAAAAATGTTATAAAACTTTTCTAGTTGGATATATTTAAAAAAAGCCTCTTGTATTTTGTCAAGAATATCAATGAAAAGAAGCATGCAAAGTTTGAAGCCTGTAGCTAGAATACTGTTCCTCCTGATTCACATTTCTATGAAAGGCTTTAACCTGCAGCCTGGTGATGTTACAAAATTTAAGGGCGTGGGTATCAGACTGCGCAGCAACATGATTGCAGTGCAAACTTTCAGACAGAGATTGTTTGGTGCAATCCCTGTTGAGTTCTAAGTGTGAAGGAACTCTCCCGGGTAGTGAGCCGCGTCAACTCAACCACGGAGTCCACAGACTGATTTCTCATCATCTCAGTAGGAAGTCAGCCTAATAAAGAACCATAGATGCTTGCTGGCGTGTTGATCAGGGGTGTAAGAATAGCTCTTTCCTAAAGCCGAATAATATTATCCGTGTGTAAATTTATCAGATCTGATTATACCTTTTCCCTCGATGTCTTTAACTACCGGTATTTGAAAACTTCACAGAGATTATCCGGAGTCCAGAGTGTATACCTTGTGTCAATGTTCCCTTTAAGCTGCGCGGCCGCGCAGCTATCTCACAGCCGCCGCGCAGCAGTTTTGAGTACCGCGCAGCAAATTTCCATGCTAGTGAGTGGGCAGTAAAATTTTGCGCACAAAAAAATTGAAGCTGTAAAACTTTGCACACAACTGTATGATTTTGCACACGAACCAACAAATAAAACATGAGTTGTTTATAAAATAACATTAAATATTCATTTTGTGTTTTTTTTATAAGTATAAATTTCCCAATATTCAGTTGATTGAAATGTTTATTTGGAATTTCAAAATGCTATAGTCTAACTTTATACAGATAAATTACAAATTGCCTCTTTCCTCTTATATATAATTAAAAACACTTTTAAAAAAAAGCCACTGAATTTATTTTAAATTGAACACATTAGGAATAATAACTTTTTTCTAAAACTAGTAGGTCTACCAACAAAAACATTATAGACTTGGAATGATAATCGAAATGCTGGTTTTAAAAAAAAATCTTTAAACATTTTTGTTTCTTTTTTTTCTTTTTTCTTTTTTTTTTCTTTCTAGGAAAAAAAAATTCAATTTTTAAAAAATCCGTTCAAATAGTTTGGGCATAATAAAGTTAAGCTGAATTTTTTTTTTAAAAACCTCTGTTATTCAGTAAACTTTATTACAACAGTAGCAGCTTTAAAGAAAACACAAACCTTTTCGATATAATAATTGATGAAATGTGCAATTTTTAAATGCGCCCGTTAAATTCTTAATTAAAAAATCATCTCATTTTTTTAAATGTTTCAATTTTATATAACTCAACATGCATGGAATCGATTAAATTTATAGTTATGCTATTAATACTTTAAAAAAAAAAAAAACAACTAATGCCATCATACCATTTATAATGAACACCTAATCCCCACTTTAAAAGTACCGGTAATGCTTTTATAAGGAAATATAATTTGAAACTAGATTGCGTATTTTCTATACTTAGCAAGAACTATATTATTAGAATTGCAGACCGTGATATTGATGTGTAGGTAGTCTAATACAGTGTTATTAATGTCTTTAAATTTGAGGCAAAAAATAAATGTCAAAAATAACGACAAGTGCCGCTTCTGCCTATGTGTTGTTGTCTAAATCGACACGTGAGGTGTCAACTGTGTCTTCAAAGCGTTTCTTCTGACCACCAACAAACTGCCTTCCACGCTCGAGCTTAATGGTGGCATAACATGAGATCGTAGACTGCTTTAAGAGCAAAGTAGCAATTTTTAAGGTCATGCCTTTTCGCATAGCCTTGGATCGCCACCAGCTTTGTCCCGCAACCATTTGTTTTGCAGCTGAAGCAGTTTCTACTACACCGGTCTTTTTATGTTGTGGTACGCCTCTTTCATTTGGACTGACCTCGGGTTGTTATGGTAAGATTGGTGAAAACGGTATTTTTCCTCCAGCAGTTGTTTGATTACGACACAGTTTTCATCAAACCAGCCTTGTCGCCTTTTTTTGGAGCTTGGTGCCAGAAACTCATTAGTGGTTTTGTACAACATAGACTTAAGCTATGACCAGTTGTCCTCCAAGTTGTCATATTCCAAAAATTACGACTCCATACGTTCTCCCAGAGCACCCACAAGAGATTTCTTGATGGTGGGACTATTCAACTATGCAGCGTTCAGACGTTTAGGGATCTTCTTCCCATGTGGTCGTCTTTTGGATTGTAAGCGAAGGTTGAGATAATAAGACAATGATCAGTCCAGCAATCTGCACCACACATTGACTAGGTTACACGCACGTCTCAACTGTCCTTCCTCCTGGTTATAACATAGTCGATGAGATGCCAATGTTTTGAGCGAGGGTGCACACAGGACGTCCGTTTACGCGCTGGAATGCGAAATATCGTATAAATAATCAGCAGTTCTTGCTCTCCACATGTTCTTAGAAAAAGCCTACCGTCACTGTTGCAATAGGCCACTCTATACCTCCCTAGTTCCCCTTCACAAACGATGAGGTTGCTGCCCTCTCAGCATTGAAGTCACCAAGAATTATAATCTTGTCCTGTCTTGGAACACCAGCTATGTCAGAGTGAATATCCCATAGAACGTATCCCTTATATCATCTGAGTTTTTCATTATTTGAGCATAACAGCTGATGATGGTGAGGTGCTTTCTTCTATATAAGAGAGGGAGTTTCATTGCCATTAACCAATTATTGACTCCTTCGGAAGATCACAAAGCATTTCAATCATTGTAGATTTGATAGTAAAAGTAACAGAATCCCCCCCCCCCGGCGCCCAACGCTCACTTGGCCACGCCAAAAGAAGTTATATCTAGAAACCCTTTCACATAGTTCGCACTCTCGTGCGAGCCGCGTCCAGGGATTCTTTCAGCCATCTCTCCGGGGGGGGGGGGGAAAGGGGGCCCCACCCCCCGGGAAAGTCCAGTTTCCCCCCCCCCCCCCCTTGCCAGGAGCAAAATGTGTTAAACAATTTAACGATTATATATATATTTAAAAAAAAAAATTAAACGACTAAATTGTCATTTTTAAAAACCATTTTTTTAAACAAGGATAGTTACTGGTGCCTTTAACAGATTACAATTAGTGGAATCTATGAAATATCGCTACTTTCGAAATATTTGATGATCCGTATTGTAGCCTATGTAAGGCCAATCTTGTTAAAGGCTAACGGTATTCGATTCCACAAAGGCTCGATACAACATGAAGCCAAAAGAAGAGCAGCTGCAGGGCACAAAAGACATTCCAGAAAAGCCCGGGTTAACTCTTCACCTGGAGATGTCCTATCAACCCCCTGCACTTGCTGCACCAGAACATGTCTTGCCAGACTCGGCGTCATCAGCCATCTGCGCACCCATCGCCAAGTTCGCAATTAGTATATACGATGATAAAGGTGGTCATTGTCGATTTCAACTGAAGAACTATAATAAGTATAGAGTTGTTTTTGTATATTTAATTTATAGTATACTTAGGGGCCGTCCATTAATTACGTCAACAATTTTAAAGCAATTTTTTAACACCCCCCGGCCCCCCCCCCCTCGCCCAGTAATTATGTCAACATTAGTATGACCCCCTTAAAATTGAATTAGAATATAAATAAATATATAAATACATTTTACTTTGTGGTGATCTATTTTAACAACACAAAATTTTACGAAAAAAATTTTATTGCATCTTTAGCTTGTTAATCAACAAGTTAAAAAAATGTTACAATTAAATTTCATAATGGAGAATTAATCAAAAGGTTGTTAAAGACTAAGTATCATTGTGTGAGGAAGCAGAAATATGATTATTGTCAGTATGGCTGACAATGTAGCATAGTTTCTAGCTGCTATCATCTTCCCAGGGATTAGCCAGGTGTTGCTCTATCGCAACAATGGGCACAGTAGCTGATTTATCATTTCCATCTTGCGGAACTGATATACCAGACAAGTAAACATCATCCTCATCTAACCATTCAGCATTTGAAATAGAAGCATTGTCAGTGTGAGCAATAATTGCCATAAGCTCTCTCCTGTCAGCTATTTGCATTGTTCGAATCCTTTTTTTGTTGAGGAGCAGGTTTTAATTTCTTATGCATTGTCGGTGCAGTTGAACTTGCAATTTCAACATGACTTGGGATGCAAAATAGATGTTGCAGATTTTGCAAATCCGTTCAAGCAGCGATGCTATTATTGGTACTCACTTTACTTTCCCCTAAGTCCCAAAATATCGTATTCCTACTCTATCAATATCATTTATCTTGTCCGCACATGACTATTGAACATTGTCCTTGCTCCACACCTGCAACATGACCGCAAACATACCGCCCTAGTCATTTGCGACAACTAGAATCTACATTCGAAGAGAGTCCAACTTTTGACTTGCATTAACTAAATGTGCTAACATTCTGATCAGCAGTGCACAGACAGACATCTTAAATAAATCTTATATTGTTAAAAGTCTAAAAATTATATATATATTTTAATTTACACTCATTAAATTTGTTAAAATTATGTAATAACCAATTAATTTTGAAGATTACAATTTTAATAGTAATAGAGAAAACACGATTGTTGATGTCAACTAATCTACCCCCTCCCCCTCGGGGGCAATTCATAAATGACGTCACGCTTCTAAAACGGGGGTGGGGGGCGGGGGCAAGTTTTTGTGACGATGTGTGACGAGGGGGGGGGGGCTTAAGCAATGTGACGTCACATGAAAAGAGTAATATTGTAGTAAAGAATTGCACGTAATAACCCCAAAATAACATACATTTTTAACATTATTCGTTTATACATCCCCCTCCCCCTCGGGGGCAATTCATAAATGACGTCACGCTTCTAAAACGGGGGTGGGGGGCGGGGGCAAGTTTTTGTGACGATGTGTGACGAGGGGGGGGGGGGCTTAAGCAATGTGACGTCACATGAAAAGAGAAATATTGTAGTAAAGAATTGCACGTAATAACCCCAAAATAACATACATTTTTAACATTATTCGTTTATACAACAATTATAAATATTTTATTTTTTAAACTACCATCACTGAGGGAATCAGTGCAGGTCTGCGAGGTCCGAAAAAATGGCCTCTGATCAAGTTACAGGACGCCAAGGAGGAGGAGCATCTGGATGTAGCTACAATGACAGTCGTGGGAGTTATTGGCTAAACGTGGACACGGGAGTCATATAATTAGGACATCCACGTGAAGTGGGATGGCACGGAAAAAAATGGTTGACCGGGGAGGGGGGTATTTTAGTAAATGTTCTAGGGCAGGGATTCTAAACCTTTCTTGCAGCGCTGCAGGCCCACTCCTTGAAAACACCCCCCCCCCCCCGCAGTATAAATTATATTGTAATAAAATTTAAAATAATTCAATAATTTACGTATCTTAGTTTTATTTCTTTAATTAACGTTTTATAAACAATGGAAAAAAATGACCGTTACAAGAAATGCGCCAACAAAATTCACCAGAAAAAAACAAAAATTTACTGCTGCTAATCAAAATGCAATCAAAATCCATGAAAACTGTTTTTTTTTTAAATTTTTTTTTTTTTTAAAAAGCAACAGCTAATAATGGCAGCAAATACAATCAGTGGCATGGCTAGGGTTGGTGTCACCCTGTCCGGTAAACTCATGGTGTCACCACACTCTGCCCCGACTTCCACGATTTAATTCTTATTGTTAAACTTAGTCCACACTCCACAGTATAATAATGACAAGGGAAAAAACAACACATTACTTGAAGGTCAGGAGGTATTATAGAAATGTCAAATGTATTTAGAATCGCACATTGTTATCAAGGGATAGGTTTATTTCTTAGAATTTAGATAAGTATAGCTTCCTGTCACAAAAGTTACCGACCACTTCAATCGGCGTTGAATCATGGTCAGAACGATGTGTTTCTGACCAAATAATAAGGTAGCCTAATTGCTGACGCATTAACCTTGAAATTTTAATAAAACACGCATTTTGATTGGTCATATGTGTGGAGAATTTACGTGTCGTCGGTTGTCCTTTTATAAAAATCGGTTAGCAATGAGTGCGCTGTAAATATGCAATTTTTCAATTTGGTGTCACCCCTGACATGGTGTCACCCGGTTCTGTCCGCACCCCCATAGCTTCGCCACTGAATACAATTTTCTGGTCTTCCACACCTCAGGGCTGGGGAGGTACATTTACCCCCTGCTTAAGAACCACTGTTCTAGTGAAATGTTTCTGACACAGGTGCAGCAATTTTATATCCAATTTTTTAAGGGTTTGTAAAGGACAGTAGTGGACACAGACTACAGGGAATTTTTATGGGGGAGGGGGGTTTGAAGAGATTTGTGACGTTATATTTGAGGGGAGTCTAACATTTTGTGACGATTTGTGACGATGGAGAAGGGGGATAAACAATCGGCAAAATTTGCGTGACGTCATTTATGGATTGCCCCTTGTCAACAATTGTCAAACATCTCCAACCCACTCTCCCCCCATCCCTTTTTTCGTTGACATAATTAATGGATGACCTCTTATATGAGTTTTTTATGTTTGTTGTACCGGTACTGATAAGGGCGTTTGGTGAAACGCTTGAATTTGTATTTTTTAAAATCATAATTGAAGTATTAAAAACTTAAAATATATTGTTTTATAAATTATTCACACAAAGTGTTAGTGCCTCAACTATAAAAAAAAAAAAGAAAATAGATAGTAATAACTGTTCAGTAATTAGTTTTACACGTTTAAATATTAAATCATAATCATGTTTACTTGACATTTTTGGAAATATTAAATAAAATACGATTCCGTTGTTATTTTCAAAAGCCAATGGTCAATATGGCGTTATTTACACGTTAAGACTTTCACTTTCGTCTTTGACCGTGGCAGTGTGACGAAGAGCGCAAAATACCGAAGTGCGGTGAAGGTCAAAATGGTTACTTACAAGCAGGACCTGCCGCCACAGGGTGGTTTTAACCCCTTTGAGTGGGCTGCCAGAGCCCCCAAGAGAATTTTTAATGGTAAATTTATATAAAATTTATATTAAATGTCACAGGTCATTCCAATAATTACGTTTACGACATAGCCTACATAGTACATAGCCTCCTCTGACTCACTCAGAGTCAGTTACTAATAACAGTTTTAAATTAAATAAGTTTACTAAAAATAATACACTACGACTACGACTACACTTGATTTGACTTGATAGGTAGTATAACAGTATTACTATGTTATAGTTGGTAGGATTACTCAATAAACTAAGGCCGGCACTACGTACACCGCGGCGGTGTACCTAGCGAAACTATTGACTTTGGCCTGCGTACACCGCGGCGGTGTACCTAGCTAAATCATGGTCTGTGGCCTGCGTACACCGCAGCGATTTAAAGTAGCAAAACTATGGTCTTTGCGAGTCTTTAACTTTTTTGGCCTAACCAGTACTTGTAGATTTAATGTTATACTAGTGTTAAAACTGAAAACTATTTATTTAAAATTCGTTTATTACCTTGGGAAGATATTGAGTAAGTTCCACGCTTATGTGGCAAAGTGCATGTAAAGCATTTCTTCTTATTTTTGGAAGGGAGGGGGCTGGGGGTGTAATGTTAAACCATGATTTATTTTTAAAGTTAACCACTTTATTCCCCCTCCCCCAATATATTGAAATACAAATATATTTATTAATTGTAAGTTTTATCATATGATTGTGAATCTTAATTTAAAATTATTCTCTCATGCCCACCCCCACCCAGTTGTTTGTTTGTTTGTTTGTTTGTTTGTTTTTTGTTGTTTTTTTTTGGGGGGGGGGGGCATTATAAATATAACATTGTATGTGATTCCTCGGGCATGGTGTAAAAACAAATGGGAAGACAGTGAATCTATTTTGTTAGCACTAAGATATAATTACGCCACAAATAAACTACGGGAAGAGAATCACATACTCATACATTGATCATGAAGTCGTGAAGTTAAAGTTGTCCGAGGCATTGTCATTGTGATACCAAGCGCGTGTCAACACAAAACAGCAGTAAGATGATAAATACGATACTACGGGAAGAGAATCACATACTCATACATTGATCATGAAGTCGTGAAGTTAAAGTTGTCCGAGGCATTGTCATTGTGATACCAAGCGCGTGTCAACACAAAACAGCAGTAAGATGATAAATACGAAACACTGCAGTTATTTGAAAGTCTTTTAACAATAATTAAATATCATTGATTTAGTTTTACATTGGCATTACACATTAGTAAAAAAAATGCTGGCAGAGGGAGAGGGGATGCAAAAGGTAAGTTTGTTGTGAGGACGTCCTTTGTGGACAACCCCTATCCTGAGCCGTGATTTGTGAACGCCCCCTTTTTGGTTAAGCCTCTGCCCATAACTCACCACCATCCCCCACTCCCCGGCAAGGATCGATTTCTTTAAAAAAAACAACAACAACAAATACAAAAACTTTGACATAGCGCAAATCCTGCCCCAAGCCGGCCATTGTGCAATGGTTTCTATGAGAAAACGTCGCGTTTTACCCTGAGAATAGCACATGCCATGCCATTCTGGAAACAAATTCCGTAATGAAAAGGGTAAACGCAGACCTGTGGCTTTGCTATACAGTTTGCTAGCACTCCGCAAGTTTCTAAAATCGAGGTGTTTTCAAAATATTTCCTGTGAGACTGAGTGTTGTGAATGAACCTTTGATATCGTATGTACATTTTGCCAATGCATAAGGCATAGTGAAAGCAAGATGGTTGAAATACGACCATGCACATTAATGACATTAATATTCATATGCATGAATATTATTCATACTGGTATTTTCTTTGGGTGTTCGTAAAAGTAAAATGTAAATATTCAACTACACGAAGAATGTTGAAATACAATAGAATATCAGTCACTTAGTATTCATAATATTTCTGTTANGAAATACGACCATGCACATTAATGACATTAATATTCATATGCATGAATATTATTCATACTGGTATTTTCTTTGGGTGTTCGTAAAAGTAAAATGTAAATATTCAACTACACGAAGAATGTTGAAATACAATAGAATATCAGTCACTTAGTATTCATAATATTTCTGTTAAACACTTATATATATAAATAAATATATAAAGTGTTTCTAATATAATATTTAAACATATATTTAAATTGTTTAAATTTGCTACAAAATATTTTAATGGGAGGAAAAAAACTCGATCCCCTACTGAGAATTGATCTCAAACTATATTATCGCCAAGCGTCCACTCTACCACTTGACCACACAAGATCTTCTCTAACCAGAATATCTTAAAACCAGGCCAATGGTAAATTTTTGCCGCGGTGTACCCAGGCCAAAGCCCACGATTTCACTAGGTACACCGCCGCGGTTTACGCAGGCCAAAGCCGATGGTTTCGCTAGGTACACCGCCGCGGTGTACGCATCCACTTCGATAAACTAAACTTTCAGTAAGGAAAGTCTTAAAGTTAAATTGTAAAATGGGAGGTGTATGAGTATCAGTATTTATATATTAATTAATTATAATAATTATTAATATTAATATTATTTTTGATTAAATTTACCCCAGGCAGCTAAAGTTAACTAACACTAAATTGTACAGCACTAACTTTTGTGGTAATCTACCATTTATTTGAGCGTTATAGTCGTCGTTTATGAAAAAAAATCATTTCAAATTTTCAATCATAATTTCATCATCGTGTTGTTCTGATTTGAAGTGCCATTTTAACAGTTATTGTCTTACTAAGAAGATACAATTCTTTTATTGATCCAAGTAAATGGAAATGTTTTTTATGCCATTGTAAATATTCATTTCAGCACATATAAAAGATGCAAAACATTTTTAAAAATAGAAAATTTAAACAATTTAATATTTTTTTAAAAAAGAAAATGATTGTGGGACATGAGCTCATGCAAATTTAAATATCACTGCTATCTTTTTATTTCAGAGTTTAGTTGAGTTATAAATTAAAAATAAAATTCAATATTCCAAAAAGTCAATAGGTCTATTTAAGTATTTATAAGTCTATTTGAATTTGGTTAGAATATTCAATAGTCAATAACCTCCTATAAACACAATCGCCCCCAAAAAATAGTTTAAATGATCTGTCAAATACTTAAAACTTGTACCAGTGTCAAATTTGTCTTTGTAAAAATTTCAAGCAATTGTCCTTTCCCACTTTAGGTCACTTAAAACCTTTTACTAACAACATTCCACAATGTGTCTTTATCATACTTATACTGCTTGTTAGGCATGGTGGAATGGCTGAGAAAATCCTCTATTTTTAGATAGTCAAACCATAATCATTTCTAACTCTAAGAAAGGAGTGGAAAAATGAGAAGTACATCACTGACTCTGTTGAAAAATATGTTTATACACCTTATATGTCATTGTTCATCATCAAATTGTAAAGTCTATACAATAATGTCAATTTCATTTGACATCTATAAATAGTAAAAGATATACCTATAAAAATTGGCAATAAGTTCAAGTTAACCCTAGACTGAAATGCAATGCGGCTGTTTACCATAAGACACCATTTTCTGTCAGCAATAGTATGTTACTATACCACTTCATCAAGTTTACATTGGATTTTCAACGACTGCTCTTTTCATGATTATTAATTTGTTCAATAACATATCTAAGGTAAATATGGATGTAATATATTACTCTTTTGACTTTTGAGTTTGAAATTGTTAAAATTATGTTAGTAATAGTAACTGTTTTGAAAATACAATCAAATTCAAGCATATCCTTTTCAGTTCTTAAAAAGTAATTCACCGTCATTGCAATTTTGGCTGATGAAATCAAATAACAGTAACAAAATCAACTAAATTTTAAAGTGAACTAAATTATTAACTATAAATTGACATCCAAAATTTAAATAAATAGATTATAGCTATTTTAATATTTAATTATTTGCATGTTACAAAATTAAGCGTAGGGCTAAGAATAATTGAATTTTTATAAATGTATTTAGTAAAGCTAGTTAGACTTCTCCGTCTTGATCAATGGCAGTGGCATAGTGAGGGGGGTGCGGACCGCACCGGGTGACACCATTTTAGGGGTGACACCCGATTGAAAAATTGCATATTTACAGAGCTCGGTCTAGCCTAGAATCATAAAAGGATAACAGATCACGCATACATTTTTCACAAATGTAACCAATCCAAATGCATGGTTTATTAAAAGTTCAAGGTTCATGCGTCAGAAATGAGATGACCCTATGTTTAGGTCAGAAACACAGTCATTATTCCACTACGATTGAAATGTTCTGTAACTTGCGTAAGCGACAGGATGCTATATTTATCTGAATTCTGAGAATTTGGGCTTTACATTGATACCAAATACGATTATGTCGGTAAAAATAAAACGCATTGAAAATGAATTTTTACCCATTTATGGGGTTTAAAAATATATTATTTTTACATAATTTTCAATCTTTTAATGATTAATTCTTATTTATTTAAATTTAAATTAAACAAAGTTTTTTGAAGACATATATAATATTATAAATCGAAACCCAGAAATACTAAAAAATTAATATTTTCCCCGATTCGTCACTAGTATGGCCCCTTAACATATGCTGGATGTCACATTGTTTCTTGCAAATCAAAATCTGGCATTTCGTGGCAACAACGAAGATGAATCTTCACTGAAACTTTCTAGAAATAGTTGAGATACTATCTAAATATGACCCAGTGATAAAAGAGCACTGAATGAGACTAAAGAGGAGTACATCTACAGAAAAAAACCATTCTTATCTTGCCTTTCACCAGAAACCCAAAATGAATTTATAAATGTCCTTACAAATCATGTGAAGGAGATTCTATCATGGATATAAAAGCTGTGAGGTATTTTGAAATTATGTTCAAAAGTACACCTGATATATCACACAGTGACCAGATGTCTAAAGTGATCAGTGATGGGAAAATCCACAATGGGAAAGTTGAAGTGAGAGAAGTGTTTCTTACATTTTTCCTGTTAAGAGGGAAAAAGCTGATGACCTCAGTTCTAACATTCTTACAAATCTAGAACGTGATGGACTAGACATAATGATGTTCAGAGCTCAAGGTTACGATAATGCTGCCAAAATGTTTTGAATCCATGGAGGTGTTCAAGCCACTCTGAAAAGAAATAATAAGAAAACGATTTTTAATCAATGTGTGTACCATTCGCTTAAAATGTGTGGTCAACACTCTTTTGCCGAAAATGCTTCATGTTTTACATTTTTCGGTACTCTTTAAAGAATATTTTCCTTCTTTGCTGCATCCACTAATTGATGGAATTTTCTAATTTAACACACTGGAATGTCGTTGAAAAGACTGTCAACAACGCGTTGGAATGCTCATCATTTCACTGTTAAAACAGTGAACGATTCAAGTTTGATGAATGTGTAGCGGTGATTCAAAATTTTGATACAAGAAGTACAGCACAAGGTCTTTTGCATGCTGTCTGTGATTTCACGTTTATCTGCTATCATTACCCTTGGGCTGATCTACTTGAGGAAGTTAATCTTACACAGCAGTATCTGCAAACTAAAGGCTTCACTCTTGACAAAGTGGTGACAAACCTAGAGGTCTTCAGATTCTTTCTGCACGACAAGCTCTGTCACTTGGGGGAACATGCTATCGAAAAGGCACTTTTAAAATCAGACTAAATATTGAATATCGGTAGAGAGAAGATTAAGGTTTAAAAAGGGAATGGCAGGAAAACAATTAATAGATGCTGGACTCTCTCTGCGAGAAGAAAACTGTAGGGAGAAGCTTTCATTCTGAACTCCAGATCAGATCATCAGCAATCAAGGAAGTAGCAGATATTCTTGGGGCTGTTCAACCCGAGAGTCTAGTATCAGCAAGTGAAGAAGAGTTATTGGTGTCCGTTCCAAAAATAACTTATTTCTATGATGATTTATCAGAGAAATGAACTTTTAAAAGAAATACCAAGGCTTAGAAAACCTCTGAAGGCAGCTTATATTGAATTTCACAAAATCATGGACTGGTCAGTATTTGATGTTTTGAAATTCATATCTGAATGGGACTTTCTTGAATTTCTTCCAATGCTCTCGCTAGGCCTTATGAGCGGAGCTTTTAAAAACTAAGGCTTATCAATAAATATTTATGATCCACCCTGGGACAGTCTAGGCTTTCTGATGTGGCTCTGCTATTAATTGAAAGTGATACAGTGAAGGACATTGATTTTCTTCTTCTTCTTCTATATCTTAAGGGCCCACGATCAATTTATTGATCATTTTGGCTCCTATGCATGTAGATGGGATTTGCAATGTTTCTGTTACTGGTGGTGATGAGGAAATTATGCACTAGGGGTTTGAAGGCTTGAGGCAATAGACACAAATGTGTCTAGTGTTGTCGCCTCAACTGTTCCTTCAAGTGATCAAGTGATTGACAGGTTTGCAACTTTGAAGACAAAGAAAAGCAACATTTTAAATAAAGTAAATTTAATGTAAAAAAACCCCACTATAACTTAACGTTGTTACAGTTTTTAAATACATTGACCTCATGACCTTCAATTTATGTTTTTTTGTTCTTGTCATTATTAAAATGTGGACTTTTTTTAAAAAGGAGAAATCCATCATGGAAGATTTATTATTTTTTTTTTTGTGGGGGGGGGGGTGACACCATGAGTTTACCGCACCAAGTGGCACCAACCCTAGCTACGCCACTGATCAATGGGCCCACCAGAAATAACCAAATTAGTACATTTATTACTTTGATCACTTAAGACACTTAAGTTAAATTGTTTTGATTTCTTTGCAGTGAAATGGCACCAAAAAACAGGCCTAAATTCTCCAAGCAAAAAGTACAATTGCTAGTAAAAAAACTAAGTACTGGCAAAGGCAAGACAGCTATAATAGCTGTTTTTAAAATTTAATTTTGGCAGTGTTGGGATTCAGGAATTTTTAGGAAAATATTGGGTTCCCCTTTAGCAGCCTCTCCTTGCAGAAAAATAAAAGGAGAGACATGAATTGAATTTTAAACACAGAGAGAAAAAAAATAAAGCTTAGAAGGAAAGAGATAACAACAGCAGCCAGCATTATGCTCAACTGGAGTATTTCACATTAGGAGGGGTGGGGGTAGATAAATATTGATATTTTTTCAACTGATTGATTTTTAAACATTTTTTCTTTGAATACTTTGAAGTAGCCTAATTGCAAGGGGCACAGGCAGGCTTGCAAAACATACGGCCCGCAGGCCGCATGTGGCCCGCCAGCACCTGCTTGTTTAACTCAATTCCACTAGGCGCTGGATGTGAGTAGTTAATATTGTATATGTAATGAATACAATAAATTAACATATAGTATATATATAATGAATACAATGTTATTTATTTACTATTAAGATACGGTACCTTATTGTACGATTTTGAGACATTATGCAAAGTTTCATTGAATTCCTTTAGTTTTTGAGATATGGTAAGACATTTCTGCCTGTATAAAATTATTTATTTTTACCAATATTTTCCATTCAAAAGCATTTTAAAAATAAAATAAAACATTTATTTATCCATATTTCTATTTGTGTTTTTGTATTGCTTTCTGTTTAATGAGAATCCCCCCCCCCGAACTTAATCATGGTGTTAAAAGATATTTATGAGAATTGTGTGGTTAAAATTTTGAATAATCCAATTAAACTTGGCACCGGCTACGCCAAGCATTTTCTAATTGTACATGAACATGAAGAGGAGATGAAATGGTCTGTAGCACAAATATCCTGATGAATATGCTATTAATGAAACTGGCAAACTTGTTCTTTGTGTTACAAACATTGCATACAATACAGATATACACTTGACAAAGAATTAAAAACCTTTAATATGATGGCATTCCATACCATGAACCAGCAAAAGACAAAGAGCCAGTACCATATGTCATAAACCAGTGGTCAGCAATCTGCAGCTCCGGAACACTTTTAAGGAATGGTTGCAGCTCTTTTTGATTAATTTGTGCTAAAATTCATGTGGCTCCTAAAACTATTTGTTTAGCAGTTAGCAGACATATATTTATAAAAATGGCTCCTCACTCAAAAATGGTTGCTGACCCTTGCCTTAAACTAATGGAAAATGCAATGTCATTTGTGTGGTCCACAGAAAATCAAAGCAAGGATCACCAAAGAAAATAAATCATTTGGAATGCTAACATCCATTTTGGAAGTCATGTTTGGAGTGTCCTCTTGAGTTCTGAGAACATTAGCACATTAGAATAGTAGGTGGGAATTTGTTAGACCAATCCATATAAAGAATCTTCTCACCAAAACCAATATGGAAGAACTGTTATACTAATCACAAGTGACAACTATTTCAGGCATGCTCCTGGAGATTGTTTGGTCATTTTCAAGAATCCAATCCATGCTCATTTCACAGAAACAGTATCGAGATTCTCAGTGAAATTGGTCCTAAATTAATCCTGCAGACATCCTTAAAAGATGCAGCATAAATACATAAGTGGTACTTGGCAATTGCCACATTTGGGCTGATAATTGAAATAATATGAAGACCTTGCAATTAAATATGCAGCCTAACTGAAGTGGCCAAATTTTAAGCCAGTGCAAATTATTAAGATCTTTAATTTTTAACAGCATTAAACTTAACAATTTACATTTAGACTTGGTTGAATGCAAATAATTGTAAAATGTGGAAAAGCAGAAATTTAATAAGAATATTATTTAAAAAACACCTTTATCTTCAATTGCTTATAAAATTGATTAGTAATAAGATTTGTTTGGACTGTAAGATGTACTTATGTTGCTTTTACTAGGTGCATCAATGATCTTTTAACTGCAGATATTGATATATTAGGCCACTTATGTTATTGTCTGCCCTCTTAAATAGACATGTTGTTTACCATTATCCAGTAATTAGATAATAATGATTATATAATAATGTCAATAAATTTTTTTTTGTCTCCAGGATATACCCAGTTTGCTGCTTTTTCTGCATTCACTTTAGTCTCTTGGGGATTTTTTATAAAATATAAAGATAATAGAAGGTAATTTGTAGTCATTTAATATTTAGCTTGTTTGGGAATCATGAAAATAAACAAAGACAGATCCAAAACAAGTTTTGATGCACACAATTAATTTTCATATAAATTACACACATTTTGTGTTTGATAAATGTAAAGTCCAACCACTTTTCAACCTTAGAGGGATTTAAATCTAAATTCTGACAGCTCATTCTTTTCAAGTACGGTACAACCTGAAGAAGATTTTGGCCTAAATTTAGTTTTTGTTGTTTATGAGAAATATTTATTTATAAATAACTGTGATGATACTCTGTACAGTAAATGAGTGCTTTTGCATTTATGTATCTGTTAAAAGATTACCATCTTGACAGTTCTGTAACAGAATTACATTAATTAATTTATTATACTTAATTAAATTTAAATTTTAAATGAAAATAAAAGACTTAATATAAGAAAGCGTGTGAATAGAAAAATAAATAATTTCAGTATTTTGAATGAATCCTTTATGTGCCACTTCTTTAAAGTAAATTTTGATGTTGGTAATGTTAATATAATCTTTTAATTTTTACAGTTTGCAGCAATTAGAAATGAAAGATGCAAGAATAGCAATAGAACCATTTATTTTTGCTGAAAAGGACAGAGCGTAAGCATTGATATTAGCAATCAATTACTTAATTTTTCTTAATTATTATTATTATTCTTAATCCTCTTGAGATAAAGCCTTTTTGGACTATGGGTGCCAAGAAGACAGAGACCTTTTCCCAAGCCCAGCACTTACACTTACATTGCAAAAAAGACGTATAGAAAATAAATTAATTACTTAACAAATATAAAACTGTATACTTGGTATATTAAACATGTCTTACTTGGAGAATTTTGAGATTCAATGTGGAAAAACTCCATAATAAATTCTTCTTATGGGTGTTAAGTGTCTGGCATTTGTCTGAGACCTATATTTATTAAGCATTTATAAGGTACCTAATTAAAAAAAAATAATTTGATACGAAATGACAGAAAACCGTAATCTATCAATGGAAGATGCCATGTTAGTGTGTAGATAAGCATGACATGAGAGAAGCAATCTGATTAGCTGGTAGGCATAGCAATCAGCCGATCTTCGAGGCTTGTATTATTGGGCCAATGGATCAGCCCTTCATCTTTTTCTCTACTTTCTATTGGGCAGCTAGATAGACCCAGTCATCTCAAGAGGTTTAATATCCAAGAATTGCATACCTTAATTCTACTGATAGTAGTAATTACTCTTAAAAAGAATAATTTTTCTGCAAAAAGTTTTAGTAAGTCTTTTATTTTTGGCATTTTTCAAATCGGGGTTCAAATCTGAGTACCAGTACTTTTTTTTTATGTAATGGATTAAATTTTGGGCTTAATTTCCCTCTAAAACTTACATGAGCACTTGGTTATGTCAAAGTTGTGTAAACCAGGGAAATTATTTGGTTAAATATTGGTCCATTTTGGTAAACATATTAAATAATAATGGGATTCCCGAATATACAATTTTTTTAAAATGATTGTCTGTTGTTGATGCCTACAAAATTATAATATAATTTAATAGGTAAACTTGAGAACCTAAATTGTTTTTCCAATTTTTTTTCATGTTTTGAATTTTTAAAAAACTTGATTCTGCTTTACAGTATCCTAAAGCACTACAGAAGAAATAGGGATGAAGAAAATGAGCTGATGAAAAATGTGGAAGGCTGGAAGACAGGTACCCTGTGGGGAGAACCAGTATATCACAATGTCCGTAGCAGATACATTAAACCTTGTATGGTAGAACTCATTGCACATATGAGTTACTGGGACAAAAATGACTTCGTGTATGACAAACTTGATAGATAAGAATTCTCATTGTTTTGTTTTGATTTTGATCTTCTCTATAGAATAGGTTGGTTGAAGATGACTGAGAAACACATAAATGTCGAACAGGTTGAGATTTCAGTTAGAAATTATTTTTAACTCAATACTTATTTTAATATTGTTTTTCAAGCAACAAATAAAGTTTGCCTTTTATATCCTATAACAGTTTTATTTTCATTTCTGTCAAGTGATAAATTTGTTTGATGGAAACTGCCTTTGCAAAAAATTATTTTCTGTTATAAAATAATAGAAAGCCATAATTTATTTTTGTACTGGGTACCACTGATTCGTATAAATTGCCAACATTTAAATTTTACTCCTTTGTACAAAGATGACACTGTCATCTTGAATTATTTTAATTTTACTCAAATATTAGTTTCATATTCCATAATCTTAACATGAAAGGTATAAAGTTGGTAATGCAATACATCCATATACACATAAGAATAACCAAAATAAACATTGGAAATGTGGGGAAAACCAGGTCAATATGATACATTAAATGACCATGACAGGATGAGATCTTTTAGAATTTAGCCTCAGTTATCAAAACAATGGTCAAAATGATATTGAATGTACTTTTGTAAATGGACAGTTTTCAATAAAATGTAAATTAGAAATAAGAGGTATATAAACAGAGTTGAGAATTTCGTAATGGACCTCAAAGACATAAATGAAGATGGTCATAGATGAATTATCTGATTAAGTTTAAGCTTGATTGAAAAATAAAAGAAATAGACTGAAAGTACTGAAAAGTCTAGTCATTCAACATTTTCTATGTATGGCTGTACAAATGATGTTTCATGGCCCTGATTTTAGTTAAAGAACAAATATTCCCCCCCCCCCACACCCACCCCCCCCCCCCCACACACACACGCACTCATTCATGCATGCCTGTATTTTAAAAATCCTTACTTTTACATTAGTTATGTCTGTCCCTATCATAAACATTTTTTTAAAGACTTTTTTTTTTCCTCTTCTCATTATGATAGGGATAGTGAGCACATTACAATTCAATGCTGTTAAATAAGACATGCTCATATATACAGAGGCCAGCGGGGAGGGGGGAAGAGGGACAGATTCCCCTGGCACCAAAATGAGCTTTGACTTTGATGGTATTGATAATAATGGGATTCAGAGTTGTGGGGCTTAAAAATGAATCTTGTTCACAGGCACCCAACTTTCTATCTACCCATTTGCCTATGCATAAATTTTGTAGAATATAATAATTTGAAAATGTATTCTCTTAATTAACCTAAAATTAGATCTAAATCATGTGGGCTTTTACTCATACGTCCTTTGTAAAAAAAAATTACTGATTTCATTTCATACCAAACATAGTTATCACATTTTTGTAATTAAAAATATTTGGTCCACATCAGTCCGCCAGGGGTTTGGGGGTGGACGTTTAGTTAAGCCTTTACTTTGTCAATGTCACTCAAACATAATATCTACTCTATATAATCTAAATATAATCAATTGTAACTGATTAACCTTAAGTATCAAATTCTTTGAACATTAAAAGTCACGTAAAATTACAATTAACAAATGAATAATGCAATTTGATTTTATTTTAGCAAAAATCTTGGTTGAATAAGTTCTAAAATTTATGCGAATCTAAATTTGTTACAATTTAAATGGTAGAATCATCACAGGAAAAGGAAAAAGTAATTTGGATTTTTAAGTCCAAATTTCAAATTCTTGGATTACCTACCTTGCATAACAGGGGGAAGTCTTCATTGCTGGAAAAAAGCTTTTGTTTTAACGTATCAAAACAAATATGGCGGTGGCTACACGTATTGAGATTAATTTCACTAGATTATTGCATCAATGCCAAATTATGGCCGAGGACAAGGAACACAGAGATTGGCGTTTTGAAAAAGTACGTTAAATATATGTATATTTTTATCACTTTATTTAATTAACAAGTTGGCTTATTCTTATATTATTAACTTATTAAGTGGCTATTCACTATTATTCGGACCGGGCAACCAGAAGAGAGGTTGGGAATTTTAAAAAAAAATTCTGCTCTTATGGCCGATTCTCAACCTGTTTCCAAGATTCATACTATCAGGATTTGCTTACTCCATTGCAAGGGATCCACCGTTGAACAATTTTTGGGCTCGTCCGTATGTCACCATGGCTGGTGCATTTCTGCCTCAACCTTATGATGCTTATGTAGATACTTTGGTCAAAAATTTAAACATTTTGTAAAAATAAACCAATGGCACAGTTGAATAGAGATAATTTTGTACAGAATTATAACACCAAAATCATATTTTTAGCTGTTGTAGTTTTAAAGTTATGAATTTTTAAAGTACAACTTGGTTTGTCCTTTTTTAACCATGGACTGCATCTCCAAATTCTGTGACCTCATTCCGCTGGTCGTGTCATGCGCCATGACTATATAGTTTATATAAGGCAACGCATTCCCTTATCACTAAAATACTGTTTAGGGTCGACTTATTTTAAACTTTCAACTTTGGCACATGAATAATTAATTAAAGCTTTCATTGACCAATGGTTTAATAGCTTTTGCACAGGACAAACTCTTATGAATGAAACTCTGAACTGAAATAGTACTACGATATAGCCGTTATGCAAGTGGCTGTGAATGGTTGCCAATGACAACGTGTTGCACAGGGAAAATTCTGATCATTTATAATATGGACTCTGCAGGGTTTTTAAAGCTCAAATTAAAACATTCTAGTTTAAATGTCTTCAAAATTCTGAAACACAAAATATAAAATATTTTGATGTATATAGTGGTAATAATTAAATATTTCCTAAGTATCTGCAACTTCCGCCATTAAAAGGGGGCGTGGCCCACGCCATGTCGAAATTAGGCTGAGCAACCTTATGGTGATATGGGTCACTGTGACAAGCGTAACAAACGTGAGACACGACCTACATCAATGAAACTTGGCACAGATATAGATCAATATCTAATGCTCATACAGATTTAATCAAAAAGGGCCTTGTCTTATTATTTCACAAAAAATTTTGTATGCGAAGATGCCTTATATATACCAAAGATTTTCAAAATAAAGGTCGATTGAAAAAAGCAAAATAGCAGGCTAGAAATGTAGGCCAAGATGTCTTCCAAATTATAAGGCCGGAAACGGAACTCAAATATATGTGGAAAGAACTAATTTAATAATAAATAGACACACACATCGGAAAATTAAAAACTCGGATTTTTCGGCGCCGACGCCCATTTCCGATACAAAAAAATAGTAGTCTCCCTTGTTTCATCGAAGTATCTACCTTATGTTTGCTTGGTTGCAGGGAGAATACTCCCCACTGATTGGGTGGGGGACCAAGGCCCCTTTCCCCTTTCAGCGTTGAGCCCTTACCCCTAGGCTACTCCCGGGGCTGTGTTGTTTACCTAGATGCGATGCTGCCCCACGTGTTTGGCAGTCGCTTTTCAAATGTTTGCTCCGGCTTTTGCCGACTAGGTAAGAGCACTAACTGTTGTCACTTCAACTGCACACAGTTTTTCCAGCCCTATTCTATCCTATCTGGTTCTCTTTTTCTATCCATTCTCACTTAATGTACCAGCATTTTCCAGCTAAAATTTTTAAAAAAAAATTTATTTAAAAAAAAATTTTTTTTTTTTTTACCTATAATCGTCCCTTAGGACATCCTTTAGGTAATTCGCACTCCTTTTCGAGACTTGTAAAGGCCCGTATAGAATGGGTCTACTGGCTTCACTGCCAAGTATTTGTATCCTTTTCTGACTTATGGCTTCACATGTGTTAATGTGATCAAGGGTTTCAATTGCTATATTGCAATGCCTGCAAAGGTTATTGTTGCTTCTTTTGAGCAAGTGCAGGTGTTCTTTTGTTGGACAATGACCTGTCCTAACTTGGGCTATAATGGTTTGCTCGCTTCTGTTCAGGCCCCACCATGGGTCCTGCGGACTTGACCCTTTAGGTGAGCCCATACGTTCCTCCCATGAATGGTTTCTGCCCATTCTCTGAGCCAGAGCTTTTTGAACTGCTCTTTAAGTAAGACTTTTACACCGTCCCATGACACCTTTTTACTTGGACTTGGATTATTTAAACCCTTCTTCGCTAGCCTGTCGGCGTTATTGTGTGCCTCACTTTTGTTATGGCTCTTTGTCCATGTTATCGAGAGACGTGCCCTGTTTGCAGGATCCAGACTTTCAATAAGTCTATAAATTTGGGCTATTTTTACTTTGAGTGCCTGAACTTCTAGATCTTTTAGTAGTCCTTGGCAATTTGTATGTATTTTTATTGGATAGTTTTGGCCCATTGTGGGAACTAGTTGGTTTAAGGTGACCAGTCCCACTTTTAATGCTTTTAACTCTGCCTCCTGAGATGTGTAGGATCGCCTACATTCTCCTGACTTGTTGATGGTTGTTCCATCTGGTAAACTTATGTGCACTCCATACCCTGCATTTTGATCACATTGTGCCCCGTCAATGTATACTTGTATGCTCTTGGGTTGTTTCTAGGAAGTTTTTGTGTTTGGTTCGACCGTTTTAACAAAGTTGAGAAGCACTCTAGTGTCAGGCCTCAGTTTTGTTACTGAGCGAAGCTTACCCCTCTTCTCTGGTAGCTTTATTTTCTTTTTTAGATCATTACAGATGCTAATGAAGGATTTCTTGCCTATCCTAGTGCCTGGTTTCTCGAGCATTAGCTCGTGTAAGGGGTCAGAGATATCCAATCTCAGGAACCTTTCTTGTGCCGTAAGCATCGCCTTGTCCCTTCTGATGCTCAACGGTTCGAGATTTGCCATAATCTGACCTGCAGCAATTGGGGAACTTTTGAAAGTCCCACAAATAAGTCTTGTGCCATGGTTTTGAAATGAGGTCCAGTTTTTGCAGTGCCGTGTCACTTGCAATGTTCAGGAAAGGCATGCTGTAGTCTAGTACTGATCTCACTGCCCCGATAAAAAGGCCTCTTAGAGTACTAGCCGAAGCACCCCATTCAGTGCCTGCTAACAATCTCACCATGCGTAACTTTTCGTTCGCTTTTGACACTATGTCCTCAATGTGACAGTGGAGGTGGAGTTTAGGGTCTAGCGTGCACCCTAGGTAATGTGTGCATTTTTTGTCTGGGTCAAAGGTTTCTTACCAAAATTGATTTATTAGGGAACTTTTGTGGCACCTCTGCTTAGCCTAAACAGAGTATGTGTGGATTTTGATACGTTCAGTTCAAGTTTCCACGTCCTTAAGTATGCTTTAATCCTAATCGTGTCTTCTTGTAGGGAATTAGCCAGTTCCTCTACATCGGTCCCAGTATGCTATAGGGCAATATCATCAGCAAATAATGAGATTTCTGACTTTACTATGTCAGGAAGGTCATTGACATAAATCAGAAAGAGGAGACAGCTTAATGCTGACCCTTGAGGAAGACCCTCCTCTAGGTTTGCTTTACTGGAAGTTTGGGTGCCAAATTTTGTTTTAATTGATCTGTTTTTTAGAAAATCACAGATCCACCAGTAAAGCTTACCCGAGATGCCCAGCTTAAGCATTTTAAGTTTGAGACCTGTCTTCCAAACTTTGTCGTAAGCCTGGGACAGGTCAAGAAAGACTCCAATGGTACTTTCTTTTCTTTGGAAGCCGTTAATTATTCTTTGCGTGAGCCTTATTATTTGGTCCGTAGCCTGTCTGTGCTTCCTAAAGCAGCACTGGTTATGGTTTATGAGTTTCATTCTTTCCTTGTACCAGTATAGCCTTCTGTTAACTATGCGCTCAGCTATTTTCCCAGCACAGGATGTTAGTGACACTGGCCTATAACTCCCGGGGCTTTCGGGAGGTTTCCCCTTTTTTAAGAGTGCTGTTATCTTAGCTTCCCGCCATTGTTTGGGGACTTTGCCAGTATCCCACGAGAGGGAAATTATTTTGAATAGGGCTGATTTGGCTTTGGGACCAAGCCGATTCAACATATTGTTAGTGATACCGTCTGGACCCCCAGCGGTATCGTCTTTACATTTCCTGTAGGCAATTTCAAACTCGCTCCGAGTTAGTTTGGATGACATTATTGAGCTTTCATCTAGAGCTAGGGTACTCTCTAGACTGGCACATTCATCTTTTAGAGTGTTACCCTCGTGGGTCCACTTCTTTTCCTTATTGGACTCAGCGAAATGCTGGTTTAGGACTCGTGCTCTTTCTAAGTCGGAAGTGGCTAGTCTCCCGCTTTTTGCTCGTATGGGACTCGGGTTTTGGGGAGTTACGACTCCTGTAAGGCTTTTCAACAAGCTCCAGGCTTTTTTGGAGTCTTTCTTTAGGTTCAATTGTTTGGACTTATTCAGCCAAGTCTCCTTCTTAAGCTCGGTGGAAAGCCTTTTAATTTCTCTGGACAAAGCATTGTATTGTCTCTGAGCTGTTTCTGAACTTCGTGCCCGTTTTCTCACTCGCTGTCTCTTTTTGATAAGTTTGCACAGCTCTGGATTCGTGAAGGTCCCCCTTTTGTGGCTACTATTCCCTACAGGGATTGATCTTTTAGCCGCGGTGAGGACACCTGTACACCATTTCTCATGCAATAAGTCTAAGGGGCCCTTCCTGACATTTGTAAAAAAATTGTAAGTATTTGTCATTTTTGTAAATTTTGCCCAGTCAGCACTTTTATACTTCCATGTATTCGGACGAGATCCTGTCACTTTGGCGTTGCCTTTGCCAATTGTTATCAGGATCGGAAGGTGGTCACTTCCTATATCCTGGAGGACCTTTATTGTGGACTTGTCTCTTATATCGCTGGATACTATGGTGAGGTCAGGGCGTGACTCTCTGCCATTTCCACTATGAATGCATGTTGAGGGAGACATGTTATTCTGCAAAATACTTAGATTTGTCGAATTGCAGAGATCCAGCAATTTCTTGCCGGTGTTATTTACTCTTTTGTACCCCCATAGGGTTGCGTGACCATTGAAGCCACCGCCTATTATCGTTCTGGTAAAAGTTGTCCTTTCAAATTCAAGGTCAACTGTTACCTTTGGGGGGAGTAGATATTGAAAATATTATAAGAGACCCCATTTTTCCACACTTGCTAATGTATCGCATCTGTGTTAGGTTTGTTCCACTTGCACTCAATAACTCTAGTGGTCAGAGACTCTTTGACTAGTGTCATTAATCCGTGACATTTTATTGAGCAAGAGCAAGAGTGGGAGGCGTATTTTTCTATCCTTATAGATTTTCCCTTTTAGCCGTGTCTCCTGTATTAGAGCCACGTCTACATTCTCCGTTCTTAGTAAGTCTGAGACTAAGTGCTCTTTGGGCCAAAGCCCATTTGCATTCAGTTGTAGAATGATAAGGCTGCCAGCTTCAGCCGTTTGTGACTCTTGAGCTATATCACTATCCGTGGATAGTGTCTGCTCATTTCTATGAAATCTGGCCACTCGTGCCCATTTCTTATCCCACCATTCCTGTTCCGTCATTGCAGTCAAACGCGGGTGCTTGACTTTCTGACGTTTGACTCTATGTCTTTCGTTCATGGCCTTACAGTCCCTTTTTCTTTTCCTACCCGTACCACGGGTTGGGATGCTCGCCTCTATCTATAGCTTAAACTCTATATCTGAAAATATAGGACAAAAGTCTTTAAGTACCAAGACAATGTGAATCTTACTGTTCCACCCCATAGTCTTCACCAGAGGCACGGCTCATGGCATTGGGTTTATGGGATTTTGATGCTGGCACCAGAGGCACGGCTCATGGTGCTGGACGATGCGTTAGATGCATACGAAAGGTACGCTGGACCAGAGTCACGTCTACTGGCGATGGACGATGCGTTGGATGCATACAAAAGGTACGCTGGCACCAGAGTCACGGCTCATGGTAATGGACGATGCGTTAGATGCATGCGAAAGGTATGCTGGCACCAGAATCACGGCCACTGAAGATGGACGATGCGATGGATGCATACAAAAGGTATGCTGGCACCAGAGTCACGGCTCATGGTGATGGACCATGCGTTAGGTGCATGCGAAAGGTACGCTGGCGCCAGAGTCACGGCTACTGGCAGTGGGCAATGCGTTAGGTGCATATGAAAGGTACGCTGGCACTAGAGTCACGGCTACTGGTGGTGGACGATGCGTTGGATGCATACGAAAGGTACGCTGGCACCAGAGTCACGGCTACTGGTGATGGACGATGCGATGGATGCATACAAAAGGTACGGTGGCACCACAGTCACGGCTCATGGTGATGAACGATGTGTTAGATGCATGCAAAAGGTACGCTGGCACCAGAGTCACGGCTCATGGTGATTGACGATGCAAGGGACACATGCGAAAGGTATGCTGGCACCAGAGTCACGGCTACTGGCGATGGACGATGCGTTGGATGCATACGAAAGGTACGCTGGCACCAGAGTCACGGCTCATGGTGATGGACGATGTGTTAGATGCATGCGAAAGGTACGCTGGCACCAGAGTCACGGCTCATGGTGATTGACGATGCGTTAGATGCATGCGAAAGGTATGCTGGCGCCAGAGTCACGGCTACTGGCAGTGGGCAATGCGTTAGGTGCATATGAAAGGTACGCTGGCACCAGAGTCACGGCTACTGGTGGTGGACGATGCAAGGGACACATGCGAAAGGGATGCTGGCACCAGAGTCACGGCTACTGGCGATGGACGATGCGTTGGATGCATACGAAAGGTACGCTGGCACCAGAGTCACGGCTCATGGGCATGGACGATGCTTCAGCCCCATGCCCATGCAGGAGCCTTTGTTTGGAATTATATTTATACACCCCATATATAATTAAATAGTCATGTGCCAAAGTTCAAAGTTCAAAATAATTAGTCCCTAAATAGTATTTTGTAATAAGGGGATGCGTTGCCTTATATAAACTATATAGTCATTGCGCAAGACACGATCAGCAGAATGAGGTCACTAAATGTGGAGGCTTCGTCCATAGTAGAAAATACCAAACGATTTCGCACTTTAAAAATTCGTTGCTCAAAAAGTACGGAAGTTAAAAAGTTGATTCTGGTTCCATTTTTTTATTTGAAATTTGCTCTAAATAACTGTAATATTTTAAACAAATATTTGTTTTACTGAAGTAACTTCATTTATTAACGCACATCATGTACATAAAGAAATTTCAAGCACATGTTAATATATTGCCGCCATATTGGTTTTCCTTTATCTCAATCATCGATTATCTTGACAATTTTTGGCGAACCCTGAGGCCATTGACATAACCGGGTTCTACTGTAATCCCCTGAGGCTAATTATGCTTTTAGGTTACATATTTTTTAAACATATGTAGGGGTCACTAGGTATGAAAAAAATTCTATAAAATGCCAGAACACCATAAACTTTCAATGGAAGCTGCCATTAAAATGGTGATATGAGCCAGAAATGCAAGAAGCAATCTGATTAGCTGGTAAAAAAACACAGTCAGCCTATCTCAAGGCTGTTATTATTGTGCCAATTGACCGGCCATTCATTTTTTTTTCCTTTTTGACGCTGGGCCCAGCTGTCTCAAGAGTTTTAATAATATTTCATAGTAGTAATAGGCTATAAAGTATAAAGATAGGGGCATAGTGCTGTACAGCAGATTAAATTAAAATAATAACACAATAATTACACAATCATCACAATGATTTATTAATTTATCAGGGAGAATAGAAATGTTAACACCGAAGAATTATTGAATTACTTCAATTGTAAGTTAACTTTCATCCTCAACTTTAAAAAAAGATGAAAATGGGGTTGTAAAAGTTGAAGAAAAGAATTAAATAATTTGCATGAAATTATATAAATTATATCATCCCTATCATGATTTAAATGATTGACTAATAAAAACATCACATTGTTTTAGTATATTGGGGCCCTACAGAACTTTATGGTGGAGCTAAAGAATTCACAAAGGTAAAATATGTGTTATTTTTTCTGTTGATTAGAAATATGAATTTTTAGATATATTAATTTTTTTATAAATATGCGAAGTATTAAATTCTTAAGCATATCCTAAAGTTAGGCTGTTACTTTCAAGTGCCAACTTCTTGATTTTCTAACCCTGTATTCACACTTCCAAAAGCCCTGTTTCATTCACATTTAAATAAGTTGATTCTCTTTGAATACTAGTAAAACTATCAATGTAATCCCTCCCTTAAAAAGATGTCTGGATTAGTTGGTAATCCTAAACATCATGCTTCTGTTTTAATTATATTCTGTACAGTAAATGTACTGATGACCTTATTAAGTCTACTTTTTTTTTTACTATATTTTTTTTGCAGTGGTCTAACAGTCTAGATTTATTGCTGTGAGACAAAATCAGCGTGTTTTATTACAATAGATTTATACAAATTTTGTAAGACAAAAGCTGTATACTTAGATAACCCACGACAATGAAACATCACACCACCATTTCTATTTTTAGGCACTTCTCCAACTAAAAGTCACTTTTAAAGCACCAATATTGATTTTTTGTTTTAAAAATCCAGGGGAAACCAAGTTTACAAAATCTTGTATGTGACATAGGAAATTGCTAAAACCAAGTACACAATTTTGGAAAATTGTATCACTTGCCATGTATGCTGTTAGTTCAAGACATTTTATAACTTTTACAGCAAACCAGCTCAAGAAACATTATTGGAATACCAGAAAAAGGTGGACCTTCTGAAAGGGTTGTCAGAGGCAGAAAAACAGGTAACTTTAAAAGCTTGCCTTGTATTCATTTACTTTCTTTAAAAATAAAATTATAATTGATATATTGTAGAAACATTAAATTAAACAATTTTAGGGCAACAATATTCTGTTTGTCTTCAGCCCAGTGCGACTGAACGCTCACTTATTACAGAACGTTTACGTCCTGTTGGAAACAGTTTGAGTAGTGCATCTGCTAAACAACTTCAAACGAAAGCAAAGGCCAAGTGTGAAAAGGACATAAGAGAAGAGTTGCTTGGTACACCTAAGTCAACCATACCTAAAAGTAGGTAATTTAAACCCAGGTGTCAAAATATTTATCACATTCTATAAATTATAAAAGTTTAACTTATTTTACTGTACCCATTTGTGATGTAAGAATTGTTTATTCAATTTTCAAAGAGACTATAATATATAGATTTCAATATTAAAATGAGATATTCATTTTTTTATAAACTGATTAGTGGTTTTAGATTTCAAACAAATTATTCTTTCAAAGAAATATAATGGATAATTTCATAACAAATTGGTGCAGATTGGAAATGGGCTTAAATGCACCTGAATTTTTTGTGTGTTAAATAGTTCTACCATTAATCTATATTTTTACCAATTGTTATTATGAGAATGGCAGCAGGAACTTTTTATAAATAACCAAAACAATTAACACACAACAGGACGCCTAAATTTTACTTAAGTGCTTCCACTATTTATTTGAGTGGTTTATTAAATAATCTTCAGGATTTTGTAATTTGGCTTTCAAAATGATAAAATTAAAACATAGGAGCCAGAATGATCAATTCATTGATCGTGGGCCCTTAAAATAAAGAAGAAGAAGAAGAAGAAATTAATGAAATTTGATTATCGTTTTTTTTTAAAGATGACAATAGCTTGTCATTTTAAAAACAGATAATTGGATTTCTGATTATCATTTAAAATCCCTGGAATTTCTACTTTTTAGTTTGCCTGTGGTGATTAAAATTTGTGTTGGTGTTTCCAAGGTGGAGAGGAAAAAGGTTTGAGGCAAAGAAAAACTAATCAGGAGAATGATGATATCAACACTATCTTACAGCATCATCATAAAGTTCAAGAACGACTTGCTGAGGAGATGTTGATGCATACTAAAGCTCTGCGCCAGAATGTTACAGATGCTGGTCGGGTAGTACGAGAGGACACTATGGTAAACTATTTTAAATTACATTTTAAAAAGTCTTTTCCCATTAGATTATTTTACCCAATATTAACTCTCTTATTGGACTTTGCTACAGTTGTTGGATGATTTAAATTAATAGTATTGTTTTAAAGCTTATTTGATTATATGAAAATTAAATTAGATAAAAACCATTATTATTGGTTTAGATCTCAAAGATTTTATTATTATTTAATTCTTGCATTCAATGTATCGTAATCAATGTTACACTAAAGATCTTGGAAATGTGTCATCTCCAAAACACAAATTCTGTCTGAAGCACTATTTATGAGACTGTGTTGAAAAATTGTATTTCTGCATTTTTTTCTGAAAAAAATATTCATTTTTGGTTGTTAGTTTTAGCTCCTTTCTACATCCACCGGTGAATGGACAGAGAAATACAATTAGTGGAGAAGAGGGACGGTGTTGACTTAGGAGTGTGAGGGTGCGCATGGGTAGGGGGTGTCTATAAAACAATCATCCTATTGTTGCTTTGTGGTTTCACATTGAACTCACTAGATAGATACTGCAATATTTAGCATAGTCGCCTTAGTGACACATTCAGTGAACATATACTAATTTGCTTTGGTGTAGTTTTATGACATAGTTGTTCTTCCACTGAACGGAGGCGATTGCAAAAATGGAGAAAACTACAGATTTTTTAATTAAAAAGTGCATTCTCAACTGCTCTGCACAGCATTGTTGGATTGTGACATTTTCTATAAGATCTAGGAAGCCACATTTGAAATCAATTTTAAGAAATCACTAAACAGCTGTACAATTTTAATCCCCCAGTTTTGTTCCAGTTTTCCTCCCTTCTCCTACTACAACTAGTTATTAGACTGTAACTATAATAAATAATATGTTAGAGGATTATAACATCAGGCTTAATGAATTGGCGGGCATGCAGCTCGCTGGCTATATCACAAATGAACTTATCTCCTCATTCAATTAGCGATTATTTCAATTGCTGGCATAAAGGCACATTTAAATATATATTCATCACTTTTTTTTAGACGTTATGCGCTGTTTCGCTGTACATGCCCCTTTTTGTACTGATTTTAAAAAAAATAGATTGTTATAAATTATTAAACAATTTTACTATTTAGTAACTACTAAAATTAAAGAATTTAACTAAACACAGCCAGGTAAAGGGATGCTATTTTCCAAAAGCGTTACGATTAAGTTGGAAATAATGGAAAACTCGGTTTAGGAATATGAACAAGTACATCCCCACATTTTGAACTGAAACAAAAATGTCCACAAACCCCAGCACCACTTTTGTCAGGCATCCATGATTTCCACTCCCCCACCCCTATCATCGTCTATCAGAGTTGGTTGCAAATGGCCAGCACTTTTTTTGATTTGCTATCAAGCACTGTAGTGACTTTTATTAGACATGCCATGCCAATAGTTTTTGTATACACTGTACTGTATGTTTATTTATTAACTTATTCGATATGATGGTGTGCGATTTTGAAATGGTTAAGTACTACCGGGTATACTTAGAGGATATTGTACTATTTTAGGAGTTCCTGGGTAACCAGGTCTGTTGAATCAAAATGAACTAATATCCTTTGATAAAAGTGCTATCAGACAATCTAAATACAGAAGAAATTTATCAGAGATATTATTCTTACTTATGATGTGAAAGGCATTTAGGGAATTTTTTTCCTGAACTTTAAAAAAATTTGAATTATTGTCTCTTTCAAATGAAACACTTGATTACAAAATATTTTTAGTAAGCCCCAACGGTCGTTACGTTTCAGAACCATTCATAACGTCATATCCTCCTGTCACATGATTTCATTTTTTTGTCCGTCTCATTAAACAGAAAATTACTTCCAGCTCACAACTGGCTGATACAAACATGAGCAAGCTCAAGGTGGAAAGTGATCGCCTGGAGGCCCATACAAAAACATGCTCGTGGTGGATATGGGTCATGTTGTTAATTGTGATCATAACTTTTATTTCTATGGTGCTATTTATGAGAATATTTTCAAAATAAAATTTTGAATGCGCATGGCTTTTTCTGTTTATATTTTTTTGCTGGTGTTCTAGAATAATGTGTCATTTGTGGTAGCGGTTTAGGATTGCTTTATAGAATTCCATCTGCTCTGCACGGGGTGCTTCCCCCTTTTGTGCCCTTTGTCATGTTGAACAGATGGGCACATGTGTTTTGTGTCAGTTTCTATGCCCTTAATACAAACTGAAATAAACTGTAATTGATGACAGTATCAACACTGAACATAGAAATTCCTGGGTTACATCTTGTACTTTACAAGCCTTTCCACTGTGTCACATTTTGTCACTAAAATACAGAGCTTGCGCTTAAATGAACTCACTCATCAACTACTACAGATACAACCCCCCCCCCCTCCCCCCTATAAGTTAGTAGTTATATCTACATATAACCCTCTCCACCATTTCAATACAGGTAGAAGGTTATCATGAGAGATAACGTGGAGAGGGGGGGGGGGGAATAAAAAAAAAAGGAATTCCCCCCTATAAGTTAGTAGTTATATCTACATATAACCCTCTCCACCATTTCAATACAGGTAGAAGGTTATCATGAGAGATAACGTGGAGAGGGGGGGGGGTAATAAATAAAAATGGAATCCAACTATGACTTTAACAAGTTCATTCCCTTTAGAAATCTTACTTTGTCCAAAAAACGAAACAAACATTTTCAATAAATTTTATTTAAAAGCGGAAATAAGTTCTTTAAGAAAAATCCTTATAATTTGTCTCTCCATTTAAAATTGTTTGTACTTATTCAAAAAGTAAAGTTTAATTCAACTGAACAATTTTTTTCACCTAGCGTGGACTGGAGCGGAGCAAGACATTAGATTAGGGAGTCAACTGTTCATGACATGTTTGTTTTCTAAGCATGGTTTTATATTTTATAAGACTGCTACATTGATGATAGTGAAAGTAATGTTTCACTTATAAACTGGACAGTGGCGTAGCGAGGGTGTTTGGCGCCCGGGGACAAGATTCGCGCCCGGGGACAAGATCCATTTTTAGCGCCCCTTTTTCTTTTTTTTCAACTCTCAAAACCCATTATTTTCATCAATAAAATAATATCAAAGCACATTTTGGCGCCCCTAACTAGCTGGCGCCCGGGGACATCTGTCCCCCCCTGCCCCCACCACGCTACGCCTCTGAAACTGGATCTTTCAATGTTGTCCATGGTCATCAAGTATTCGATGTTGCATATAGAGGAACCTATTGCAGTGACAATAGATATGCTAATCTACTCGGACTACAGCGTGTTGAAAGACTGACCCTACAAATACAAAATATGAATGGTAGCACCGTAGCTGTAATGTATCCATATACTGCTTATTAATGCTTTACTTACTTGTAAAAATGATAAACAGAACATTCCATGGACAATAATATTGTGTTCCAAAAAAATTGATATCTCCTTTTTTTTTTTTTTAAACAAAGAGCTATTTATTCATACGGTTTACTTAATTATTCTTGTAAAGGGTTTCTGCCCCCATATTTGATAAGAGTTTTCCGGCCTTAAATAGTGTCTTGTTGGCGAAATGGCAAATTTTATTGTGGAGTCTCTGTAACAGTACAACCGTACTTGCTGTAGTTAACCATTTCCCCCAAAGTAGCCTACCGTGATAACATTAATTTTTTTTTTTTTTTTTTTTTTTTTAAAGAATCATTTCTTCCACAACACAATGACCGACACCATGGAAACGTATGACACGTTAAATGTGATCAATGACAACCACAGCACGGACAGAAGCCCAACTATTTGAGGCACTACGCTTGAAATCCCGACATCCCGGGTTATAATGACCGGGTCAGTGACAAGATAATTCCTTTTAAGAATAGCCCGAAGCCCTACGACAGGTTACCGTTAAACTCCTTGTGGAGGTACCCTGCATAATCAAACTGATGACATCGCAACAATGAAACCCTTTCTTCCATCTCCCCTTACCCCCCCCCCCCCTTTCCCTTAAAAAAAATTATCTTTTGAGCCGGGAATCCCTTTTGGCTACTGAAATACCGGTATTGATGTCCGCGGCACTCTGTTTTTTTGACGAAGGCTTCAATTCATTTCCAAGTTTCTCAGCTCAGAGCTAGCCGCCTGCAGGGGCTAATAGGGCGAGTGCAATTGAATGTTTGGGCATCAGCCCAAAATGATGTGATCCCAGCCTTGAGCCACTGCAATGGTTCATGCCTCGTGTCCAACAACCGTTCATCAAACTACAGCCAAAAGGCATTGACCCCAGACAAGCTCTTTGCGAATGGTTGCCGCTGTTGGAAAGATGGAAGAAATACCGACGGGGGCTAGGGGCGGGGGGGGGGGACTGAAAAGGGGGCGGGGGGGAGGGGAGAATGGCGCGGGGATTTCTTCCCCGATCCCTTCGCGAGTCAACACTGACAACGGGCACAAAAGGGGGATGGGGGGGGGGGGCGCTCATGTCCTACTAACAACGGCTCCTCTGCCAGCGGGGGGAACGACTACCCAGTCAGCAGCGGGGCGGGGCCGCCACGGAGGCTCGTATTTCTCGCCATTGTCATCTGCATGATACATGACACTTACTGACAGAAGCTCTCCTCGGGCTGACACTTGACATAGGAAATAAAACTTTAAAATACTGGGGTGGGGGTGGAGGGAGGGATTTTAAGTTCTTTCGTTTCTTTCTCCTGTTGTTTTTTTTTTCTTTTTTTAAAACTCGTTTTTAATAGTCGGTGGGTAAGCGAGAAATCTCCCTCGCCTAAGGTTGTAGGTCATCAAGACGGAATCTTTTTTTCGCCCGAGGAGTCGTAGAGCCATTAAATTGGAAGTAACAAGCACAGCCGTATTGTGATGCATCTAGCTGCAAGGATCTGACACCTTGAAACTAAGGCCAGGTAACTCTTAAATCTTACACGCCAACGCCTTTTTTTTCTTCTTTTTTCTTCTTCTAAACATTACAGCTACAAAAACAAAACAAAAAAAAACCCAAACAACAACACATAATCCCCTGTTGATGGATGAGGCTTTGAATCCAAACACTGAAGTCATCAACTTCTTCTGTTGTGAAGTCGTAAAATATATTTTAAAAAAAAAACAAAAAAAAACAACTTAGACCTGAGATCCTTTCTTTATGTTTAAACAAACTTTGACTAATTTTGAATATCAAAAAAAAAAAAAAAAACAAAAAAAAAAAAACAAAAAAAAACAACTTAGACCTGAGATCCTTTCTTTATGTTTAAACAAACTTTGACTAATTTTGAATATCAAAAAAAAAAAAAACAACAACAAAAAAAAAACACGAAAATCAATCAATTGTTACTTTCTACCTTATATTATAAGTTATAAGATATTATAAGGGGTACAGGCAATATACTGCCATTAAAATATTGCTTTGACTCTGATCTCACCATTTCCTCTCGTTGCAACCTCATGCCATGGAAGCAAAGTGACATGCCACCCTGATACTCGATTATGTTGCACTAACACTGCCCTGATACTTGATTATGTTGCACTAACACTGCCCTGATACTCGACTGCGTTGCACTAACACTGCCATGATACTCGACTGCGTTGCACTAACACTGCCCTGATACTCGATTACGTTGCACTAACACTGCCCTGATACTCGATTATGTTGTGCCACTGATAAAAAAGCAGAAAATCTGGGATAATCGATGACATTCTGAATTTTAACAAAATATAAATACCGGTAGTATTTGTAAAATTGATTTTAAAAAAAAATTGAAATTGAAGTTATAAGCATTGTTGTTCGTGTTAGCCTTTGATATGAGCCATTGTTGTTTGTGACGTGTTAGCCTTTGATATGAGCCATTGTTGTTTGTGACGTTTTAGCCTTTGATATGAGCCATTGTTGTTTGTGACGTTTTAGCCTTTGATCTGTGCGATTGTTGTTTGTGACGTGTTAGCCTTTGATCTGTTCCATTGTTGTTTGTGACGTGTTAGCCTTTGATATGAGCCATTGTTGTTTGTGACGTGTTAGCGTTTGATATGAGCCATTGTTGTTTGTGACGTGTTAGCCTTTGATCTGTGCGATTGTTGTTTGTGACGTGTTAGCCTTTGATCTGTTCCATTGTTGTTTGTGACGTGTTAGCCTTTGATCTGTGCCATTGTTGTTTGTGACGTGTTAGCCTTTGATCTGTTCCATTGTTGTTTGTGACGTGTTAGCCTTTGATCTGCGCCATTGTTGTTTGTGACGTGTTAGCCTTTGATCTGCGCCATTGTTGTTTGTGACGTGTTAGCCTTTGATCTGCGCCATTGTTGTTTGTGACGTGTTAGCCTTTGATCTGCGCCGACGTTCCGCCGTGATGACGTTTTCTGTCCATTGTCGTGCGTGGCGTAACTGTAAACGAGTCCGGATAGAAAAACGTCCACGTTACCGATGTTCCGGATATTCTATTTTCTAACGTCATGATATTTTGAAGACCCGTCATTACATCAGCTTACCCGCTTACAGATGTAATAAACTTGATGAGAAGGGGGAGACCTCTAACAAACCAATCAACGCATGTTGACAGACAGCGGGGATAACTCAAGATTTGAAGAGATGACTGAAAGAGAGATAACTGGAAGCTGTGGACACCCCAACGTCTGCTGTAATTAGTTAAAATGATGAAAGATTTTTCAAGCCCACAATTATGGAAGGCAGCTATTTCTGTCATTCTAATTATAGTAAAAAAAAAAAATACGGAGTGGAAGAGGGCTAGGATTCATAAAAGTAATCTTAGTTAAATCCATTATCTATCTTAAATGAAATCCTCGAGTAAAAAAACAACACACATATTTATGAAAACAATATTTTTAAATTATAATTAATATAATTTGTTTGAAATGGAAATTTGAAATAATTATTAAAGGAATTTCAATAATCAAGACAAAAAAAAAACAACAAAAACCAACAAAAGAACAACAAAAAACGGAGTTTTTTAATCATTCTATGATGAATTATGGATGTAAAACATAACAAATTTTCGCTGTATTCGCTATAATTCTTGTGTCAATAGAAACTGCACTGTTAT